TCTGTGGTGCATTCAAAACAGGGAGATTTCATCTCCTGCTCCTGCTGCATGCAAAGTGCTTATACCCTCCGTCCCGGCTCTACATCCTTCTCTTTGCATTCTCAGCTTGGCAGCAAAAAGAAAAAGAAAAAGTATGGCAGTTTATCCAACTCATGTGGAGCCTCCATGCAGGATACTGCGAAACTGCTTTCAGCCTGGGCGGGGGGCAAGTCACAAGTTATGCAGCCTGATCTCCATTATTGCCGATAATTTTGATGAAGTCAATGCAAATGTGGCCCACCAACCATGTCTGTCGGCCTGGCAGATGCTTGATGACCTCTCCCTGTTTTAGAAGCCCTAAGCAGAGAGAGAGAGAGAGAAACCTCAGACTGTTTATCATGCCTCTGGCTAGGGATAAGAGGATTTCCCCAGCTCCATTCATTTATTGATCTGATGCTTTCCTTTGCTACGTCTACAATTCCTCCTGCATTCCTTTACTGGGGAGAATTTCTAAAATTAACATCAGAATTGGCTCAGGGGCAGCTTCCCTCCTGCTTTCTCTTCCCTCTTTTCATTTGCATCTTTCTCCACAGCTGCATCACTGATGCAAACCACCAAAAACTGAGAAATCAGCACCACCCCTCCAGGGCCGGCCTGCCTATGAGGCGGGGTGAGGCAGTTGTCCCAGGTGGCAGACCAGGGGACAGTTGAGAGCCGCAACAGATCCAGGCCCTGACGAGCACACTGCTCACCACTGCTACCACCACCACCTGCTCCTCCTCCACCACAGCCACCACATACTTCTCTCCAACCTTGCCTTTTCCCTCATACCTCAGGCTTCCTCAACCTTGGCCCTCCAGATGTTTTTGGCCTACAAGTCCCATGATCCCTAGCTAGCAGGAGCAGTGGTCAGGGATGATGGGAATTGTAGTCTCAAAACATCTGGAGGGCTAAGGTTGAGGAAGCCTGTCCCAACCTCCGACAGCAACCAGAGGTGGGGTCAGCTTTAGGGGGAGCAGCTCCAGTTTTTGCTTCGAGTGGTGTGGTGTTTTACAGTACATTACTTTACTTGCATCTTAATGGAAACACTCCACGAAATGAATCTTGATCCAACCTGTGCTTCGTCACATCAGAGCTAGACTGTTGTTGTGTCTGACTGGTGCGCTGACTATCGAATGCCACCCGTGTGCATGCAAGGGAGTTTTTTAAACGTGCCCCTCAGAAGACACCGATGAAATCGGCAACCTATGAAAACAAAGCAGCAACAGTTCAATCTGAGTACGTGTTGCTTAATACTGTATCGAACTTACTTGGGCCATTTTCACTACACATGCAGAGAGTAGTGACCCAAAATAGTACCAGTTCAGATGGCAGATGGAGAATATGCTGATGCTTTCCATGTAGAATCATCCTGCAAATAAAACAGTATTTGAGGGGATGCGCCTAACATACCTTCTATGCTTTTACTATTTTTATTTTTTTTTACATAAGTAAAAGTGACCTTTCCCATCTGGCATGGTGTGTGCCTCGAGATTTTTTCATGAAACAGTGTGCCTTTGCCAAAAAAGGTTGGGAAACACGATTGTATATGTTGTGTAATGTCTCATCAATGCACCAGTATGCATCAGGGATTTTTCTTTTTTTTTAAATGCACCCAAAGAACGGTATATGCAACCATGCAAACAATCGAACATAGATAGGGTAGACGCTATGCAAAAGGGGAGTATAAATGCTGTTATGAAACAAATATGCTCATATTAAGTAGGTGGTCATTTATGTTTTACAAATAAGAGAAAATGCATTATCAGAAAAAAGAGGGCATAGGTTGTGCAAATTTGCATGCCTTATTTATATGTACAGGACTGTTACTCCAAAGCCTATGGAAAATTCGATGTAGAGAATTTTTGATATAGCTTTCCTGTCCTGCCACTGATGTCTCCATTGTTTGGTGGCAGGTCTGATGTCAGGTGGGTATAGAAAAATCTGTCAATTTCGCTTCTCTCAGTTTCTCATTTTTCCTATCTTAAATTCAGTTCTCCATATTTCTAGAACAATTTGTGATTATTGTTATTTTAAAAAAAATCCTCATGAAAATTAATAAGCCTTTTAGTGCAAATTTATCCTAACGAATACATTTCTGTATACAGTTTGACTAACATACATATTTGGCAAGCAATTTATCCTAATATACAGTATGTTTGCATGTTATTTTCAGTAATATGTCCTTTGCCATTATGCACCCTTTCCCCCAATGACTGGAATTTTTGCAAGCATTGTCTGCTTGAAGAACTGCATTGCAAAATTCCGAAAAGTATGGATTTTGAGGGATGGCTACATTTCAGTGCCTGTATTGTCTCACATAGTGTGAATTAGGTAGGTTTGCCTTTCCATGCGAAGAGAATTGAATTTCTCTCCCATCCCTGGTGGCAGAACTTCACCTCTTAAAAGTCAAAGGGCCCTGATTCTGACCTCTGTCTGGCATCCAAATAACAGCTCATTCCTGACGCACCTCTACAAAGACCATGTGATGCAAGGGGAAGTCTCTGTAGTGGAAAAACTTGGCATAAATAACTGGTGTTGACCAAGCCCCAGAATTGGTCACTGATGGGCAATGAATGTTGCAATAGTAGGATGGATTCCACAGATGAAATTGATTCCTGCTCTGCTTGGCTTCCAAATCTCCTGATTCTGTCTGGACTGGATATGGGTTGTTGTTGCTGCTGCTGTTTTTCTTTTTGAATGTCCTGAGAAATGAACACAGATGTTAGTGGTTGCTGTTGCTACTGGAGCGAAATTGTTGGACTCACTCTGTGACTACCATGACCTCATTATAGTAATCCCTTTAAAGTGTTATTTATGGAGTTTTGGGGTGGGGAGAAGATTCTAAATGGTTTTTAGGGTTACCTCCTTTCCTATCTGACAGAGCCACTGTGCCTTTGAGCATGGCCAGAAGGTACTTTCGTGGTGTCCACGATAATGAGGGAAGCTTTGCCTCTTGTGTTCATCTATTTCTAATTTTATGTACTGTCAACACACCCGCATTGTTTCATGATTTAAAATAATGAGTTACAGTGTTATAGACATGGTGGTACTTGAGGGGTAAGGAAGAGGAGAGGGAAATAAGCAAAAACAGGCACCATGGCTGTTGCATAAGTCTGTTCTGGAAGGGTCTGGGGCTAGCAAGAGTTCTCAGGAATGAACATCATTGAGAGCTCCATCTGAGACACATTTACACTATAAGTTTCCCCACTAAGAATCCGGGAATTGTTGTGGGTGCTGGGAATTGCAGCACTGTGTGGCCCTTACATGATACATAGCTCAGGCGGCAGAACACAAGACTCGTAACTTCAGGGTCGTGTGTTCAAGCCCCACATTGAGCAAAAGATTTCCACATGGGGGGGTTGGACTAGATGACCCTCATGGCCCCTTCCAGCTCTACAATTATATAATTCTCATTGTTCCCAAGCCTGTTGAGGTGATGGGAGACAAGGCCTAGTTTGTACTGACCCCAAGAAATCTTTGCCCAACCCCTTCTTTGTCCTCTATTAAGCAGGCTCTTATGACTATTTCATTCTGAGGTGCAGCTCTGAATTAATTAGAGCCCCCAGAGAATGAATTCTAATTTAATGTTCCTTCTGTGTTTTATTATTCCATTTCATTGCTGCTTTGTTGTTTTTAGAATTGTATTGTAGATTTTCTTTGTTAATATATTTTTATGATTTTTTTTTGCATGAAAGAAAGGAAACTCAACTGGAACCCACATTATGCTTGCAGTAAGAAATGATTTAGTGGGCTGGTAGAAGGGATTTATTATAGGCTGACCAATTAACCACAAATCCTTTGAGTAATCATCTGTCTTTAGATATATTAACGTTAATTAAAATAAATTGGCATATTGCACATGGATGCCTTTTTTGGAAAAAAATGAAGAAAGTGAAAGATAGTTTACTGCTTAATAAACAAAAGTGAGCACTCATTAGAGAGAAAGGTCATTGTTAATATGTTCTTTTTCTTTCCATAAGTCACCAGAGCCAAAATAGCTGCAAAACAACACCCCGACAGAAATTGAACATTCACAATGAAAGGGGACCCCCACCCCACTGAATAAACTACAGCTGTTGTTGATTAATCTGCCAATTAAAGTTTCATTTCCATCTAATATGTGTGCGAGCATACGTGTTCTTATGGACTGATACGTATCTTTCCCAACATTTTCTGTGATTGTTCAATTAGTCTCCTTGAAAATAAGGTGCAAGCTTTGATTCAGTGTCTGCTTGGTGTATTTGCAAAGAGGAAGCTGCTTTATAGTGAGTCAGACTAGTGATCTATGTTTTATGATGTTTCATCCATGATTTTTTACTGAACTTTTTGGTGCACACCACCACAATATTTTTCTTATCAACTGGCAGTTCATAAATAACCGTAGAAACAAAATAATAATTTATAAGGCTACTTATAAACCATGAACTCAATACGAGGTGACTCCCATAAATGTGGAAATTTACCTCAACGGCCAAGTTAACTGATTACATCAAAATGAAAGAGAAAAGACAAAGACAAGATAAATTAGCAACAAATTGGCAGCCATTTATTAAATACAGCAAGGATTCAGGGTTACGTCAAAATATATTGTGCTTTTACACCGTTTTGAATTCAGTTCTAGCAAGGATGACAAGATTATGGTGTAATATATTGTCAAGGGTTTTTGTTATTCTTTTCCACTTTGTGTGTTGGGGTGTGTGTGGGGGGGGAGCAGGTGACTGTGGTTTCTATTTTCCTATGATTCCCCCCCCCTTTTCATTTCTTTACACACACATATGTATCCCGAGCAAAAGACCCGCCTGCTATCACTACTTTCACTGGCATGGCTGCCCCTGGGCATCCAGCATTGTCCTTGAGGCAAAATGTTCCACCATGGGAATGATGTCATGAATTGCTGTAATGCCTTTCTAGAGCTTTCTTGCCTGCCCCCCATGGCTGCCTCCCTTTCCTCACATCTCTCCCCTCCTCTTTGTTCCCAGACAGCTGTTCCCCCGGGGCTTGCCTGATGAATTCACCCTGGTGGTGACTCTACTCTTGAAGAAACAGACCAGCAAAGAGAACTGGTACCTCTTCCAGGCCACCGATCGTCAGGGGTACCCCCAGGTACATCACACTAGCATGGTGCATCCTTTCCAGGGCCTTGTGGCTCTTTCTGTCCTATCATGTGCCTCTTCTTTCCGCTGAGGGCAACCAGCTTCCTATTCAGCTTCCTGTTACCCACCTGATCCACATGGGCAAAGTTGCCAGTGGAGCTGCTGTACCTTGTAGATTCCAAAAGCTGTCGCCACCTATGCAGTTGCTATCTGCACCCATGCCCACCTATCTTTCTTTCACCCAGGAAATGTGGCACATGCAGCCTTCTCAAAATGGGTGCTCTCCAGATGTTGTGGGCTTTAACTCCCATCAGCCCCAGCCAACATGGTCAGTGGTTACGGATAGTGGGAATTGTAGTCCTAAATATCTGGAGGTCATTAGATGGTGGGAGATTGCTCTAATGGGGCAAGGCAACAGCATGGAAAGCTCCCAAGTAAGCAAATTGCTCCCATCAAGACCAAGAGTGGGCTGGAGCCTTCTATGCCTCCAGGGCAAGATCACCCCTCCAAGGCCCCACCCCAGGCAATGGAGGAACCCACAGTGGTGGCTCCAAACCAGACTGAGCAGTAGGCTCCTCCTGAGAGGATAAGCTAGAGCCAGGCTCTCGTAGTGCTGCAGAGGGTGCCAGGATTGGAGGTGAAGCTGCCACAGAAGTGAAGTGGACTCAGTTCACCTGGGTGATGTAGGAGGGGAAAGAGTGGAGTGCTGGGATGGCTATGTCACTGAGACCTTCCCAAGGATCTGAATCCTCACTTGTAATTCCCCTCGTTTGGTGCTGCTGATCCAGCAAACCTAGCCAGCCCCTTCTTGTCTGAATCACAGTTCAAGCCTAAGCTGCTGCCCATGAGGAGGATCCTTGCCATAGAAGTGAGCCTCCTAGACTGGCCTTGTGTTGTGCTTTTACCATTGAAAGCTAGCATGGGAGTGTGGCCTGGGCATGGGCAGAGCACTGGATCTGGCTGCTTGCTTCTCACCTGAGCCATTTTAGCAGGTGGGAAGAGCCATTATTAGCTTTGTTCCCCTTGAGGGTTCCTCTCCCAGGTGGTTTCCTGGACAGGGAAAGCGGAGTCCAGCTATTTAAAGTTTCAGTTTAATCCTCCAAGCATTGATTAATCCTAACTTTTATTAGACCCAGGAATTGAGGGGGATCCGGTTCCCCACAAACTCATAACAATATGGAATATCTCAAATGGCTAAACTAACTGTTTTTCTCAAGACGTTATTTCAGAAAACATGCTGATCCAAGTTAATGATAATAATAAAGCATTCCTCTCATTCCTCTCTGGAATAACAGGCATCGAGACCACATTTATCATTCTGTGTTCTTTATGATAATATAACTGTATTTTATATCTGTCACTTCCTTTAATAAAAAATAATATATAGCTAAAACAGACTGATTCATAGTATGACAAAGATGCCACTTGTGTCATGGGATCTGGTGGTCTGCAAGATTAGATTTGACCCATTTCATAATGAAGGGTGTTTGGACCAGAGGGAAAACTGCCCTGGCAAAAAAGAATCACAAGTCTTCTCTCAGCTTGCCTGCTGCTGCCACAATCCTAGTATCTCTCTGTTTAGTGTGCTTTCTTCATCTTTCTGTCTCCCTGTCTCCCCTCATGCCTTTCATCTCTGCCTCTCTTTCTAGAACATTCTCATAGTCAGCGCCGTCTCCTTTCACCCCCTCAGCTCTCCCTGGGGATCAACAGCAAAGAGCAGAGCCTGGAGTTCCAAGCCAAGGGCCAGGACAAGGAGTTTGTCAGCGCCATCTTTTCCGGAAAAGGGGTCTCCGCCCTTTTCGACTTGAAGTGGCACAAAATGGTCCTTAGCATCCAAAGCCAAGTGGTTTCCATCCACATCGACTGCAGCTACATCTCCTCCAAGCCACTGCAACCCCGCCGGCGCCTGGCCAGGGAAGGCAACGCGTTTGTTGGATTGGATGCCGTGCAGGGTGCTCCTGTCACAGTGAGTCATGGTGGGGCTTTGTGGGCAAGCTGTGGCAAGCGGACCATCTCTCCATTTGGGGCTGCTTGGCCTTTGCTCAAACCTAGTTGGGCTCAAACACACATTGGTACCTATGAAGACACCCCCAACTCTAAGGAATGCTGCTAACGTTTTGAAAAAGTCTTAAGCTTCACCAGGAACCTCTCATAAATCTTCAGGTTTGTCCTAGCATTCTACCGTAGGTGACATGCATATGTTTTGCTAATCTTACATTTCTAAGAAGAAAGAACCTCCAAATTGTCCAAAAGTTCACTTTACACAAAATTCAGTTCTATTGAAGCTTCTCTTCAAGATGCAAGATTGAGGCCACTAAGCTAGCTTGCCTTTGAACTTCAAGACAAAGCTATGAGCTAGGCTGATTTTATTCTTTGGGGGTTTCCTTTTTGTGATTTGTACCAGGCCTATGCAGGGATGCAGGTCAGAGGTTCCCCATCTACAGTGACAGGCAGCAGCTCTCTCTAACCCTAACTCAATCCTACCTGCAGATAGTAAGGATTGAGCCTGGGACCTGCTGCATGCATAGCAGATCTTCCACCACTAGAGAATCTGCATGGTGATAGAGCAAGAAATGACTTTATATTTCCAGGAAGAGATTTTGAAACACTTGAGCTGATCAGCCAATGCATAATTAACAACAAACGAAGCTATTTTGGTATAAGTGCATTCTGCAATAAATCAGGGAGCTTTAGCAAATCCTGTTCTAAGCCAGAAGCCAGCACACAAAATTCTTCGGCAAGGTTTGGGGCCTTGGCAAGGACTACTGCCACCATCACCAGGCTGCTGTTATAACGCTGGTGGGGACATCACTGGTCACTTCTACTGCTGCTAGCTGCTTCCCAGCAGCAGCTAGAATGGACTGTGGGGTGGCCTCGAACATGAGAACATAAGAAGAGCCTGGCTGCCGGATGAGCCCAAGTCTCTCCCAGTCCAGCAGTTTGTAGCCAACCAGATGCCCCTATGGGAAGCCCATAAGTAGACCCTGAGTGCAAAATGGTCAAGCCCAAAATGGTCAAGTGGATGGAGAGTGAATCCCCAGTGAGAAAAGGCCGTAACATTTGGGACTTTTTTAGTTCAGAGAGAAGGCCAGCAAAAGGTGATATGATGGAGGTGTCAAAAAATTATTCATGGCATTGAAAAAGTGAGTGGGCAAATATATATTGGATAAGGCTAATAACAGTTACAAGCCATGATGGTTATGCTGTACCTCCATGGTTGGAGGTAATAATACTTCTGAATACCTGTTTCTGGAAACCCAAGGAGGGGAAAGTGCTCTTGTCTCTCAGAGCCTCCCTGCAGGTTTCCCACAAGCATCTGGTTGGCCGCTGTGAGAATAAGATTGTGGACTAGATAGGCCATTGGCTTCGTCCAATAGGCTCTTCTTCCATTCTTATGAGGCACAGTGCCTCTGATATTGGAGACACTACATGGCCATCATGGCTAATAGCCATGTGAAGCTCTTGATGTTGAGTGGAGCTCTAGGCCTGTACCCCTGAACTCTGACATTTTAATTATGCCATTTCCCAGGGTGTGTATGTTGGGAGCAGGGCTGGCGAAGTAAAATGGTGGTGCTGGGAATTCAGTAATTTGAGCCCTGTGCAATTGTTGAGTTAACTCCTGAGCTGTTAGAAGCTTCAGAGTTTTGCTTAGACTCCAGATACCTAGAGTATGTCTTTGTGGGATTTCCCTATGGCTGGAGGGCAAATAATGCCATAGCAGCCTTGCTGACACTAAGCAGGTCTAGCTCTGGTCAGTGCCTGTGTGGGAGACTGCCTGAGAACCCTCATGTATCCTGCCTTAATTTCCTTGATAGAAGGAAGGTGATTTTTAAATGCAATAAATGAATAGATGTACTGACCCATTAGACAGGTATAAGCACAGTTCCACATGTGCCAGATTTCATCTCCCAACCCTGACCCCACCTCTGCTTCTAATTCATGTGCACAGTTGCGAAGAGATCAAAATGAGGCGATTACCCTGCCAAGATCAGGATTTCTGATTGTTCTCTCTTTTCCTATAATAGAATTGGGAGTGACAGTTCCTTTTTGGAGAGGGGATTTCTCTCCCCACACATTTATCCCACTATGGCAATGCCAGTGGGGAATTTGGAGAAGCACCGAAGGAAATATTTCACACTATTTCCGCTTTCAGAATGTGTGGCGTTGTTTTCTTCTTAAGTAGAACTTTAAAATAATGCTGCTCCAAAACTCCTAGGCCAACATTTAAAGGTGGCAATTTGTGCCTACCTGATGGCCTTGAGGGGAAATCTGCTGCCTTGGAAGAGGAGAGGTCCTGAGGATAATATATAGAACCTCATTCTCAGAACCAAGCCCAAGACCTGCCAACCCTTCACCAGAAACCATTTGAGAGGCAGGTGTCTGAAAACGTACAGACAATAGGTAGCTCACCCTGCCATTTCTCTTGCCCAGAAGAAGCTTGCCAGGTGTGGTGGAGCCCAGTAGGTATGTCACTGTCACTTACTGGGCGGGAAGATGTCATGGAGGCTGCAGATGCATTGACAGGGGCACCAGATTGGCTCTGCCAGTGCGTTTTCACTGCACTGGTCTCCCTGCCACTTTTGCCCTCTCCTTCTTGGGAAGCAACTGGGACACAACTGGTGAGAAGTTATCATAATGGCACTGCCCCACCTGGCGAGCCACTTCTGCTCATTCCTCCAGTGGGATGTGTACTTGTACCACTATGATTTCCCATGCTTAAGTGAAGGGCTGGCTGAGGCCTCTTCTCCAGCATCTGAAGAACCAGGGTGGATATTGGATCTCCACCCTATAACAGTTTGCTTGTTTCTTTGTTTGCAGTTTGACATTCAGCAGCTTCACATTTATTGCGACCCAGCCATGGCAATGCATGAGGGATGCTGTGAGATCTCTGATAACGGGGTGAGTAATACTGCAGATATGCAAAAGCTGTCACTTCTGTTTATGTGTGTGCTCCTGCATTTCCTCATGCTGAGGTTGCAGGACTGAGACATTTATCCACAAAAGCTGTCAGACAACTTTTCTAGAGTTGAAAGCACTGCTGTCTGTTTTGCAGGTTTTTATTATCTACAGTGGTGCATCAGGTTCCCCATTCAAAACCACAGGCAACAGCAGCAATTGATATAGATGTGATCTTGCATTGTAGATGCAATCTACTCAGTTACATAGCAACTTGAATGTAAAAACTGCTATGCTTTTTTTGGGTGGATCCGATAATATGTTGACACCTGCTGCCTGTTTGGGATAGTTATTTTTTATATTTTTTTGGGGGGGGTGGATAGTTATTTGAAACAATGTCGGTGTGGTTTTTGCTTCAGAAAACCTTCACTTTCAGGTCTATGCAGTCATTCCCCTCTACAGTGGTGCCTCGCAAGACGAAATTAATTCATTCTGCGAGTTTTTTTGTCTTGCGAATTTTTCGTCTTGCGAAGCAATGCACCCTGGGTATTAACAGTTTTAAGAAAAAGGAAACAAACTTGCAAGACGCTTTCATCTTGCGAAGCAAGCCCATAGGGAAATTCGTCTTGCGAAGCAACTCAAAAAACCAAAAACCCTTTCGTCTTGCGAGTTTTTCGTCTTGCGAGGCATTCGTCTTGCGAGGTACCACTGTACTTACTTCTCAACAAGCTCTGATCTTGTTCAAATAGTACAGCCTCATTGTGCCCATAAATTCAGTGGTGAAGAACCTCCTGCCCATGGGCCTAATCAGGTCTACGGGATTCAGTCGTAATTTGGCCCTCAAGGCTGTTTTCCCCAAACCACGCCCCACACCTGACACCACACATGACACCACACATGACATCAGGTGGGCACCTTATAAAGACACGGCTTGCAAAGGAATACTCAGGATCTTAAAATGTAATCCTGTTTGTTCTTTGGCAAGCAGGACTGCTGTCAGCACCAACCAGCTGTTTGGGACTGAAAGCTAGCAACTTAGAAGTTGCCACCTGATGACACACCTGTCATGATGGGTGAGGGAAGTGAGGATTCAGCCCACCAGGCTGAAAAGTCTTATCACCTGAGCCATAAACTTTGGTCTCCCAGTTCCTGGTCTGTCACTAACCAATATTTGTTCCCAATTAAATTTTCTGGGGCTCCCCAGACACAACCAATTTGGGCAGCAGTAAGAAAAAGAAAAATTGTAAGTAGACACAGTGCTAGGATGGGTGGAGCCCAGTTCCCTTATAGGAAATGAAAACTACCTCCTTCCTGATCATCAGAGTGATAATTTTGTAGTTTTAGGGGGGCATGCAGATCAGCCAATGGGTGGCTTGTCTACCTGTGTGTATGCAGGTGAGTGCATGAGGGAGTGTAGGGTGGCTTGCAGCCCCCAGAGATTGGCCAAGGGTAATATCAACCCTTGGACCAAAACACACTAGCCACCGCTGCTATAAGCCCCAGGCCATGCTGGTCCACGAAGAGCTAACTGCCTTGCTCACCAAAGTTATTTCAGTACTTTCCTGTTTCATCAGTGCTTTCCCGAAGCATCTAAAACTCGCCGGGATGTGGAAGTCATGCAGAGCAATGACCTGATAGAGATCAACCCTCAGACTGAAGGCAAGGTCTACACCCGCTGCTTCTGCTTGGAGGAGACCCAAAGCAAGCAGGTGAGGAACACCAACCAGCAAGAAAGAACTAGCATAGCCCAGAGCATGGGCAGCCAGCATGGTGCCTTCCAGACATTTGGAACTACAACTCCCATCCGCCTCAGCCAGCATGGCCATTGGTCAAGGAGGATGGGAGCTGGAGTCCACAACATGTGGAGTGTACCACTCCAATTACTCCTGGTGTAGAGCTATGAATCAGGAAGCCCCTAGCTCAAATCTTGTTCCTGTTGTGAAGTCAGGTCATGGCTATAAGCAAGCCTCTCAGTCTCCCATCTGGGGGTTGATGATGCTGTCCTTCCCTGGAAAATTGTAATGGTTATGACAAGCTAAAGCATTTGTAAGCATTACATAAGACAAAGTGTTATTGATTTGAAATCCTCTGGAGAATTCCATTTACTGGAACTGTACAGCCCAAACTGTGGAAATATGGGGTAGTTGTGGTTCATGGGTTTTTGTTGCATGTGTACAGACAGCACAGATGAAGATATAGTTTTCTGTTTCACCCTGCCTTTGTTGCTAATGGGACTGTTTCCATTCCACTGCATTTCGTCTTCTGCATAAACTGTTATTCTTCTCACTGTCCGTTGTGACAATATTGTGTTAATTATGTAAATTCCATCTTTTCATTATGTTATCCATTCATTTCAATGTAAAGAAAACATGATGCAAATGAGAGAAAATGCAATTGATTTCATATCATTTGCAGTTTGAAAGTAACAACAGCAGCGAATAGCAATTGCATTTGCTGGATTGATTTCCATTCTGGACATGGAATGAACAAGTGAACATTGGCAATTTCTAGTCCCGTTTCTCTCTAGCAGACAGCTAGGTTGATACGGTGTGATTAAATAGGATGGATTTGTGTGGAAAGAATTTTATTGTGGAAGAAAAGCTGTGAGATCATTACTGAACAACCATTGCAATGTTAGCCTGCGTAAACAACACTGAAAACTTCCATTGCGTGTGCTTAGCCATGTTCACCAATATCTTGCTGCCACCCCCAGCATCTGCCACCTGAGGCAGCTGGCTCACTCTGCCTAATGGTAATGGTTATGTCCAATCACATTGTGTTGGACATAGTACCATGGCATTGTTCCATTTACTGTGTGATCCCTGATTGGATGGGATCACCCATGTAACCATTATCAGAAGCAGCAGTCAGGATAAATAATGGCACCCAACAGTTTTGAGAAAAGACAAGTATTTGGGAGGGGAAATTACCCATCAAAATAAGTACTTTTGATCCACAAATCGGAAAGTTGTAGAGACTCAGTGCAGTTTTAATCCTCTGCTGAGATAGATTTAATGGTCCAACTGATGGAAAACTAATTTGCCTGTTCCCACCACCACTGTAGTATGGAATAGAGAGAGCATTGCTGGAATTAAACACCAGTCATCCGTTCAACATTTGCTGGGAATATGTTTGCTACCAATTTAGGGATTTTATTTTTCACTGTCACATCCTACTGAGAAGAAATACACATCAGAGAAGGGACTGGGAAGGGGGGAGCAAGAGGTTGCAATCTAAACCATCTGAGACTACTGCCAGCCAGTTGTGCGCTGACATGATGGATAGAATATGGAAATATTTACATCCCTGCTCTCCAAAGATGGTTCTTAAGGGGGCTAGCAACATTTTTTAATACAAAAACATGATATAAAAGGAAACATCAGTACAAAAGCAAAACACAACCTTCGGCAGATTAAAAACAGCAGCAGAATTGATTAATCAATCATTTAAACACTTTATTATTCAATCACTTGGTACATAAACAGTTTTTTCACCTTCTCCCAGAGGTGCAGTTACTGCTTGATTCCTGTCCTATAACTTAAGTTTTCTTTCATCTGGTGAACAACATTCCTGTTTTTGATAGCTCAAGTGTAGGCATTCATATCTGATATATGATTAAATTGTGCTTCTTTTATTTACATAGAAAAGCCCCATTTAATTCAGCATATCTTGTAGAGGCATTGATTTGGTTTTGAGATGAATTGTAGGGCCAATAGATGCTTACATCCAGATGATTTAATATTAGCTTAGGCTGCAGTCCTAACATGCTGATCCTTGTGGCTGAAGGGGGTTAGGAGGCAACAGATGCAGCCATCTGCTGGGCTATGTCTCTGTGGGACTCCATTGCCCTGGAAGCCCCACTCCCAGCCATAGAGAGTGGTGGTGTTCCTGCCAGTCATAACCAGCATAGGACCCCAAAATGATCTGTAATGGGGCTGGGTCACAGCAGGGCCAGCCATGGATCCACTGGGTTCTGAACCAGTCCATTTAGCAGAGAGGGCTCCTGGAACTGGCATGGCTTTGAAAAGTCACTAAAACCACTGCCCACTTCTTCTGCCCTGGCCAGCAAAAGCCAGCAGGATGTGATGGTCAACCCACCATGGCACTCTTAGTGAGTATATGCTTTTGTGTGCATTCTTTGGTTGGAGAACTGCATCATAATTTGTGTCTGCATTTTGAAGAACAGCTGCCTATCAGTTCATGTCTTGTTTTGTGAAGTGGGTAGATTTACATTAAGATGCAAACCATGCTGGATATTCCCCTCATCCTGAAGTGGCATGGACATCTTTGTCCAACTGTAGGTAAATCTGACCCTGGGGCATTGTGTTCTTACTTGCCCAAGGAAGAAATGCTGAACTCTCTGACTTGGAACTGCCTTCTCCCACATATGGGCCTCCTTTCCCTGTTGCTCTCCTCTCCATCCTTTGAGATTCTTTCATTCATGAGAACACAAGCCTCATTCATTCACCCTCTGGGACAAAAACAAACCTGCCTCATTTTTTCCACAAGATTTAATGGTGGTGATGAGACTAGGCCAAAAGAGCCAGACTGAAGAAAAATGCAAGAAGAGCCAGAGGATAGAAAACGGAGCTTATCGAGAGGCGAATCTTGACAGGATGGAGCAGCAGATAAGTGGGAGCGGGGAAAGTATTCCTACAAGCGCAAGGGTGTGTGATGATAAGCATCTTGCTGGTGGGCTGGGAGAAAGAGGCCAGGGTGTTAGGACGATGTGTAGGCGGACTAGTCCCTGGGTGTCGTTGAAGTGTAGGTGGATCTATGGCCCTTCAGAAATTGCTAAACTACACCGCCCATAATCTGTGGCCACCAGCCATGCTTGCTAGGGCTGATGGGAATTGCAGTTCTGCAATATCTGATGGGCCAAAGGTTCCCCAGTCCTGACTTCGAGTGATGTAGAGACAGGCATGTAGCTGCTGCACAGCATGTTCCAGGGGCAGCTGAACAAGGTCAGAATGTGAGGAGAATTTACTGGAGACAAGTGGGGTTTTTTTGCAGTGCACAGATGGTGCAAAGGGAGCAAACAGCCCAGAGACAGGCAGTGCTGAGACAATCAAAATATGTGTCTGTGAGCCATTTGGCAGATAAGGGGCATCACTCTCTGTTATAGTCTCTGATTTGAATGCAGCAGGTCCTGAGTTCCTGGCATCTCTGGCTAAGGCTGCAAAAAAGGTTTTGGAGAGTGATGGGGTGGTGCTATAGAGCCACCATCCTGACACTGGCATCACTGCCTCTCACTGGGCTGTTGTGTGAGTCGGGCGGGATGGTGGTGGGGTGGGGCTGAGCAGTGAGAGTGCCAGATTGGCTCTGCCAGGGTGCCCACACAGACATGGCTTCACTGTCACCCTGACCTGCCCCCACAAGGTCCCGGTTAGCAGCAACAATTCTGCTGTCAGGAGAACCGCTCTTCACAAGCCGCTCCTGCCTTGAGGAGCAAGACTGGAGAGCCAAAGGCCAAGATAGGTGACGGAGGAGGTCACTTGACCTCCTGAGCTTCTGCCATTTCATTTCTTGTTTAACACAGGAAACTGAATTGGTACAAGTTAGACCATCCAGCTCAGTACAGTTGTACCTTGGAAGTCGAAAGCTTAGTTCCTGAGCATTTTGGCTCCTGGACGCCGCACACCCAGAGGTGACTGTTCCAGCTTGTGAACTATTTTTGGAAGCCAAATGTCTGATGGGGCTTCCATGGCTTCTGATTGACTGCAGCCAATCAGCCAATCAGCCAACACTTTAGTTTTCGAACGTTTTGGAAGTCAAACGGACTTCCGGAACGGTTTACGTTTGATTTCCAAGGTATGACTGTACTGTCAACACTGATTGACAGTTTCTCTCCAGGGTTTCAGACTAGGGATGCTAAGCCCCTTGGGGAAGGGGCATAGCCCAGTGGAGTGCACCTGCCTTTCATATAGAAGGTCTCAGGCTCAGTCCCCAGCATCTCCAGGTAAGGCTGTGAGAGCCTCCCTGTGAAGACAATACAGCGTTACATGGACCAGTGGTCTGGCTCCATATAAAGGCAGCTTTGTGTGTCCTGTGTTCAGGCAGGAGACCTTCCCAGCCATACTGCAGGGTGCCAGGATTTGAACTTGTGACCTTCTGCAAGCAAAGCAGATGCTCTATCACTGAACTGTGGCAGTGCACTTCCAAATGCTGTGATAAGCACCTGTTAAATGTTAATCTTAGTTCTCTGAACATCAGCCATTTTCTCCAGCTGCTGGCAACCTTCCCTCTTCACTCGGAGTGAAGGACAGAAAGAAGCTGTTTTGGCCCGCATGGGAGGCTTCCTACGTGGGAGGGAGCATGAGAGCATCCAGCAGATTTATGGCTTTGAAAGAGGATTGGACAAATTCACTATCAGCGGCTACTAGCCATGTTGCCTAGGCTCTGTCTTCACCGCTGGAAGCAGAAATGCAGAAATTGCTAAGAACCACAGGGGAGGGGAAGTTGCTCTTGTGCTCAGGTCCTCCTTGCATGTTTCCCACATGTATCTGGTTGGCTACTATGAGAATAGGAAATAGGATGCTGGACTAGATGAGTCCCCTTTGGCCTGATCCAGCAGACTCTTCTTATGTTCATATGCTAGAAGAATGGTTTGTGGACTACTAGCCTATAATACTGTCTTTTCTCTGCTTTCTTCCAGGAGGAGGTGAGATCTTCTGGAAAGGTTGGTGTGAAAGATGGCCAAGGTGACAAGGTGAGGAATCATATATGGAGCATGAGTTAGTAATTTTGCTTACATAGGTGTAGCATCTAAGAAGAAATTGAGCTACTGATCAGGGAGACTCCCGTTCTGATCTCTCCTGTCATGAATTTTTGAGTCCTCGTGCCCATAGCTTTTTCAGATAATGCTCCGTGGCGACCTGGAAGTAACGGAGAGCGTTACTTCTGGGTTTCACCGCTCGCGCATGCACAGATGCTCAAAAATGACATCATGCGCATGCACGGAAGTGGCAAATCACGACCCGCACATGTGCAGACGCGCAGACATGGATTGCGTTCGCTTCAGGATGCCAACGGGGCTCCGGAACATTCGCATCCAGAGGTACCACTGTATAGTTAAATAGGTTTGTTTGAACCACAACTTGGTAAGTTTGCTCTTTGATATATTCAGCTTGAGACAGTGTTGAAACATCCTTTTTGCATTTTTAATTTGTTTTTAAACAAATAAAGAACAGTGTTGAAACATTAACAGAGAGAAATATCAGAGGGGAAGTTGGAAATGCGGAATTGAAGGAAGGACAAAAGATCTAAGGTACAGAAGAAAAGCTGAGTGTCATCAGCATATGGGTAGTATTGAAAGCCACAAGAATTCAATATAAACGGTTGAAATTCTCATATTGGATTGTGAGAATGACATTTTACAAGGCAGTTTGAATTCAATTTCTTTTGAATGGGAACATTGGCAAATGACCTATGGAGAGTTTTGTAAGGTGTTCTACTTTGGGGAGAAGTTTCTCGAGGAATTTCTCCAAGCACACACACACACACACACACACAATTTCTTTCAGTGGTATTCCAGACCTTTAGGGGCTGAGAATCAAAACCCTGCTTGTCCCTGCTTACCATGTAGTACTTAAGACTTCATTGATGCTAATCCTTTCCTGGAGAGCTCTCAGTAAACGGTTCCTTCTGAGGGCTTCTTTGTATGTCCCAGACTCCTGAGCTATCAATGCCTAAAAGCAAGCAAAGCCTTCTGCGCTCTGGCGCTTGTTACACAGTCAGGAATTGTAGCCTTCATAACATGCCTCTGCAGTTGCTGCTCCTTGTTCAGACCATTCTGGATGCCACAGTCATCCGGAAGATTGGATTGCTGACGTGGATATTGTCTTTCCATTGATGCCATCAGTTATTCTGAACCCACAGATGCCGGGGGGGGGGGGGATGTTGTATAAGTGTAGGTAAATGAAGACCTCACTTGCCAAGGACCAAAGGAACCTTTCCTCCAAGTCATCAGAACTCTTCTGATGTCACTTCCACACCACCACAAAGAAACAAAAACAACCTCGGCTCAGTCCTGGGACAAGCTTTAGAAATTATCAAAATTAAGTAAAAATGCAATTGGATGCAAAAACCTTTGCACAATTTTGCCAAGGTGGGGTGGGATTATGAAGGGGGTTGTGCAACTGAATTCACTGGGGAAAAGGGGAGCCTCTGCACTTCATTCCATATCCCACTGTAAACAATGAAGAGCACACCTAAAAAAAATGGTTTCTTCTGAATAATAATAATAATAATTTATTTATACCCTGCCCTCCCTGGCCAAGAGCGGGCTCAGGGCAGCTAATATCAGGTATAAAAACAATTAATTAAAATACAACTTAAAAACAGGATTAAAGTACAACTTAAAATGCAGCCTCATTTCAGTGGAAGCCCAGATCAAAAACTGTTTGGGGGGAGAAAACGTCAAATCTTCACCAAGGCCAGGTATCCAGACTGGTCCTACGTGGGCCAGAAAAAAGCCAGGGAAGTCCCCAAATAGGGGTTCCATCACAGAAGGAAAAGTAAAGAGAGAGGGGGATCAGGCTGATTCCAAGCCAAAGGCCAGGCGGAACAACTCTGGCTTACAGACCCTGCGGAAAGAAATCAGATCCCACAGGGCCCTAGTCTCATGAGATAGAGCATTCCACCGGGCCAGAGCCAGTGCTGAAAAGGCCCTGGCCCTGGTTGAGGCTAATCTGACTCCCTTAGGACCCGGGACCTCTAGAGTGTTGCTATTTATGGACCTTAAGGTCCTCCGTGGGGCATACCAGGAGAGGCAGTCCCGTAGGTACGAGGGTCCTATACGAGGGACATTATGCTCAAAAGCAAGGTGATCTATGGTGCTCTGTGGAGTTTCTGTGGATATCTGAACTCACAGGAATACTGTGCTGAAATAAATGGGCAGGTTTCACATATCCCAGCCTTACACCTTGCTGGTGTGCTGGATATACCCAGAAAGGCATCTCTGCAATTTCCACAACATTCTGACATCCCTATCAACAGTGTGTAAGTTTGCATTCCAAGCACCATTCCTTCAGTTGCCCCCGATGCAGGGAAACCGCAGCAGCCACCAGCTGCCTCGGCCTGCCTGGTTTGGCTTCTTTAGAGCTGACCATCCCATGGGAAGCATCTCACACTTAACTGGTTTGGTGGGAGGAAGCAGTGGTCAAGCCACAAACCCTCACATATAATAAGAGTCTTTCGCTGTGCCCAGAAATTTGCCAGGGAAAGGAGACGGAGCCAGCTGCCTTTCAGACAACTGAGTCCCTTCACTAGCTCACTGGAGGCTTCCACCCAACACCCCCTTCACTAATAAGCTGCTTGGCCTGTACTTGGGAATGGACTGTAGGAGGATTCAAACCGATCATATCACAAGGGAATCAGAGAAGGTATTTGCTTAACCCCCCAATGCTGCATTTTAGTATTTTCCTGATTGCATTAAAAATAGCCAAAGTTTGATCATTTGTGTCACTGCCCATCATACTAACAGTCACAAAAATGCATAAACATTACAGAGTGATTGATAGTTGAACTGGTAGATGGATGAAAGAAGTCCTTGCCCATGGGGCGTAAGTCAATGAATGAATTTATCTAGTAAACCCGCACATGTTTGCAAACAAATAAAGCAACACTGCTGAAGAAAAACACTCTCCCCTGACCTTTGATGGACCCTTGCGCCACAGCCAGCATCACCATAAACATGGTGGTCCATCCTATGTGAGGAAAAAGCAGGGATGCCTTTCTTAAGGTGGTGCCCACCACATATTGATTTTTTTAATGTACTTAAATTCAAAACAAGTTTCTTTTTTAAAATTAAAAACTGCTGTCCAATTCATGGTGGCATCTTTTTAATTGATCAAAATGTTTTAAATGTCAGCTCTCCAACCTGGTGCCCTCCAGATGTTTTTTTTTTTAAATAAGTTTTTATTAATTTTCCATAAGTAAAAAAGAAAACAAAGCAAAAACATAGATAAACACAAAAACGACTTCCCCGTACCACCCCTTTTCTGCATTCTTGTTTCAAGATTTTTCAGCAACCCTTTCGTATTAAACTTATTTCTATTTCGTAAATTTAATTTCCATAAGATAATAAAACAACTGTAGTTCTTTATCTCTTATTACCCTGATCCTCTAATTTTCCAAATTACAACAGTTTTTAAGATAAACTTTAAATTTGTTCCAGTCTTCATCCACCGCCTCTTTCCCCCGGTCTCGGATTCTGCCAGTCATCTCTGCCAGTCCCATATAATCAATCACCTTCGTCTGCCATTCTTCCAACGTGGGTAGATCTTGTGTCTTCCAATACTTTGCTAGAAGGATTCTTGCTGCTGTTGTAGCATACATAAAAAATGTCCTATCCTTCTTTGGCACCATTTGGCCCACCATACCCAGGAGAAAGGCTTCTGGCTTTTTATTAAAAGTTCTCTTCAGAACTTTTTTAATTTCATTATAGATCATTTCCCAGAAAGCCTTAATCTTCGGGCAGGTCCACCAAAGGTGATAGAAGGTTCCCTCCGTTTCATTACACTTCCAACACTTGTTATTGGGCAAATGATAAATCTTTGCTAACTTAGCCGGAGTCATGTACCACCTGTAGATCATTTTCATAATGTTTTCTCTTAAGGCATTACATGCCGTAAATTTAACACCAGTGGTCCATAACTGCTCCCAGTCAGCAAGCTCAATGTCATGCCCTATATCCTGTGCCCATTTAATCATACTAGATTTCACCATTTCATCTTGAGTATTCCATTTCAACAGCAAGTTGTACATTCTTGACAAGTTTTTAGTATTGGGTTCTAACAGTTCTGTTTCTAGTTTTGACTTCTCCACTTGGAAGCCTTTCTTTCTGTGGTGCCCTCCAGATGTTTTGCCTTGGTGCCTAGGGTAGATGAGACTTGCCATCCAAAACATCTGGATGGCACCAAGTTGTAGAAGACTGCAATAACTAATTACTTGGCTGCTAGTCAATTAGTTAATACAGCCTTCTCTATTCTCAACTCACTTACCTGAGGAAAAGCCCCCACTGAACACAGCAGGATGTACTTCTGAATAAACATGCACAGAACTGCATTATAACTGTTGCAGCCTTTATTAGAAAGCATCTTCCTTTCCAGTTTTCTAATTGTCTTGTTCTTTTTGCAGTGTCCCCCATGCTCACAGAAGTCACAGCTTTCAAATGTAAGTCAACGGGCTGGTGTTAATATCACATTGATTTTCTAATGAGCCCTTGGATAAGGCAGGCTGATGGATGTCAGTTGCTGATGGTTCAAGAAGCAACATGGGCTCTCTTTAACTTCCAGGAGTGGGATCCATGCATTTGTGGATTTGGAAAAAAAAATAATCTCCATAGGTCCTGTGGGCAGGAACTCGGGTCCAAGAGTAACTGTTCCTGGAAAACTGTTAATTAGGCAGGAGATGAGCTGAACTGGTGGTCAAGAAGGCAAGGTCATGCTCAGAACAAGAAAGTACTCTGGGTTTGGCATCTCTGGTTGCCAGCTGGATATTCCACACCCATCAACATTCCTCAGATGTAAATAGGGACATTTCTCACTCCCCTCCAACTGAACCTCCTTGATCCTGAGAAGGGTAAGGCAAGACCAGCCTACCTCTTAGGGTTGTTGTAACCCCACAATAACACCCCCCTTCTCTCTTTTTAAAAAAGACCCACAATCTTGCTTGCTTCAAGAGTTGGCCAAACACTGTTGGTACTCTTGGGAACATTGTCCCACCTACATCCCTTTCTTTCTGGTGTTAGAGCAGCATCATGACTGTTTTGCTGCCCCAGCTGCAAATGTAGTTGAATGTGCGGTTCGCCAAATTAGAGAAGCAACTGACATAAACTTCTAGTTGTGAGCAATGTTGAAATCACCTGACATGCACCCTCCCCCCACAGACAGAGACACAGGGCCTCTAATGGGACAAGGCTGTATTCTTAGATCCTTCCTCATTTGGCAGCCGAACTGCTGACTCAAAAGGCTTCTCAGCAGCTGCAGAATTGTAACCTCAACAGGGACCATTGATTCATTCATTGATTCATTCATCCCAGTGGCGGGTTCCTTCCCCGGAACCTGGATTTCCATCTTCATTCTCCCCTGCCCCCCAAGTCCTTTTACCTGTCCCAGTTGGCTGAATATCCAACTTTGTCTGCAAGCTTTCTAAAAGGAGCTGTCCCTGTGATCCCACCCCCCATCCTTCCACCACTTTCCCCTGTTCCTTCTGGCTTGCATCCACTGGAACATCTGGATCACTGAAGAAATCCGTGATGGCTTCCAGATGTCAGCAAGGGTTCCCATGGCAACAACTTTGGCACATGGAACCGCAGAGGATGAAAGGAAGAGGTGGGGAGGAGAGGCTGCATCAGTGCTACTCTTTGCACTTTTCCCTTTCCTTGCTTACTTTGAATAAAAAAATCCTTCCTGTAGCACCTTAAAGACCAACTAAGTTAGTTCTTGGTATAAGCTTTCGTGTGCATGCACACTTCTTCAGATACACAGTGTATCTGAAGAAGTGTGCATGCACACGAAAGCTTATACCAAGAACTAACTTAGTTGGTCTTTAAGGTGCTACAGGAAGGATTTTTTTATTTTGACTATGGCAGACCAACACGGCTACCCATCTGTAACTTGCTTACTTTGGTTACTCTTCTGCAGGGCTAGATGGTGGGACTGCCAAGCAGTTGCACAGGAATTTGTGGGAGGGGAAGCCACAGATCTGAGTCTTGGTGGCTTAGCCAGAGTCCCTTTTAGCCATTACTTCCCAGATGTAATGGGGACCCTGTGGCTTGACCCTCAACATGAACTGAGGGACAGGGGCAGATTGGTGTGAGAGAGAAAAGGACAATAAGAAGCTTCTTTATTCCAGTCAAATCATTGGCCCAGCTAGGTCCATATTGCCCACAATGACTGCCTCTTTCTCAGCCCTATCTGGAGATATTGGGGGTTGAACATGGGACCTCCTGCTCTACCACTGAACAATTGTCCTCCCTTAAAAAGCCCACTTTATTCCATGCCAGACCATTTGTCCATCTAACTCAGGATTGTCTACAGTGACAGGCAGTGCCTCTCTTGGTAGAAGACAAAAGACCTACCCAGCCCTATCCAGAAATGCCCAAGATGAACAAGGTGCGGTGTTTTGGTCCTTCTGGCTTGCCATACAAAGCTCAAGCCCTGGGCTCTTAGTTTCCATCTGCATTACAAGTGGCAGCTGGCTGCATGACTTTCCCCTCCATAACCGTATTGTATTAGAGTTATTGTTGTTTGTGCATCCTCTTTGTGGCCTCTCCTTTGTGATACTTCTCAGCAGGGGACTTCTGCATACAGAAAATATGCTCTGCTGCCACTGAGAGCTGCCCTTTCCTTGACTGCAGGCTCTGATCTCCACCTCCAGACCTTTCTTGCTCCTAGTCCGAAGGGAGCCAGCATCTGACATATTAAGAGCTTCTTACAAAGGCCACCAGTTCACTCTTGATGAAATGCAAGGTGCTGAATCGTCTCAGCAGCCCTGGGCCACAACTCCTCCCTCCCAACTGGTGCACAACAATATCTCTGAACTTGTTAAGCACCATATCTCCATGACTGAGCCACTGGCTCCTGCTTGTAACCTTGGAGAGCCCCTGTCAGTCAGTGTAGGCAGTACTGAGCTAGATGGACCATTAGTCTGAGTCAGCAGAAGGCAGCATCTTATGCTTCTTATGCTGCTATATAACCAGTCTGTTGGTTAGCCTGAAAGCTCTAGCAGAGACCTGCACAACCTATGACTCTTGGTGAGCTGAATGCAGACACTATACCAGACTTGTATTGTGGTGGGGAGGGGGTTATATTGTAAGGTTCTGCCCACCCTCACGTTAGGGTTAGGATGAAGTGAAATGCACTCTGGGCATACTCAGGGGCTGCCTTTTCACACTGGTGACCTAAAAATGAGCTAGGGCTTGTCTTCCCCCTCTCAGATTAAGCTCAAGCCACTCTGAAAAAATCAGGCTTTTGGGTGAGATTCTCTGAAAGATGCTTAAAGCACTCGGTCTTATGTGACTTCCAGCCATAAGAATAAGTTTGCCTCCTTATGGACCTCCCTCCTGGCAAAGAGGGCCCTACTGAGCCAATGGATACAGCAGCTGCAGAATAGTAACTTTTGACAGGGGCTCTTCATTCATCGCAGTGGCAGCCAATTTTCCACTGGTATGTTTTAAACTGAAAGTCAAAGCTCAGGGTCTATCTTTACTTCAGTGTGTGAATGTGTGTGTGGTGGAGGGAGGGAGATGCTGTATCATTGCATGGATGGAACATATGGATGCCAGAACCATCTGCAGTGGGTCTTGAAGTAGAGATGTGCAAGGAGTTTTGAACCTGGATGCCATCACATTGCCCTGACTAGAAGAGTGAACAGTAATGAGACTAGCCAGTCCTGATTTCCTCACTTAGACCCACATCTTTTAGCATCTCCTTCTCTTTGCCACAGATTACCTCCTTGGATATCCACTTTGCCTCTAATCTATGTAGCTATGCAGACATCTTGCCCCTAACTTTAGCAGGCAGATGGAGCCCCATGGGCCTGACCCAGCCACCAAAGCTTGTGACTAATGCTGGCCTCCATCTTCTCCATCCGTTTCTGGATCCTTTTTTAGGTTGTTCCAGCAGTGTTTATAAGAGGCCCTCCCTCCCTCTCTCAATAAGACACCTACATTTTCCATCCTTGCAGCTTGACTAACTTTTCCATTTGTCTTTTCCTTGGGGGAAGGAGGAAAGAGTTCCTCTCTATCTTCTTTATGGCAGCCTCTTAAGTTTGAGGCCTGTTATGTTACCTTTTAATCTTCTTTTCTCTAGGCTCACGTTACACAGCCCCTGATAGTTTTAACGTTTTGTCGGCCTGGATACTTGCTTTTCAGTCTCTTCCCGTTTGACCTGATTCCTCCTTTTACTTACTCTTGGCATGCAGAATGATCACCGAGGCGTCTAGCAGGTGCATTAATTTTGTTTTTATCTCTTCAGGCCACGCTGGGTCCGCCGGGCTTAAAGGTAAGTCTTTCACCTAAGCAGAATCCCAAATGGTGGAGGCTGCTTCAGGCTCCACATTCCTAATCTTATGCAGTTAACATTCCTAGAAGAATTGGCTGTCTGGCTTGCCATCATTAGTAGGGCTAAAAAGGACTGCTGATCACTCTGCATTTCCTTTTAAAGCCTTCTTCTGATTAGATTAAATAAACAAACGGACTACAACATAATAAGCATGTAAATTACCTTATCCAGAACGTTCCCCAAATTGTAGTGCATATTTGTGTATTGATACTAACAGGCAATAATGCAGGCCATGTGCTCAGACGTCAAACACTCCTTTTCTCATTGTTACTAGGGATTTGTTATTTTCTCTTACTGCATAATTATTGTCATCGCTTGCAGTGGTTTTCAACCTGTGGGTCCCCAGATGTTGTTGGACTACAACTCCCATCATCCCCGAGCTCTGGCATTGCTAGATAGGGGTGATGGGAGTTGTAGTTCAACAACATCTGGGCACCCAGAGGTTGAGAAAGCCTGGGAGGTTTTTGAATATTAAGCAGTTTATAAATGTTTATATTGTTAACTGCAGATACTGCACACAATCCAACTTCTGTCATTTGCGAATATTTTTATTTCAGGATGTTTGTAATTATTTTAAGGTAAGGGTGGCTAGAGTGTTCCAACTGGCGCCTGAGGTTGTGTACACATTATATATTTGAAGCACATTGATTCCCCCCCAAAGAATCCTGGGAATTGTAGTTTTAGAACCCTGGGAACTGTAGCCAGCACCCTCACAGAGATACAATGCTCAGCACCCTTAGCAAACTAAAATCCTTGGGATTCTTTGAGAGGTCATGTGTTTTAAATGGATAGACTTGTAAAGAAGGCAAACAACCGCTGATGTTAGAAAAGCTGCTAAACCTGCTATTCATTTTCAGACTAGAGACCTCAAGCCAAGATTGTGGCTGATGCTTATGCACACCTTAATCAACAGACTGTGGGAGAAATTCCTTCCAATGCCACCCACCCATGCTGTTGCTGTCATCCTGTCTTTCTCTTTCTCTCTCTCTTTCTCATCCCCTCTCTATCTAAATCCCACCCACCTTTCACTCCCTGCTCCTAACTGGAGAGAGAGTGTGCGAAGGGCAAGGATGGCATTTACATCTGAAAGAGATTAATAAACTAGCATATGTGTTTGCATCCAGACATCAAGTGATGTCATGTTTTTGTATTGTGCGCTGCTCACATCCACAGCATGTGGGCTTTTGTGTTTGATTTGTACACTCCGGAAGTGTCTTCTGCCTAGAGCTTCTGTTTTCTTTTCAATGGCATGACAACAGTACTTTTCTCAGGGAGTTCCTTCTCTCTTTTCGTGCAGGGTGGGAAAGGCGAACGTGGACCACCAGGCGTCTATGGATCCAAAGGGGAGAAAGGCGATCGTGTAAGTACAGCATGGTTCTCCTCGCTCTGTCACACTTGGAACTTTGCTGACATGCTTTGGGGAGCAACACTTTTACCATGTGGGAGAATTGGCATATCCAAATCCCAATGCCAAACCTTTGTTTGACATCATCATCATCATTGTTATGTACTTTGTGGTTTTGTTCTGTATTTTAAAGTATTTTTAATCTGTGAACTGCCCTGGGAACTTCAGATGAAGGGTGATATACAAATTTAATCCAGGCTGGCCCACACTCAAACCTTTAACACTATTATTAATTTTCCAGGGTGCTGACTGTGTCCGGATCTCACCTGAAGCCCCATTACAGGTGAGCTGCTGCCCAACCCTGGAAAGAGGTCATGCCTGTTTGGCTTCTCTCTCCTCTTCTTTGTCCAGTGTTGCTGTCCTACTAACTCCCTGTCTGTTTGTTCCTTATCTTTTCTGAAGTGTGCTGAAGGCCCACCGGGAGAGAAGGGAGATCAAGGAGAAAAGGTAAGCATGTATATACAGCAGGCTTTGCCAACTAGTGCCTTCCAGAAATTTTGGACTACAACTCCCATCAGCCCCTAGTGCCAAACTGTTTAGGGCTTTACACACCATTGGCTCTTGCACCACCCACTTTTGCCTTGGACTCCGCCCACGCTCCACTCTGGCTCCACCCACCGTCAGCTTGCATCCCCTACTCTGTGCTTACTCTGTGCATTATGGACCAGAGGGAGGGAGAAGGCTCCTGCTAGGAGTGTGAAAATGGGTGAGCTTTCCTGCCCAGGTATTTTTCAATTTCAAGTTGAAAATTATTTTGAATGAAATTTCTCTTCAGCCTTACCTGCAATAGATTAGTAGCAATCTTAAATGATTAGTTACCAATCTTAAATGACCCACTCCTGCCTGTGCTTAATAAAACCCACTTGATCAGAATGTACTAGCATTGTTATCACTGTGACATTTTGTTTTCTGCATGCAGAGAATTGTTTGGTGTGGAAAACAATCTGATCATGTGAGATCCTCACTTGCAACCTGAAGGGTTGCAGCTCAGCTGCAGGTTTACCACCTTTGTAAGGATTAAGGGATGAAGACAGAGAGACTATCCCCAGGGGCCCAAACTCTGATAGCCTGTCCTTGTTCATCATCTGGCATTGGACAGAACTTTTTTAGACTGACCTTTGATGCCAAAGAGTGCTGTGGGACCCAGAATTTTGCATACGCCTGCATCTTGCTTTCAGAGATTGGTCTACTCAGCGGCTTCTTCATTCATTCTTCCAAGTTCTCTAGTTAATAAGCTCCACAGACATCCATGCATAGATGCATCAAATTCAGCCCCTACTCCTTAGCCTTCTTGGTTTAGCCTGACCGTAGCAGGTCTGTGTCCATCGAATGTCACTTCAACTTGGCCCAAGTCACCCTGCTCTGACCTTTTGCTGACCAGCCACCTGTCTCTTTGCAATCTCTAGTTTGCTGTTTTGCAAAACGTCTGTTCTTCTTTCCCACTTTGAAAGCTGCTGATTTGAATAAAGGCCAGTGTGTGCTGGGCCAAAGTTTATACTGTGAATGATAAATATTTAGTCACGGCATCCTGTGGTCAGGCCTGTCATGACACTGTGTGTGTCTCTGTGTGTCTGTGCCTGGCCAGCTGCATCCTGCCCTGTCCACTTAATGCATTAACAAAAACCAGAAATATAGTGGCACTATATATTTTGTCAGAGCCAAGGACTTTTGCTTTGTATTTCAAATTGATATGAAAAATTTAGCCTCTCTCACTTAAGAACTGCTGATGGCAAACCATTCTCCTCTCTGCCTGTTCCCTCTCTCATCTCCCTTTGGCCTCCTCCATTCTCCCAGAATCCAACCTTCCTTTCCTCTTCTCTTCTGCCTTTTCAGGCCTCTGCCTCCTCTTTTTCTAGGCCCTTGCTGCTGCTTCACCTCTCTCTCTGAGATCACAGCAATTCAACCAATGGCAGCCAGAACCCATTCCTTATGTGACAGGTAGGCAGCTTAGCTAATGGTTGACAGAGGCTTCACCACTTCCGCTGCCACCATATTCCGTTTAATGCTTTACAGTAGCCCCTGTCTTGATCTATAGGGGCTTGGGTCCCATGTAGAAACTGGAAGCAATAAACAGAGCCCTTTCTGGCCTAAGCAGGTCAAGTCAGGACCCTGGACAGCTCCTAATGGGATGTGATGGGAAAGCTGTGGAAAATGTTGTCTCAGTAAAGGGGCAGAGAATAGATCCACACTACGCATTTAAAGCATATTCAGTGCACATTTAAAGCATGTAATTTTCCCAAAGAATCCTGGGAACTGTAGTTCATTCAGAGTGCTGGAAATGGTAGCTCCAGAACAGGTGTGGATCTGCCTTGAGCTACTTATTTCAGCTACTCAATTTATTTATTTATTATTTCATCCCACACCCCCCCCCCCATGAATATCAACAGATGATCACAGAGTGGGTACAAATGAAGAAGAAAAAATCAATTAAAACAGTACAGTCATTAAAACAAATAATATATAACAAAATATATACTTATTACTGTCTGAGCACGATGGGAAAGCTGTCATGGCCTCAGGCTGGGATGGTGTAGAAACGGATGCTAATAACTCCCCTCCCCCTCCAAATGACAGTTGTGAAAGTCCTTAGGCTTATATGTATATGCTTATATGATGAAACCAGCCCTCAGCATTTGGGATAGCATGGACTTAACAAATCTACACCACTAATAAATAATCCATTATGTTTCTAACAGGGACCTCCGGGATTGGCTGGAACAGTTGGCCAAAAGGTAAGCACCCCAGCTTTGAGAAGGAATAGTTGGCTCAAGGGAAGACGCTGACCCCTTGAAAGTTGTTCTCCCATGACAGAAGGTCCTGCTACAATAACTTTATTTATTTATTTATTTATTTGTCTTGTTTATTTATTTCCTGCATCTTGATGCTACCTTTCATCCAGAATGCTCCCAAACTGCCTCCTAGCTTTCAGAGAAATGACTTACAAGAGCTCTCCAGGGGAGCTGTGATATTAGCTAGAAGAACTGAGGGCCTCTGGCTGGCTACAAGGACTGGATGTCAGACAGGGAAGCAGGGGTGCCAGACTGTGGCAGTAATGAGGATGACCCTAGAGTGGCCTTCCCCAACCTGGCACCCTCCAGATGTTTTGGACCACAACTCCCATCATGGAAGTTGCAGTCCAAAGCGTCTGGAGGGCACCAGGTTGATGAAGGCTGTACTGGAATGAGGCCAAGGCAGAAACTGAATTAATTGCTAAGACATGTCATCTCTTGTTTTCTTTAGGGGCAAAAGGGTGATAAGGGTGACTTTGGTCTTCAAGGAAAACCAGGAAGCCCAGGGCGCGATGTAAGTTGTGCAATTTTGATTCTCTCTCTTTTACATTCTCTTCTTCCAGCCCTCCTTCTCTTTTTCTTCCTTCTCTGTACTTAGGACTGTACCCTGAATACCATGCATTTGGGGACCATTTCTGACTTTTCGGGGGTTAAGTGCACCAGAATTCGTCACTGCCCTTTCGTATGGGTGCAGGATCAGCTTCCTTCATTATTATTTTTTTAACTGTATTTTGCCACTACCTGCTCAGTTATTTTGGCATTTTGGGGTGTGTGAGAGATGGCTGGCATGATTACCCTTCCCCGAATGCCTGAGAACAGCAAGGCATCTGCATAATTTGGGGGTTAAGAAAATAGCCCACAGGACAACCAAGAGCAAAGTCTTGTTCCTGCCGCGGCATGAAAGAAAGTTAAAAATAAGAAGTGCCCCCCACATGACAGCAAAGCCAATACACAAACATCCTACAAAGAAAACAGTGAATTCCTCTCCTGTTCAGAGGCCTGGATTTACTCCCCCCCCCACAAGGATTGTTTGAGCATTAACTTCAAGTGATTCTCCTCGCAGTCCTATTCCTCACAAATTAAGATCTGGAGAGTCCTGCACATGCTGCAGTGTTCGCTGTGTGGCTTTTTGGCTCCCTTGCCAGATTTGGGCAGGGTCTTCTTCCATCATGTCTTCACTTCTCTGAGTCTGCCAGGAAGACCCTTACTTAGGCTATATACACATTTAAACACAACAAGGTGGCCTTTGCATGTTACTGTACGCACTAGAGACGCAGGTGGCGCTGTGGTCTAAACCACTGAGCCTCTTGGGCTTGCTGATCAGAAGGTTGGCGGTTCGAATCCCCGCAACGGGGTGAGCTCCTGTTGCTCTGTCCCAGCTCCTGCCAACCTAGCAGTTTGAAAGCACGCCAGTGCAAGTAGATATACAGGTACCACTGCGCCAGGAAGGTAAACAATATTTCTGTGCGCTCTGGGACTCGTCACGGTCCTCCGTGCGCCAGTAGCGGTTTAGTCATGCTGGCCACATGACCCAAAAAACTGCCTGTGGACAAACACCAGCTCCCTTGGCCTGAAAGTGAGATGAGCGCCACAACCCCATAGTCACCTTTGACTGGACTTAACCATCCAGGCATCCTTTACCTTTACCTTATACATATTTAAACACAACAAGGTGGCCTTTGCATGTTACTGTACACACTAGCGAAGGGGTGGGGATGTCTTCCTCTGATGCTCACCACCTGATTGGCAATGCGTGCCTGCAAACCCCACCCCCCAAGATGAAGCTGTCATCTGTGCATGTACAATGACTGTCCCAAACATACACACCTCAGTAAATGTGGCTTAACGTTACAAACACCAGCTGTGGGAGCACACTGAAGCCATAGTAAATGGTAATGTGTACACAGCCATAGAGCTGCTGTACACATGCATGGACATTACTTGATTAGAACTGGGGTAAATCTGTTCGTTTTGGTGCATTTCTGTTTCTTGTTTTTCACATCTCAAGTTCAGATCACCACATTTCTGCATAATTTTGTGGTGCTTTTTTAGAAAAAATTATCATGAAAATTTGTCAGCAGGTTAGTGCATATATCTCCTAATGCAGAAACTTTTGCATGCAATTTTGCCTAATATACCATTTGTGTAAGCAAACTCCCCTAGTATTGATTATTATGCACACTCTCCGCTAATATATGCATTTCTGTATGCAGTGTTTGGTTGAAGAACTGTATTACAAGATTTGTAGAAGTGTAAATTTTGAAGGATAGTTGCATTTTGGTTTGCATGTTGCCTCAGGAAGTGTGAATTAGATAGCTTCACAATAAAATGTGAACCGGGCCAACTTTCTTCCCATCCCTACTGTGAACAGAGCCGTGTGTGTGTGTGTGTGTGTGTGTGCTGGTTTGTTTGTTTGGGGAGGGTCATCTGAAACTTCATCCTCTGGTATGTCTGTGATGGCTCAGCCAATCACACATGCAAGTTATTCATAGATGCTACATGTACATTTACATCACTGGCTGACTTATCTGTGTGACCCAAGCTTTGATCTTCTCTAGCTGGTAGGGATACTTCAAACAGTGAGCAATGCCACTGGGAAGTTGCTCTTGTGGTGTTGTTCAAATCTGAATCCTTCAGATGTAAAAAGAAGTTTATTATCCAAATAAACACCCTTGAGGTTAAAGAAAAATGTATGAGGAAGATTACTCATCAGTTCGCTTAAACCAAAATAGCATTTAAGAGTTTTTTATTTGACATCTCCCTGAAATCCTTCATTTGTTGCTTCCTCATATGAGTGCGTTTCTGCCTGGCAAAACTGAGATATGATGCTGGAAGCCGAGCTGTTGAAAACAAATGTTGCATTTCCCATCATTGCTGTGTCTCCCATCATCAAATCTCATTTTCATCACATGGAGATGCGTTTCAAAGCATGAATGCTCATACTACTTTGGGTGACATTTCCCCTTTAACTCTGTTGTACCATTTCCCCCTGAACTATTATTGTCCATTCTGGCTTCCTGGATCAGAAGAGCAGGGACTTTAAAACGATTGCTCAGAATAGATAAACCACACAGCACCTTGTACTTGTCTTCATTGATCTCTCCTCGGCTGAGCCAGGGTCATGGAGGAACATGACATAAGAGGAACCCTGCTGAATCCATAGGAATAGGGGAGACCTCTTCACATTTTAATGCAATTCTGACAGGCAAAAGCACCCAAGGAGAGTGCAAAGTATGGCCAGTGATGGGTGTTCCATTGGACGAGGGTGTGTGGCTGGGGATGTGTGAGCTGGGAAGAATCCTAGAGAGGCCTAGACCCCCTAGACCTGAGGTTCTGCACCCTAGGATAGGGGTTGAAATATTGACCCCTGTGATTGGCCAATAGTATAAAGTCCAAACCCCTGCAATGCAGGAATACACACCTGCAACCTTGACATTATCAGAACCATGCTCTAACCAGCTGAGCTATCTAGGCTGGTACGTAGATCAGGGAGATTGTGTCCTTGAACTCTGCTAATGCTGCCTGCTTGACTGGATGGAGGACAGAGGGTGTGTGTGTGTTTGTGTGTGTGTGTGTGTGTGTGTGAGAGAGAGAGAGAGAGAGAGAGAGAGAGAGAGTGAGAGTAGACTACTGTACAAAGGGGGAAATTCTCATTTGTTGTTATGCAATGCTGAATGTGGCCCCTGGAAGATTGTTTAAAAGAGAACATGGCCCCTCGCACTCAAAGGGAGTTCTGAAGCCTCAGAACATACCCCCCCACAGGCAGCTCCCTTGACTAAGCCCCACCCTCAGCCCATGAGGCCCCCCATTCATACCTACAGGTATAGGGCGGTATATAAATTTAATAAATAATGATTCAAGCTCTGAAGATTCTGACAATCTGGCTCTGTTAAGTGGAAAGAAGCCCCGCCCTCATGCATCCTGCTTTTTCTTCCTAACCAGGGCCGGCCTGGGGAGATTTGCGTGGTGGGACCCAAAGGCCAAAAGGTACGATTATGCTTCTCTTGGGGGTGGGGGGGAGCCAGCATTCTACTGATGGGCTTGTCACTAGTAACAACTGCGCCTGTCTTTTTAGGGTGACCCAGGGTTCGTGGGTCCTGAAGGTCTCGCTGGGGAACCAGGACCCCCGGGTCGGCCGGGTCCACCTGGAATTGGCCTCCCAGGAAAACCAGTAAGACTTTCATTTCTGCCTGCCTCCTATTTCTGGCTCCTTCACGGCTTCAATCCTTTGTTAAAATTATGTCTCAGATAATTGTGATGATGTGCCAAGCTAGGTATGTGGGTCTTTTGCCAGTGGGTGGAGACAAATCAGATTGGTACTGGCAGGTGGGGGCATTCAACCCCTGCTGTCCCCAATTCCATTTTCCTGATCTAAACCTCCCTCTTTCCAAAGCTGCTATTTGCCACACGGGTGGAATAAAACATGTAGGTTCTTCCCTGCAAGGCGAACGACAATTTGTGGAAGATAATTCGCCTCAGGGAAATGGGGGGGGGGGGTTAACACCACCTTCCCCAAGCACTGTGGCACTGTGTGATTATTTCCCAATTCACACACACACCTATGTCCCAAATATCTGCTTTGAACTAGGGGGAAAGTAAGGTGCTCTGCCCTTGGGTCTTCTGCAGCATGCCCAGTTTGTCCCATGAAATGAAATGCCTCAATTGGCCCTTACTTTTTGAGTGCAGCTTGGTTAAAATTCCTTGTAGCCTGCTTTGGGGGTGGGGGTGGACTGAGAAGAATTAGGCTGGGTGGTGGTACTGATCACAGATTCCTGGTCTGAACATGTGCTCATAGGTACCCTGTTCGTTAATTCTTCCCATACCTACGTCACTTGTCAGGCTTCCTCTTGGGGCATCTGGTTGGCCTGTGAAAACAGGATGCCGGAATAGGTGGCCCATTGGCCTGATCCAGCAACAGGTCTCTTACGCTCTTACTGTAATGTGCCTGACTCTGGTTGGTGGACCTTGGTGTTTTAGGTAAAAATGAAGTAGATCCTGCAGTTCAATAGATCCTGCCCTTGGGATATTTGGAGGCAACTCTCCTATCTCCCCCTTTAACCACCTCTTCTTCAGCCTATGCCTACTCAGCTCTTTCTACCATCCATCATAGAATTTGGTTCCAGACTCCTCATTATCCTCTAGACATGCTCTAGGTTTTCCGTGTCCTCAAAATGTGGCACACGGAACTGGACACAGAACTTCAAATGCAGCCCAGACAGTGGACCTATTACTTCTCATGATTTGAACAGCCTATGGTTGCATTAGCTTTTTCAGCAGCTATATTGGACTGCTGGCTCATGTTCAGCCTGTAATAAACTAAGGCGCATAGACAGTGCTTTTTTCTTTTTTTAAAAAAAAAGGTGCTGGTAATCACCATGAAGTTGTTACAGAAAGCGCCACACTTTTTAACAACAACAAGAAGATGTGCCAGTACTGTGCGCCCTTGAGTACCCCCTGTGCATACATTCTTTTTATATGTACCACTGCCAAACCAAGCAAGTCTCTCCCATCCTGTACATGTGATTCTGATTCCTTCACTTGAATGAAGGACTTTATATTTGCCTCTGTTGAATTTTCCTCTTATTGGTTTTAGCCCAATATTCCAGCTCATCAAGATCATTTTGAATCTTGATTCTATTTAGCTATCCATCTTGGCTTTGCATCATCTCCTCTGCACCCTTATTGAAATCATAAACAGGGCTTGGGACAGAGCCTTGTGGCACTTTATTCAAGATCTCCTTCCAGTTTTATGCAAAACCCTTAATGAACGTTTGCTGGGCATGATAGCTCAACCATCTGTGGATCCACCGAATAATAGTATCATCCAGCCCACATTGCACCATCTTGTCCACAAGCATATTATGAGAGACCTTGTCAAATGTTTTACTGAAATCAAGACCTATTATGTCCATGGCATTCCCATGATCTACCTGACTTATAACTCTATCAAAAATTGAGGTAAGCTTGACCTGGTATGGCTTGTTCTTGATATACTTGACTTGTGGCAGCTCTTAGCAATCCATACTTTCTTTTCTAAATGTTCACAGAACAAGCACTTAATAATCTGTTCTAGAATTTTGCCTAATGTCAGACAAATTGGTCTGTAGTTTTCTGGTTGCTCCTTTCCCCTCTTCTTGAAAGGACAATTTGCCCATCTCAGGTCTCTTCTACAACCTCACCTGTTCTCCAAGAATTATTAAAGGGTAATAGCATCTGATTAATTACTCCTTCAGCAACCAGGGTTTTCATTCATCTGACCCTGGAGACCTGAACTCATTGGAAGTAGCTTGGTGTTCTTTGACCACCTCCTGGACTACAAATAACTCATAATCATTTCTTCTTCTCAAAAATAACCCCCTTGAGGCAATACAAGAGTTGAATAGTTCCTCCTCCTCTCTATTACCTATTAACTCTTCACCCCACTTCCCCAAGCAGCAAGCCTACTGCTTCCTAGTTCTTCTTTAATTTTTTCAAACATAACCAAGAAACCCCTTTGGTTGTTTATAGCACCCCTCGCTAACCACAGGATTTTGTTAAGTTTTAAAAATACGTTTCCTTATGGTTGTGGAGATAAATTAGGAAGCATGTAAGCAATAGTGTCAGATGACATGAAGGGAAGCAGGTGATGCTGAGCAGGACTTCACAGGGATCCAGGAGAGAAGCTCTGATGTTCTGCTTTACCCCTTTATCCCTCTTTCTGACAAGCAGCAGATGATGAGGATGAGAATTACAGCACTGTGCAAAGAAGAAAGCTCTGCCCCAGGGAGCTCACATCTATCTTTTGATAGCAGAGGGCAGGTAACATCAGGAGACAAGGGAAGGGAATGGCGAGGGAATGGCGAGGAACAGCAGAGGGTCAGGAAGAGTAAATGTGAGCAAATGGATTGACCCAAATCTAGGTTACATATTTTATTGTGCAAACAAAAATATGTGCAAGCTTTCAATTTGAACAATTAGGCGCAGAATTTGGAGCTCTTTTTAAAACTCGCACCGCCTGCAGTGTCATGGGCAAACAAACCCTTTTAATGCCTTACAGTTCCTCGTTAAGCTGTTGGCCCAACCACAGCATCATTCTGGTGATATTTTTCATTGTCTTTTGTGTTTGTTTTGGTTATTTTTCAAAAGTGTTTTAAAAAGAAAGAAAGAAAGAAAGGCATTTATAGAATTTTGGTCCTGTTCCAGCGCAGCCACTGGCAGCCAGGAGAAACATCGAGCAACAGCCAGTGGGTGTTGAGCCTAAACAATGCTCACAGCACTGACAGCTTTGTGAAAAGAATTGCTAAGAGGAGCTGCTTTTCAGGAATCTGAAATAGGGGCCCTGGGGGAAGCCTGTATGTGCAATTCATTCTTATCTCCCCCCAGATACCACCCAACCAGTCAGCCAGTGCCAGCCAGTGCCAGCCAGCTGCCTCTACCTCTGGGAGTCCAGTCTCTCATATATTCTCATCCACTTAGGGTTCCATATCAGTTGGGGAACCACGGGTCCAGGGACAAAATGTGGACCTCCAGGCCTCTCTGCCTGGCCCTTGGGACTCTCCCCAGGCAACACCCACCTCCCTGGCCACAGCTTCTTTCCCCTGCCCTCCCATCCACCTTCACCAGCCTTGCTCCATATCCCCTTTGGCTGGAATGGTCCCTTGAACTCTGATAATGCCTCTTGCTTGCCTGGACGGAGGAGAGTGTGATCAGCTTGGGAAAGGGCAAGTACACACATTCCCACCCTGTCAGCATAATTTAACAGCTCCATAACCAAGATAGAAGGAATGAAGGAAAGGTCAAACTCAGGTTAAATTACATAGAAATATGCCAAATGTACACACGGTAACAAAGGGCACGAGTGTTTAGAAGACTGCAATGCAACTTCCCCTCTGTTATGCTTTCCATAGTCATGGGTTCAAAAGTTATACAGGATACAGGGTATGTAATGGGCACAGCAGACCTTGGCCTTATTCACACTTACCTTTCCTTCACGCTCCCCAGGCATGGCCTGTGCTCCACTTCCAGGCATCTTTTTTTCCCCTTCCCCAGAGCTTTGTCCGCAAAAACCCGCTCTTTAAAGGTCAATTGGAGCAAGGGGCAATTTACAGAAGGCCTGAATTGGTGTTTGCTCTGATTGGGTGCTAAAGAGCTGGTTTTCATGGGGAAATTCCCGGGGCAAAAAACAAACAAAAACAAATTCTTAGATGCAGAGCTTTTAAGCGCAGACCTGTGCCTGGAAAGAGAGAGTCAAGAAGCGGCAGAAGTGGCACATATTCTGGGTCCTGTTTGGGATAGCAATGACCTTGGTGGATCATTCAGCTTCTGAATACAACCAACTGTTCTGCTTTCATTCTAGGGTGATCCCGGTGGCCCACCAGGTCCCAGAGGAGAGAAGGTAGGCATAACCATGCATATAGCTTTGGATAGTCCCAGTGATTATCATGTCCCAGCAAACTAGTTTTTTCTCTTGTCCGTGGCTGCTGTGTCCAGACCTACTTACGTGGCTCTTATTCTCTGTTCTCTATTTCCAGGGGGACTCAGGACCTCCAGGGCCAGGCGGTTCAAGTGGAAAGCCAGTAAGTTCCTCCTTCAGTGAGTAAACCAGCAAAGCAAAGTGGGGAGGATCCACAAAATTGCAGCAGATCCCAGAACCCCCATCATAGGAGTGGGGGCTCATGCTTTGCATATTTCTGTGCTCTTGACTAGGCTTTCTCCACCCAGGTCATGTGACCACTGACTGACAGCCAGGGAAGCTGGGTGGGACCTTGCTTATTGGGCAGCTGCTGGGTTTATTTATGATATGTATATGACACTGATTTGTAACTCCTCTTGCTTATGGAGCTGGATACAAACCTATACCACCTGTGTGCAAGAGAGAGGCATATGCAGGCTCAAGATAACTGTGGTAGGTGGGTGAAAAAAATCTCTCAAATGGCCCTATAATAACTCAAATTCCAAAGCAAATGCAATCCATTGTCCACAAACTGTAGGCTGGGAGAGGCTTTTGCGAAGCAAGAAAACCCTTAAGTGTGTTTCACAATGAATGGTGGAGTTCAGCTTCTGAATGGTTTACAACAAACTTGCAGTGTTGTCCAGAGGTATTATCCCCCCCCCACTGCTGCCTGGGGATTTGGCTAAAGTGCAGAGAGCAGCTTATAACTAACCCAGTCACGTTATCTATTGCTTGTATCGCTGCGCTGCTGAGGTTGAGCTGTGAGAGTAGCACACAACAATCCTACGGTGTAGTTCACTGCCGTATCCCTGTTGCAGATAGGAGGAATGTGCTGAGGCACAGTAGCTCTTAGCAGACCAGAGGTGGAGCTATCCCCCAGGTCAATTCAATCATGGAGAGGGCTCAGGCTTTATGGGCTTGCATGCAAAATGTCCAAAAAGCTACAATAAGCCAATAAGTTTTGGACGTGAAGATTCAAATCAGAGCCGAACCACCTGCCTTTGATGCTGATGCCGCAGGCTCAAGCAACGCACATGTGCCAGGAACGTACTGCAGCATTCTGTTGTGGAGCTCCACTTGGCATTTAGTGTCACACTTAAACAATGACATAAAGGGAGAGTAAACTGAATGTACCAATGCAGCTGTTGGGAATGAAGTCATGCCTCGTTCCACGCCCAGCCCTTGCTCCCTAAGGGCTGCTTAGATTGTTAAAAGTCTACATTGCTCAACAGCTGAGCTTTCTGCCAGTGGGGGAAGACTGGCGGGAAACAGCAAAGCCAGAGGGGTTGTGGAAAGGCTTTGAGGGGGCATTCAAAAGACAGGCAGAGTGTCTGTGTGGAATGGGATCGTAAAGGCGAAATAAATCATTTTTGTGACAATGACTATAGGGATGGGGGAGAAATTCAGTTCAGTTTGCATTGAAGGGCAAACCTACATAATTCACACTTCCTGAAATAATATGCAGACTGAAACACAGCCATCCTTTGATCTGACAATCAGCACACCCCCTATAGTCCTATTATATGGGAACAGGGCAGCACAACTTAATGTGGCAAGCAGAGCTGTCTGTTCATGCCTGTGCTGGCATCTCTATTACCTTGGCAATGGATGGGGCATCACCAACTCCTCTGCAGTGGGTGGAGTAGGTGGGGCAGCCTCTGACAACTTCAGAGATGGATGCTGTGTATGAGCTGTGCTCTGGGGTGACTGATGCAGAGATGGAGTAGGGAAACCCCTCCCCCCACAGAAGGTCCTTCCCCATGATCTTCCTCCCCAAGTGGCTCATTGAGCTTCCAAGACTCTGGCATGATCTGTGCCTACCCACTGGGTCAGTTCCCAGGATCATCCATGGGAAACTCCTCTCCTCTCCACCTATGCCCAGCCAGGTCCCTCACTGGGGGCCCATGACATCATCAATTACTTGGCAGGAATTCCCATTGAAGTTTCCCAGGATTGATTTCCAGATACACATGAATAAGTTTAGGCTGCAGGTTTCCTGATCTGCAAACACATTAGCTATAGCTAGTTCCTGGTCTCATAGGAGCTTGTTTATTTGTTTCATAAAATGTATATACCATTTAAGTGTAGAAAAACCTGGACGCAGTGTACAAAAAAGGAGTTGCATCACAAATTGAAACCTTCCTTCTTTCTCTGCAGGGGAAACCCGGGGTCCCAGGCCTGAAAGGAGACAAGGTGAGTAGAAGGAAGGCAGGATCAAGGCAAAGCTTGTGCATTCTCTGGTTTCAGAGAAGGGCCTGAGGATCCTACCCCACTCCCCACCAAGCTCCATTATCACCACATCTAATAATGAACCTAACTTGCCCTTCCCATAGGTTCCCAGGTCAGGTTATAGCAATATACTATACAGCTATAACAACAGATACAACAGTTACAATTACATATAAAAAAGCAAAAACTTTTCCAACCAGAGGAGGATAAATAAACAGCAAAAGAGGTTACAGATAGGTAGCCGTGTTGGTCTGCCATAGTCAAAACAAAAAAAATTCCTTCCAGTAGCAGCTTAAAGACCAACTAAGTTAGTTCTTGGTATGAGCTTTCGTGTGCATGCACACTTCTTCAGATACACAGTACACTGTGTATGCTACACTGTATCTGAAGAAGTGTGCATGCACACGAAAGCTCATACCAAGAACTAACTTAGTTGGTCTTTAAGGTGCTACTGGAAGGAATTTTTTTTGTTTTAGCAAAAGAGGTGGATGTCTGAAGGCAAAATGCTTAAGCTGTACAAGGCCAGGGTAAAGAGGCTTATCTTCAGGAATATGGCAAAAGCTGTACAGTAAAGATGCAACAGGCACCATTATGGGGAAGGAGTTCCACAGTTATATCCCTTTAATTTGCTCTTCCCTCTATTCCATCCCCCACACCTCCCAAAAACTACTTGTCTGAACAAGAGGCACCATTATGGGGAAGGAGTTCCACAGTTATATCCCTTTAATTTGCTCTTCCCTCTATTCCATCCCCCACACCTCCCAAAAACTACTTGTCTGAACAAGAGGATCTAACTATGTTTTGTCTCAGGAATAATTCATCTTAATGCATTTTGTTTAAATAATTTTCTTTCCATTTTGTGGAAGGAAGCAATGGAGACCTTTTCCCTTTGGCCCTGTTGCCTTTGTTTTGTCTTCCTTTAGTTGAAATCTTCTTCACAGCATCTTGAATGTCTCTCAACAGGGGGACCCATGTGAAGTCTGTCCCACTATCTCTGATGGGAACAATGCAGTCAGCATCCCTGGGAAACCAGGGCCCAAAGGGGAGCCTGGACCTCCAGGGAAACCGGGCAAATCGGTGAGTCCCAGGTCACTGGGTGAAGGCTTTATCCCTTGAGGGTGTTACAGACAAGGAGATTCCTGCATTGGACTAAATGACCCTGGGAGGTCCCTTCCAACTCAACAGTTCTATGATTCTAAGAAGCAAAGGTTTTTGGTTGGTGGGGCAATTGCTGAGTTATTGGACCCTGGAGTTCTAAGCATTTCCTTTGGTCTCCTCCCTCCCTCCCTCCCCCCACCCACCCACCGCCTTTCTCTTTCAGGACAAGCCTGGCCCTCCAGGACTCAAAGGCAGCAGGGTAGGTGTCAGATTCACTTTCTGTGAGATTAAGAGCAGAGCAAGGGGAAGACCCAAGTCAGAGCACATGCTTTGCCTGTAGAAAGCCTTGGGTCAAATCCTTTGCATCTCTGGTTTAAAAAGCATCAGGTGGCACAAAAGACCATCTCCCTCATATCCCAGACAGCCACTGCCAGACCAGCACGGGGCTTTGACCCAATTACAGGTAGCTTCCTATGTCCGTCAAGATGGCCTGTAACCAACGAGAACAGGTATCCCTTGACCCAGAAGCTTAGATGTTGTGATGGAATAATACCACCTACAGCCTTTGGGCATGAATCTTTCCTTGGCAGGTGTCGCTGTTTTCCCTGCAGTTCCCTCCTCTAGACAGAGTGAACTGGATGATGGCACACAGCCTGAATGCCCCACCTGGCATCCTTCAGGTCAATGTTCTTCAACCTTAGGTCTCCAGATGCTGTTGACTTGCACCTGCCATTGTTCCCAGACAGCTTAGCCAATGGCCAGGGATGGTGGAGGCTGTAGACCAACAACATCTGGAGACACAAGGTTGAAGGACACTGTCTCACTTCACTGGTTCAAGAACTGTGGCAGATTTCTGAGACTAGGTGAATTTGTTACCTATTAAAATGCATATTCATTCTTTTATATATATATATAAAAACACTCTTCAAATTAAAGCTGAAATGGCACAAAGCAGACCTACAAATGAGTGCATGGGAAGTTGACATGATCCAGGATACACCGATTCCGTGGAGGAATCAAGTGAGGGCCAGTTGTTGTGGCCCCTTGTGGTCTGTTGAGACTGTGAGCTGTGTGGATCCAGGAGCACTTTTGAACAGAGGTTGGGTGGGCATCTGCCAGGGATTCATTAGCTGTGGTTCCTGCATTGCAGGGGGTTGGAGCAGATGACCCCTGGGGCCCCTTCCAACTCTACAATTCTGTGATTCTGTAACATGTTCCTGCTTTGTCTAAACTGAAGCAACCATTGATGGGGTACAGCAGGTGCATCTCTTGCTGATGCCCTCTCACCACCACCAACACCACCCAGGCTCAGCTGCCTCACCCAGTTGCTGGTCGCATGAACGTTTCCATTGCCTTCTGATTCTTTCCTCTCCCTTTTCTTTTTATCATTCTTCAGGGGGACCCTGGGATCAATGGAATTAAAGGGGAGAAGGTAGGTGGCCATTTCCTTTTTATATGATCTCTAACCCCTGTTTTTGCTTTGGTTCAATAGGGGTCACACTCTGTAGTGGGGGGGGGGGAGTTGTGCACATAAGCCCCACCACAAATGTCCTCATGTGTGCTGTCTCCCACCTCCTGCCTCGCCTTTCCCATGATGTACAAGGAAAATTTGCACAGGGATTCTACTTGGTGTTCAATTGAATTAGGATTATGTAATTGTGGATTCTGATAAAGCACAGTCCTTGATCATGAGATGCATTCGAGTGAATGTGAATGGAATTCCTAGGCAGGCCTTCTCCTTTTAATCCTGGGCTTGTCCAAAGTTCTCTGTAGCCTTTGGGGAGTGCTTGCACACATCTCTGCTTTAGTTGTGATTAGTGGCAAGGGCTTAGACTGAAAGCAATCTTCAACTAACAGCATCTTTTGCATGCCTGCAGATTCTCATTTTAGCTTGCAAACTGCAGAACTCCTTAGGGAAATACTGCTTCATTTGTATAAAAAAAACCAAAAAACCAAAAACAGTGAGCATTTTGAGTTGGGTAAATTTTGTATTCTGAACAAGGTGATGATGAAGTTTTGCTGATGAAAAGGAACAGGTTTTACACAACTCCTCCATCTCATTGCCTTTAGCCAGTTGTTCCTCACCGCAGGTGACTAGGCATGTAGTTATTTACAGGACTGCTGGATACCTTTGTGCAAATTATTTCAGGCACACACCCCCACCCCCACAAATGATACTTACTGCAAAGTCAATTTTGTAATCCATGTAAACAAGGAGACCCGTGCATTTTAGGCTTACTAAAATCTACCCATCTATGTCTGTCCCAAACCAGCAGTTTTCCCACGGTGCAGGCGGTTGGGGTGGGGGAGCAGGCTTGTACCATATCCTGCAATCTGTATCACCATTTGCATTGTACTGGTATGAAATGAGCTATTCCTCGCTAATACCAAGCATTGTGCTGCTTCTTCTTTAAGGGAGATCAGTGTCAGTCATGCAGCCCTGCAGCCCAGCACCTTCAGAAAGCACCCAAAGGAGAACCAGGACCACCAGGGATTGGCCTGCCTGGCCTTCCCGTAAGTATAGGGCCATTGTGCCTCTTGCCTTTAGTGTAGGGCACTGCAAGGATTTATGGGAAGAACAAGGGTGGAATGAGTAGCAGTGCTGAAGTGAGAATGTGAAATAACACAAGGGTTTTTAGTCCTCATGATCATAGAAAAGCACATGCAATCCCCATGGCAGATTCTGTGAACAGGCAAGTCTACACAGTACAAACCCATTTAATCCTCTTCACTCCAGCCTGCGGAACTCTAGTTCTGAGAAGCATTCTTGATGATATCACTGAACTACAGTCCTCAGGGTTTGATGGGATGTCGTGGCAGTTTCGAAGCTGTTTGGATTGGTTGTGTGAATAGAATGTTCCAAATGAGAGCAGGTCTGATCTTAAGGTACTATCCTGGCTAAAACCACACCCAGAACTTTTCCTGGTTCTGCCAACACCTTCACTGAAATGATTCCTCTTATTTTTCTTTTATTTGCTTTCAGGGCAAAGATGGCCTTCCAGGGCTGTCTGGACTCAAAGGAGAAAAGGTAAGAGCAAATTTTCAGGAGACAGTCAGAGGGCTGGTTCCGGAATACCTAGCTTAATCTCTGTACCACTGCAAGTGTAATTAGCCAGAACTTGAGGGTGAATCCAGTGATTTTTATCACAGGGTAATAATCCCTCTGTAAAGATGCATGGTGCCTTCTACTCTCTCTCTCTCTCTGTGTGTGTGTGTGTGTCCAGGCCACATACAGTTTGTAAATGTTATAAATAAATAAATAAATAAATAAATAAATAAATAAATATACAAGAGGTGAAACAAGAAGATCCCCCTTATGTCAGATTCATCTGAGCAGCAGTTTTCTTGTTTCAAGATGGTATATCATTTAAGCATCATTGCAGCCATTTTCTGTCTTCAGCAACTCACCTGTTCCTCTTTGTACCTAGGGAGATACTGGAGCTGTAGGACCTGCAGGCAAAGCTGTGAGTATGAGAAAGTTCTGCAAGTTTAGAGTGCATTGGTTGCCCTCTGGGAGCTGGCTTTTGTGATCTGAACAGCGTTGGAAGATATGAAAACAAGAACAAAGTCAGATAATAAAGGGATTTGGGGGAGTTAATAAGTCACTGTCACTCAGGGGGGGAAACAGGTAAGTAACAAACACAAAAACAGTAATACAGAGTTGCAGATCTGCAGGATGAAATAACAGCAAACCAGGGTACCAAACATCCAGTTCTTTAATATGAAATATGAAACTCTGTGCAATTTTCTTTGTCTTTGTCTTTTACTTTGCTTGCTAGACAGTCTGGTGAATTGTCCCCTAGCATAGTTGCTAGACCTCAAGATTTTTATTGCATCAAGCTCAAAAGCTTCAGTTCATGCTTGAAGAGAAGTGGCGTACTGCTCTTCAGTACATTCTGATGCTTCCAAATTAACTCTAATGAATGGCAATGCCATGATGTGTCTCTACCACAAGGAATTCTCCAAATCTAGGAAAGGACCCCACCTCCTTCTCCTCAACCCTTCCTCTCATTCTGTGCTTATACTCAAAGCTCAGCAGTTTCTCGCTCCTCCTGTAATTCTAGGGAGTCCGAGGGACCAAAGGGGACACTGGAGATTCAGGAGTCAAAGGCGAAAAGGTGAGCAAATTGGTATCAAAGCATGGAAGTGGTTGAGTAACTTGTTCAGATAAGTGAGCCTTTCATCTTGCTCCCAATCTGTGGCCCTCTCCTCTCTTATCCATGTCCCCTGTTTTGCCATCTTGTATCACAATTCATTTTCTCTCCCCTGTAGGGAGAACCTTGTACTGAGTGCCCTGCCTCTCTGGAAGGTCGGGAGACCATGGTTTCCATTCCAGGGCCTCCAGGAGAGAAGGGTGAGCCAGGGCTTCCTGGTGCTGGACTTCCTGGAAAACCAGTAAGTGACCCTTGGCATGGACCTCCTTTGGAGAGGAGCAAGGGGTGGGCAATAGAGCTAGAGGGAAGGTGGGTCTCATAGGCGAAAGAAAATGTTGCATTGCAGGGGGTTGGACTAGATGACCCTTCCAGCTCTACAATTCTGTGATTCCTGGGGCAGGTAGAAAGGTTTTGTGAGTCTATGGCATAGTACGTTCCTCTTAAATTAGACAAACTGGTGCAGAAGCTCAGTGTAGAAGATAAACAGGGCTGAGAATTGGGAACCAATTTCTAGTGGGCTTTTCTTATTAGGCTGCCTGGCAGACTTGATTTATTTGTTGGAAGGACTGTCTTTGTGGCAGGATCCAAGGGGCCAGTGAAGTTTAAGCAGAAAAGCTTTTTCTCTTATATTGCTTGCTGTTCTTTTTCAGGGAAAACCCGGGGAATCTGGAATGAAAGGTCAGAAGGTAAGAGAAGTCCGCCGGCTGGAGTGCTTCTTTGTGAGATTACATAACCCAAGGGGGTTGGTGGCCAGAGCTGGCTTTGGAAAGGGGTGAGGAGTTCTGGCATTTTCACACTTCTCGAGACAAAACCAGAGGCACAGGAAATGCATCTCTAGGGAGCAAATATATTCTCATTATATTTACACAGTATAATTGGAAAAGCAAGCTACAAACAAAGTACAGTGATCTATAAGAAGTTGCAAAAGACCAGAAGGAAATATGAAAATCAAATATGCATGCAGTGCAATAGGAGGAATGTCAACACCTGCAGTCCAACACGGGTGTAAAACTGCTAAAAATCTCATCAGTGCAAATGAATCCCTTCTGTGCCAAATCGGGCCAGTTCCCAAAGGAGCCCATAGCAGTTCAGTTCCTTGCTTCTACACGTAATAAAGCTTCAGGTACTGGGGTTGGAAATACCCCTGTCTCAGTACAGTGGTACCTCAGGTTAAGTACTTAATTCGTTCCAGGGGTCCGTTCTTAACCTGAAACTGTTCTTAACCTGAAGCACCACTTTAGCTAATGGGGCCTCCTGCTGCCGCCACGCCGCTGAAGCACGATTTCTGTTCTCAACCTGAAGCAAAGTTCTTAACCCAAAGTACTATTTCTGGGTTAGCAGAGTCTGTAACCTGAAGCGTATGTAACCTGAAGCGTATGTAACCCGAGGTACCACTGTACTTGTAGAGCCATTTGCCAGTCAGCGTAGAGCAGTGGTGAGGAACCTTCAGCCTCTGGGCCTAATTAGGACCACTAGGTCTCTCCATTTGGCCTACAGTGTCGTTTTGATCAAGCCATGCTCACCTGTCCTACACCTGACAACCGATGTGGGGCTAAAATCCCCATGCACAGTGCTTTGGGAATTCCAATGATCAGGTGATTGTCAGAACTCTTGTAGACAGTGCTATGCAAAAACAGCTTGCCTGGTGTCATTGTGTCATCGGATGATTGGCAGGTGGATGGCCCCACCTATTTGTCAGGCATGGCCTACTGGGGGGGGGTGGGGAAGGTAAGGATCCGTTCTGCTGGCTGGATCCAGTCCCCTTTCCTCCCCCCTGCCCCTCCCCCGGGTACAGAAGACAATACTGGGCTACAGAGACAAATTGTACGACTTGGTATAAGGCAGCTTCATGGACTATATTGACCTGGGAGTTATGTGGGTTACAGGTGTATGGCTTTGCAAGGAGGACAGAGTCATATGTTCAACAGCATGAGAGACAGCTTTCCCCAAGTGTGGTTGTGTAGAGTGGCCAAGAGGCAAAGGAATGTATAGCTGGGGGGGGTTGGGGGGTTGGGGGTGATTAAAAGAATTGTTTAGAAGTAATTTCATCAAGTGAAGGTTGCCAGGCATGGCAAAGAGAAGCAGCACCTTTTGAAATCGATTTTACACAACTCTTGAAGGTACAGTCTATCCTAGGCTATAGTGTTGTAACCGCCGGTAAGCATCACTGCAGGAGAAAAGTCTGTCACAGCTGTTGTTGCCTACGCACAGCCACTAGAGGGAGGTGCACACCCCTTTCCCTAGCAACCACATTTAGGGGGGCTGTCACCACGCGGCCTTTAAGTTGCCTGGCAACCTTGTATTTGAATTCTTAATGCTTTAACATCAGTTCCAGCAGGTGTTAGGAAGGTTAAAAATGAAATTAAGAGACCCTATTTGGGTGCTACGTATTTGTGATGCCTTACAACCACCAGCAGAGAACCACAGCCTCCATGTTTCCTAACAACCACTGCTCACAAAGCCCAGTCCTATCTCTACAGGCTACTTCAACACAAGAATATAAGAAGCTGCCTTATACGGAGTCAGATCATTGGCCTATCTAGCTCAGCACTGTTTACACGGACGAGAAGCAGCTCTCCAGGGTTTCAGGCAGGGGACATTCCCAGCCCTACTTGGGGATGCCACAGGGGACAGAACCTGAGTGCTTTTCTGGGCAGAACAGGTGTGCTACCACTGAACTACGGCACAAAACAATAGCAGGTTATCATTTTATATTTATATCCTGCCTTTCCTCCAATTATCTCTCACCTCGCCCTCAGTATTATCCTCACAACAAGCCTGTGTAGTAGGTTAAGTTGAGAGACAATGACTGACTCAATATTATCCACACAACAGCCCTTCGAAGTAGGTTAGGCTGAGAGGCAGAGACTTGCACCCGGGCACCCGGTATACTTTGATGCTGAATAGACATTTGAATCTGGGTCTGCCCCACAGTTCTCGTCTGTCCCATGAGCCACTACATCCCACTGACTCTTGTAGTGTTGTGCCACAGATACAAGGGTAATCACAAAGAGCAGCAGGTTTTTACTTTATAAACTAGCAATGGAACCATTGTTTTGTGTGATTTCTACTGCATAAACAGGGCAGATTTTGGCATAGTCTTGGAAGTCCTAGCAAAGAAGCTAGAGAATTCCTCTCCTCACCTCCCAAAAGAAACCCTTTCTGCCCACTGCTTTTGGCTGCCCCTGAGTTACAGCACATGGTTCAAGTGGGCCTATGAAAACAGCCACTCCAGTGTATATCCCTTGTTTCTATGATGCTGTACCAAGACAATGGACTGCCTTTTGAAGATGGTTCAGAAACTTCAGGAAGTGAAGATTTCAGCAACCAGATGATTGACTGGGACCTGGTGGTCTGGGAATATACCACCAATTCTGGCCAAAGTGTGCTGGTGGCAGATTGCCATTTGCTCCAACATGAGTTTCCCCAGGGAAATGCAGCAGGGAAAAGAAAAATCCCCACTCAGACACAGATCTGGAAATCCCTGACCTGTGCCTAAAAAGCATGGCACAGTGTGGATGAGCTCTATATTGAAATCAGCATCTTTCAGGCTCTCTCCACTTTAGTATATAACCTTTACTATTATTATTTGGATCTGAACTATGCCTTGAGGTTAAGTTAAAAAAAAACAGGGAGGGTGAGAGGTCTAGTTTGTCATTTTTATCTTTTTGATATGTTGTAAAAATAAATAAGAACAAGTGTGTATAAAGATCTATCCTGTCTAGGGTGCTTCAGGAAGCCCAGGCGATCCTGGCATACCAGGCACAGCAGGTTTGCCTGGTCTTTCTGGTGAACCTGGAGTCAGAGGTCCATCAGGAGCTAAAGGTGAAAAGGTGAGTAAGCCCCTTGTTGGGGTACAACCACCATGCAGCCAGGAGGGACCAAAGGCTTTTGGAACAGGCTGTGTGTGCACCTGTGCAAATAACCAAATTCACCCCAGGGTGAGCTTTCTCACCTGTACAGTGGAACCTTGCTTCTCAAACTTAATCCATTCCAGAAGTCCGTTCAACTCTGAAACGTTTGAAAACCAAGGCATGGCTTCTGATTGGTGCAGGTGCCCCGAAAACAATAGCCGATGTTCGGCTTCCGAAAAACATTCAAACACTTACTTTTGAGTTTTTGGCGTTCGGGGGCTGATTTGTTCGTTAGCTAAGCCATTCGAGAACCAAGGTTACACTGTATTGCCCTGTCAACCAGTAGGAGTATTTTACTGCACTTGCAGTAGTAAAATTGCCATCTGCAAACAAAGCACTGAGTGAGTGAGAGAACGGTAAAAATAATGGTTGTTATCACCATTATCTCCCCACCCTCCACTCTCGCGAATGCTCTGGAGCAATGGTACATCTAAGCCAATGGGAGGAGGATACAAATTGGTGGCTGGGCCACTGAAAGAGGAGCTGGTGTGTTGCTGCTGCTGCTGTTGGTAGAGACTTTTGAAAAGGGGGAGAAAGGAAAATGCCCATTGTCATTGCTAAGGATGAGCTGCTCCTCTGATGCCAAATTTTGTGTGTACACCTCTCTGATTTCTTTTATCCTTTATTTTTTATTTTTTTTGGTGCAGAGAAAGAGGCTCTCCCAAGTTCACCACAAGCAAACAGGGCCACAAAATTTGGAGCCCATTTATGTTCATCCCTAATTCAGCTTGGTTCATATCCGTTATTGTGTACCTGACCACTAGGCAAATGGTCCTCAAGCATATCTCTCAGTGGGGTGGGGTGGATCAGAAGCCTGCTTGCTGTCCCACCCCTGACTGCCCTGCTTTAAAGTTCATGTTTGCAAAGAGGAGCCTACACACACAAACTTCCTTTGCATGATCCAAACCATCCTGTTTGGCAGGGCGTATGCCCATAAGCACACATGTAAAGAGCCAGTAGACACAATTGCAGCTTGCCTCCTTGGTACGGCCAATGACTATCCACATGAGCCTCTGGTCTTAAGTGTTTACATGATGGAAAATTTTGATTAGGGATAATGGGGTAGGATATCTGGGACAACTAACCTGGTCTCCTGTTTGCTGACATATCACTCTGCATTCTTCCCCACTCTCACCATCCCGGCCCACAGGGTGATGCTTGTGACTCCTGTCCCACCCTCAGTGGAGACCTCTCTGGTGCGGTTGGGATCCCAGGAAAACCAGGTTCAAAAGGAGACCGTGGACTTCCAGGTGTGGGACAGCCAGGCAAACCTGTAAGTAGTTTTCCGACTGATCAAAATAGTGGTGCTGAGAATGCCAAATTCAGAATTTAGTCTGATAGTCTGTTTTAAGATTGGTACAGTCATTAACTACCATTACTTTGAGTTATTTATGTGAACAAAACTGAACAATTCAGGCTGCATCCCTAGAACCAGATACATTTGTGTTTGCATAATAGATTGGTCAACTGTTGCATGACCTTTTAGCCAGTTTAGATACCTGTGGGTATCACAAGCAGGCATGAAGGTGGAAGGCCTTTGCCCTGCTTCCAAGTTAGCATCTGGTACTCAGGTACTCTGTACATTTATTTGTTTATTTACAGCATTCTTATATCACCCATTAATAATAAGTTTTTGGAAATTCCATGCAACTATGATAGCTGTTGACTTTTGATAGATCTTCCACAAATATGTCTAATCCTTTAAGATAGCACAACTTGCAATAACAACTTTCATAAGTTAATTACGTCTTGTGTGAAGAACTAATTCCTTTCATCCATCTAGAACCTGCTGCCAATCACTTTTATTGGATGACCCAGTGTTAACTGCCTCATTTTTATTCCTTTAATTTACTGGCTCGATTTACATTTCACAACACCTTCACAAAGGATCTCAATAAAAGATCTTCCCTCAGTACAGGTGACCGTTTCTGTTAAGAATGAGCATGTCAAATAATTATAATTTTAAACACTAGCATTCCTTGGTAAGACAAAGGAAGACATCTTTGTTATTTTAAAAGCAAGTCATGCTCTAACCCTATTAAGTTTGTGAATATAATATCGTTTGTGAGATAACCGATGATGACGGCAGTATGGCTCTGTTTTCACAGATACTTATCTTCAAACATAATTTGAAACAATATGAATACCATTGTTCGTACTGGGAGTCTCAAGAGATTTGAGAAACATATTCTAAGCACACCCCATGATTTCATAAAAGGCAGAGAATTTGCAACAGGGTCTCTGAATTCAGCATCTTGAAAATCTCATTTAAAAAAGAATCAAGTTTCTATCCCTCATGGCTATGAAGAAAGGCTTGAAAGGGTGTAGGCAATGTCTATTCCAGTGTTCAGAAGAGTAGGGTTGAAATGGTCCTGCACTGAGCATGGCATTATCCCTTCCTGCAACTAGCTGAAGCAGATGAAATTATGCACACTAGGGAAATTATGCAAATGTTCGTGATTTATGGTGGTTCGTGATTTATGAAGGTTGCATAATTCTGTTTTTCTTGATGCAAAATTAGAGTGATCAAGATGCAGAATGATGTTATCCTTTGGTTGTTCATGACAGCAAAAATATCCTTTCACAGGATGAGGCTGGAATAAGAGCCTCATATTTCTTTGCTTTACAAATATCCTTTTTGGAGTACTTTTTAAGAAGTTATTTTAAAAAGTTTGTTTCACAAAGCTAGTAACTTTCTGATAGACCAGTATACTATAAAAAAAAAATCTGCAGCACTGAAAGGTCTAAAAATGATTAATTGCGCCCATTAAATTTTCCAGAACTACTCATTTGAAATCGAATGTCAATTTAGAGCAAATGCTGACTGTTGTAGCTTCCTCGGATAAACAGCTAGCTTTCCCCCTAGCTTTCTAGCTCAGAACTATACAGGAACTGAAAACCTACTGTGAACTCATAGAAGGTAGACAATACGTTCCTCTAAGGCAACAGAATATGGATCAGATGTGTTGCAACCAGCATGAGTGATTTCTGGGGGGCTCTAAATTATTCAGGCTAATTCTACTGCGTCTTCCCTCCTCTCACCACCAGGGAAAACCAGGACTTCCAGGAGTTCAGGGACCTCCTGGCTTGAAAGGACTGCAGGTGAGCAAGGGCATAGCTGGACAGGGCTTTAAATGTACCTAGTTTGCATGGACAGATGGGGCTGCTTTCTCCCAAGCACTGCTTAAACCTTGGCGTGGCTACCTATTTTGACAGCCAGGCCCAAGAGATAAGAGGAAGAGTGAATTGCCATTGCTAATGAGCCACAAAAGGTGCTCCACAACCATCCAGTTGGGTAGTGAACGAAGAGGATTAAGGCTGCGGTGCAGAAATGCAGGAGGAGGGAGCATAAAATTCCAGGGAGGGAGATAAGGGGAATCACGGAGCCAAGGCTATTGAAATAGCTATGACTCAGGTGTGCTTCATTCTTTGGGTGATTTGGTGATGTCGTGTTTCCACTAATCTGTCTGTTGCATCTTTCCAGGGGGAGCCAGGTCCTCCAGGGATAGGAATCCAAGGTCCAGAAGTGAGTATGGCCAGTATGTGCGCGTGTGTGAATAGTTTCTGCAACCATGTGTTGTGATTAGAACAAGACCCACCCACTTCTCTCTTCTTTCTCAGGGGGAAATTGGACAGAAAGGCTCTCCTGGCAATCCTGTAAGTAGAATCTCGCCTTGCCTTGTTCAGCCACATTAAGGCAGGTCAGCCACAGTAGACCTGTCATGCCTAGACAATGACTCAGAGGATCCCTGAACCAGGCTCTGGTGCTAACCTATAAATTGGTACTCACCTGGAAGGCCTTAGACTCAGGGTCCGCGTAGCCCTGATGACCCAGCAGCAAAGTCCCAAGAGGAGCAGTGTGGAGTTAACTGCTTTGCAAGGGGTTATGACCTAGCATGGAAATTAGCACTCATTTGCAGAAGGCTCTTCGATATTCCAGACAAGGGGAACGAGATGGGGTCTGGGGCAGAGTTTTATCAAAGCTCATTTTCCTTTTCTCAATAATCTTTATATGATTCCCCTACCCAGAGACCTCCAAATTTGCCTTGTCGCTTTAGTTGCAGGTATATTCGACTCTGCCCTGAATGCATGGGCATAGCCAGAGGGTAGGGGTGGGGGCAACAGCTCACCCAATCAAGCAGATAAGTAAAAATACTTCACTGGAAGTAGCAATAATCAGAATGTTTGAGATTGAAAGACTCACTACGGTCACTTGGAGGATGATTTTTCTGAGCATTTAGGGTCAAAAAATAGTAATTTAAGCAACTCTTGTTGAGAAATTTCATTCTGAATCTACTAGACAGAGCTAGACAGAGGATGATGCCCCCCCCCAAAAAAATCCTGGCTATGCCCATGCCTGAATGTGTAGGCTTCCTTCACCATGGCAAGTGGAGGATGCCCCAAAGGATGGCACACAGAACATATCTAACCCAAAACTACATCAACTTTTTTGTGGTTCCTCCAGCTAGGAATATACGGAACCTTCTGAAATTGATAGCAAGAAAATTCAATGGCATCTCTACTTTTCCCCCTAAAGGCTTTGCAAACCCCCAATGCAACCTTTGCTAACCTGGTGCCCTCCAGAGGTTTTGAGCCCATAATCCTCATCAGCTGGCTAGTCCAAAGCATTGGGGGAGGGGGAACCAGGTTGGCAAAAGCCTAACAAAAGGAAATGTTTTGCTATTGAGATATCTTCATGTTTCTAGAACCCAGCTTTGTTCTTCCTGTCTCTTTCACTTGTGCTGTGATTCTCTTTTTTCTGTGCCACAGGGACCCCCAGGACCTCGAGGGCCACCAGGAAATGTTGGGGGAAAGGGGGAAAAGGTGAGCATTGGCATCTGGGTTGTATAATTTTCAGTGGGAACTGAGAAATGGCATCTGATAGCCTTCATGGCTGTGGTGGGTTCATCTTTAATTTCTTATTCATTACCAGTGAGCTGTTGCATCGAATGAATGATGAAACAGATAAAATATCAGTGAAGTGACATGTACTCCTATTCCAAGGTGAACCTCAGTAGAAAACTGCTTTAATTCTGTGCTGTTCACAGCGCCATTTCGCTGAGGATAGAATTACTGCTTTGCACCCTGCAGCAACTATCCCATATTCCATTGCATTAATATAGGAGCGTGGGAGACACTGTGTTTGCAAAGTATACTTTATATCCCACAATATCTGTGCAAGATATTAGAAAACTCCAGCATAGATTGTGTTGGGTCTTAACCATGTTTTAGAGCAAATTCCACCATTAACATCAGAATGTTGTCAGCTTGGATGTAATATTGCTCTTTTCCCTATAGGGCTCCCCAGGTCTTAAAGGTGCCATAGGACCCACTGGACCTCCAGGTGCCAGTGTTACTGGCCCACCAGTAAGTGCCATTGCTTTGTAGTTCCGGAAATCTTACAACCAGCCAGTGCTTTGTGCTTTCTGACTCTTGTTGTCCTGATATTTTCCTCCAGGGCCAAGAAGGCCAGCAGGGCCTCCCGGGAGTTCCTGGATCCGATGGTTCAAAGGTGGGCAAGCTGTGTGCTCTGAAAACTAAAATGATCCTGTCTAATCATCTGGCTGCACCAGGTTCTTAATTACCTGTGAACCACTCACTTCTGACAATCCCACTGCTGGCAAAAACCTGCACTGGCCTTGAAAGCCTTAAAACAAAAGGAACTTGATAGGCCTGTCAGATGCATCCTGCCATGGCTGCTACCTGGATGGAATCCAATCAGTGAAAGATTCCTCCCTTTCTTAAAAATGCCCGGGTGCCAGATCCACCCTTCCTTTAGAGACAAACTTCTGCTTCTCACTTCCCTAGAAAGCATGGATCTGAGGTTTTCCGTTTGTCCCACGTTTCTAGGGACAGGTCTGAGCGGTTTTTCATTTGTCTCACCACTTTCCCCAGGAAAAGCCTACCGTATTTTTCGCACCATAGGACGCACTTTTTCCCTCCTAAAAAGCAAGGGAAAATGTGTGTGCATCCTATGGAGCGAATGCAGGGGGGAGGCAGGCGGGAAAAGCCCCCAAGAGCCGCACACAAGCTCTGTGCGCTCTTGCGGGCTTTTCCACAGGAGGGAGAAGGGACTGACTGGCCGCATCAGTCCCTTCTCCCACCTCCTAGAAAAGCCAGTAGAAGCCGTGCAGCCCCTTTAAAGAGTGTGCGGCTTCTGCGGGCTTTTGCGGAAGGTGGGAGAATTCCCCCACCTCCCGCAAAAGCAGGGAGAAGCCGTGCAGCCCTTTTAAAGTGCGCGCGGCTTCTGCCGGTTTTGCGGGAGGTGGGGGAATTCCCCCACCTCCCAGAAAAGCCAGGAGAACGCCGTGCAGCCCTTTTAAAGAGCTCACGGCTTCTGCGGGCTTTTGCGAGAGGTGAGGGAATCCCCCCACCTCCCAGGAAAGCCAGAAGAAGCCATGCAGCCCTTTTAAAGTGTGCGTGGCTTCTGCCGGTTTTGCGGGAGGTGGGGGAATTCCCCCACCTCCCAGAAAAGCCAGGAAAGCCCCGCGCAGCGTCTCCCAGCAAGGAGAGGCTGCATGGGGCTAAAGGGGAAGGCAAAACAGCGAGCGGGATCCATCCCGCTCGCTGCCTTGCCTTCTTCCATAGCTGCGCGCAACCCCTCTCGCTGCCTTGCCTTCTTCCATAGCTGCGCGCAACCCCTCCGCAAGGAGAGGCTGCACGGGGCTATGGCTTCTTTAGCCCTGCGCAGCGTCTCCCGGCAAGGAGAGGCTGCATGGGGCTAAAGGGGAAGCCAAAACTTGGCTTGCTCCATAGCTGCGCGCAACCCCTCCGCTGCTTTTTGGGGCTGGGGGGGGAAAGATTTTTTTCTTGATTTCCCCCCCTAAAAACTGGGTGCGCCCTATGGTCCGGTGCGCCCTATGGTGCGAAAAATACGGTATATTTGCTGCTGAATTGTAACAATCCACAGCAAAAACTGATTGACATTTGCTCTGATTCAGTAGTAAACAGCAGGTTTTCCCAGGGAAAAGCATTGGGACAAGCAGAAATGTGTGGGCGAGCCCTCAGTGCCCTCTTTAATATTGAAGAGGGGCTTGTGCAACTAAGAATTCGCTCATGCTGCTTCTCACCTTCTTGGATGCTCTATGAAAAATTATCAGAGTGATGCCCCTGAGTGCTGCTGGCCCTTTGCCCGCCTCCAGGCCACAGCACTTGCCTGACCCCACTCTCTTTGGAAGCAGGCTCTGAAACGAAAGTGTTGAAAGCCTGAATTTTGAAGCTTTGGATCCAGCTTTGGCATGACTAATGTGTGGATGTTTCGTGTAAACACTTCATTTCCACCCCAAAATAAGACTGACTAAAGATGACTGAAGCGGCTGAGGGTCAAAGAGCGAAGCATGCAGCACAGAACATGCTTTCTCGTTTGCAAAGCAGAGATGATTGTTCACACCGTGGCGGTTTTGAAATCTGCAGTGCAAATGCTCAGCGCTGCTCTAACGACGAGCGGTGCCTCAAAGGCCAACATATGGCGCTGAAAAATAAATTGGATTTGGGGTGCGCACTCTTCTTTAATAACTCCCAGTGTTAGCAAGAGAGATAAAGGGGGTTATTAATTATGCGCGCCTCTTTTGAGGGAAGACCTTCAATTATTCAATAGGAGCCACTGTGTGCAGCCCTCAAAGATCTGTTCCGTGGTTCCTTGGTGTTCTCATGTCATTCCGATTGAATTCAGCATGTCACTCAGCTTGTTTATCAGTGCAGCAATGCTGTTATCATGTTGGGTGGAAGGGAAGGGTGGACTGTGCCACAGGTGCTGGGGGCAGGGAGTATATAGTTCAGTAGTAGAGCATCTGCCTTGCATGAAGGTCCAAATTTCAATTCCCCATGGCATATCCAGGTGAGACTGGGAGACACTCCTTGCCTGACACCCCAGAGAGCCACTACCAGTCAGTGCAGACAGTATTGAGCAAAATGGACTTCTGACTTTGAATGATAATAATAATAATAATAATAATAATAATAATAATAATAATAATAATAATAATAATAATATTTTATTTATATCCTGCGCTCCCCAGCCAAAGCCGGGTTCAGAGCAGCTAACAACAGTAAAAATAACACAGTTTACATAAAATCACAATCAGTAAACTGAAATACATTTTAAAATTAATTCAGAGTCAAATTAATGACAACCATTGGGCTAGAGTTCTATGAGGATTACAGAAGGAGGGGGTCAGACTGTGCCTTGGCCAAAGGCCTGGTGGAACAGCTCTGTCTTGCAGGCCCTGTGGAAAGATGTCAATTCCCACAGGGCCCTAGTCTCTTGTGACAGAGCATTCCACCAGATCAGGGCCACGGCCGAAAAAGCCCTGGCTCTAGTTGAGGCAGCTTCCCATATTCCTTCTCCACTCCTACACCACTGCCTGAGAAAGATTCCACAGCAGAGTTTGGACCTGAGATACCTCCAGGCTCAAAGCCTGGCACCATTCAAATGCATGTGTACACCCACCTACAGCCGCCTCTTCACCACTGCTTAGGTGTTTCCCAATCAGCTGGGCACTGGTGGGGCAGACTGCTGGGAGGGGAGGTTTAAACCTCCCTTCCCAGTGATTCTCTCTCTGCCCCTCAAGCTGGTTGGAAAATGCTGAGCAGCAAAAAAGAGAGAGGAGAATTGCTCCTTTGGGAGTCACAGCTTCAAGGCATGCCAGGCACCTTGAGGTAGTAGTTCCTGGTGGAACTGGATTCTCTCACTTTTCTTAGTGGGAAAGGTGAGATGCAAGGAAAGACTTTGGGAACTGCTGCTTCAAGGTATCCCAGGTGAGGAAAGCCTTTAGGGACCTGCACTCCAGGCATCTTGAGGAGGTGGATCCTGATGGAGCCAGCTTCTCTTACCATTTCAGATGGTCCTGGCAGTGATCACCAAGTGCTTCAGAAGATTGCTAGGAAGAGCTGTAGGGAACACAGAGGAATTTGCTTGTTTGATTATTTATTTTTACTTGAAGCCACTGCCACACAAAAAAGGTAGGCAGCTGGCAGGCCAATTTGAAAAGGCTTCAGGAGCTAATTCTGGCCTAGGGGCCACTGTTTATGCCCCTCTTGTAATGTAAGTCCACCTGATTTCTGAGCAACAGAGGAGTTTTCTAAAAGTGGGCAAGGGATTAGAGGGGAAAGGGGTTCCAGACTGTGGGATGTCACAAGGCATGAAGACTGGAGTGAAAGAAGCAGGCCAAAGAGAGCTAATCAAAGGAGTTTGCAGGTGTGCTTCTTTGCACATCTGAGAAGCAAATGGGACCATGTAAACACTCTGCACATGTGTGCACATGTGTGCTATTGCCAGCAGCATGCTTCTCCAAATATCTGACTCTTCTTTCTCTTCCTTTCTTTTTCTCTAGGGTGAAAAGGGAGCCAGAGGAGAGAAGGTGGGTCAGCCTCCTTCTCCATCCCAAATTCTGCAACACTTAAGTTCCTTCTGGTGTCTTTCCACACCATCAGCATCTTATACAACAAACACCTGCTGTTTTTGTCATGTGCTGCACACAATTCTCCCAGTTCTTATCTTTCTGGGGGTGCAATGCACTGGCTGAGAGAAGCACAGTGCACCTTTGAGTAATCCAACATAAGGAGGAGCCAGAAACACCCTGCCACTCCTTGTTCATGTGGACCAGAGGTGTTACTCTGGGGATAACAACCCATGATTCTTGATTAAGTGTCCCATTCCAGAGCCCCAAAGAACATAGGAAGAGTCCTGCTGGTTGAAACCAAAGGCTTATCTATTCTTCTCCCACAATGGCCAAGCAGATGTCTCTGGGAAGCCCACAAGCCATACATGAGCTGGGATAGCTCAGCCAGTAGAGCATGGGATTCTTACTCTCAGGGTTATTGGTTTGAGCCCCACATTGGGCAAAATATTCCTGCATTGCAGGGGGTTGGGCTACATGACTCTTGTGGTCCCTTCCAACTCTACAAATTCTATGATTCCATTAGCACAGTAGCCTTCTCCAGTAGGAAAGGATCCCTGTGCTCCCACGCCTTGGTCCCCAGATGTCTCTCCCTCCTTACCCTCCTCACCTTTATCTTCTCAGGGAGATTCTGGTGAGTGCAGCTGCCAGCCCGGCCCTCGCGTGGACTCAAGCAACATTGGTCTTCCGGTAAGCGTCACTACATGCTCCTGCTGCCCCCAAGGCCTTGGGGATTCGCTGCCAGGCTGGATGATGGTTCAAGCCACCTGTGCTCCCCCATTCTCCGCTCAACGCCTTTGCTGCTCCGGAAGCTGGAACGCCCATGTCCTGCTTGGCCTTTGCTAAACGCTCTCCCCTTTTGGACCCGCAGGGTGCCCCAGGACTGTGGATCGGGACTTCCTGGCAGCCTCAGCCGGGCCCTCAGGTGTGTGGGTGTGTGTATGTGCATGCTTGCTCCTCTGTGCGTAGCGACCTTGGCTCCTTTCTCCCCATCGCCCGCCCCGTTGCTCTCTTAACCTCTTCCTCTCTCTTTCTTTGTGGTGTTAACAGGGACCACCAGGTGTTCCAGGCCCTCCAGGCCCACCAGGAGCTCCTGGGAGGCAGGTAAGTGGTAGGAGAGCCATATATCCCAGCATCTTGCAGACAAGAACAGGTATGCATTGACAGTGCCAGCTCCTGTATTCTTTGTGGTGGGGGGGAGTGGATAAGGCACAGCATTAGTGGACTCAGTTAACCTGGAAGAGACAGGGCTTCCAAGCCCAGAATTCACTCCCACTCCCCCTGACTTCCTTGGTTGTGCAGTGCACAGGAAGAGTGGCAGCTCTGCTTAGATGGGGACCCAGTCCTGGTGCTGTGTGCTGTGCTAAGCAAATGAGTTGTGTTGTGGCTGTGAGCCAGTGTGCTGCCCTCAGCAGTTCTCACCGCACCCTCATGGAAATGACCTGGAATGCTAAAAAGCTTTGGGAAGGTGGAGAAGTCCAGCAAGAGTCCCAATGCCATGACCCTTTTCTTGCTGGGCCATCCCTGCGTTGGTTGATCAAGAGCAGGAGGCAGAAATTGCTCTCCAAAAGCTGGTAGCTCCAAAAGCTCCAAAACACTATACCTGTTTGTTCTATATGTTGCCCTGGCAAAGGGGAGCCCTTGGTACTACTTGGATGGAGAACCAGTTCACAAAATTTCCTTTCCTCCCCTTCCTCCCCTCCCAGAACACAGACATCAGTGTGGGGTGATGAGTCTAGTTCCTCCACCCCAATTAAACATAATGGCAGAGGCTTGTTTTGACTTGGAGAATACCATGCAAGCATTATGAGTCCTGATCTAAGTTGCAGAAAATCACACCCACCCATGATACTCCTCCTCAGCCTCCACACCCCCAGCCCTTATCTTTATCTTATCTTTCTTTAAGTCTTGTTTCATCTTCTTGGATGCTCACCAGATTTCTATGGGTTCCCCATTTATCTCTGAGATTCATCTTCTTGACTGCCACTGCTTCTGTCGGTGATATCCACAAGGGTGTTTTTCTTTCCAGAATATCTCCATATCTCCTCCATACATTGTACAGGCTTCTTCTTATTACATGATTGAAGAAGGCCTTATGTGTTTTTGCTTTGCCATGGGGGAGAAATTTGATTCAGCTCACATTTAAAAGTGGCTCTATCAAATTTGCACTTTCTAAAACAATATGAGAACCAAAACAGCATGCAAAAGTGTGTTTATTAGGGGAAATTTGAAATGAAATGCTAAAAAAAAATCATTAGCATTTTTTAAAGGAAATTGCTACAGAAATGTGGAGAACTGAATTTAAAGGCTCATCCAGACTTCTGCTTGTTCCCCTACTGTTCCCCGCCTCCCAGGAAAGTCTACTCTCTAGCACTGAATCAGAGCAAACATCAATCGGGTTTTTCATGAATTGACATTTGCTCTGAATGAGTGCCAAAGAGCAGGTTTTCCCTGGGAAAGGAATGGAAGAAGTGGAAAACTGCTCGCACCCATGTTTTCTAGGTGTGGGATTGTGGAAGTGGGGATGAGCCCTAAGACTGGAAAAGCCAGGAACTAAGAGAACTGAAATTGACGGATTTTTCCATCCCTAGTGTGGATGAAGAGCCATGCTGGGGACTTAGGGGAGCTCAAAGGAAAGAAACAGGGTTCATCACATCACTAGATCTCTCAGGTCAGAGAGAGGAATAGGGAAGTCCTGACTTGGTGGTGACAGTCACCAGCAGACTGTCAATGATTGGTTGTTACCCTGATGAAGAAGGTGCATAGGAGGCTGCCAACCAATGGAGAGGCCAGTCTAGGAGCCAGTCAGGGCTTGAGGAATAGGTAAAGGAGTTGGAAAGACACAGTGAGGGATGTTCTGGCATGGAAGGCAGGTATCGTAGGTCCCAAGTTCTGGTGCTTTTGAGGTGCCAACATCTTGCAGCAGAAGCCCTTTGAGATAGCAAAGATCACTTCAGGAGGCAACAGCTGGGAAGCACTCAAAATATTCAAAGTTTCTCCTTGCCTTTAGGGCATCCCAGGACACAATGGCTTGCCGGGACTGCCTGGGCCGGTGGGAGACTTGGTAGGTACAGGACTGCAGTGTCCGCCTTTTCCTGCCCTCGCTCAGGCCTGTGCTTAGTGCTGCCCCCTTTTGCTCAGCTCTTCCCCAAGCCTCCTCCATCACCCCACCAAGGAGAAGTGCAGAAGAGGTGCAAACTAGAAGCTATGTTTTTATCAAAAGTAGCGACCAGGAGGCTGCTGGAGGGAATCTGTTAGGTGTTTATGCTGCTTTTGGCACAATTCCCTAGAAGCTCATGGCTCCGATAAAAAAGAAAAGGAAGATAGCTCTGTTTTATCGATGCAATTTTTCCCCCTCTCCTCCTTTTCATCTCCCCATTGCAGGGACCACTGGCTGCTGAGAGCATGGCTGTCCTCAAGGTAAGGCAAAAAGGACCTCTGGCTGGCTTTTGCTCTGGTGTGAGCGACAGAATGTGAGACGACAGCAAAAGCTGTCCTCTCAAGAAACGGTTAGAAAGTCACCTGCCCAAGGTGTTTCTGTGTTTGGATGGAGGACTGGACTGCAGCAGTGATTCAGTAAGCCATGGTCTGTGGGGCATTCTTCAGGTGATCCTAGAGACTGTGATAAAATAATTTTTGATATTTTAATTATTTATTGTATTTGTTTATGTTTTTTATTTTATGTCTTTATTTTATTTTATTTTGAGTGCCACCCTGGGCAACTTTCCAAGGAAGGGTGGCATAATAACAATAACAGCAGCAGTGGCAACGGCAACAACAATAATAATGGGAAATACCAGAATCACTTGCCACAGCAAATGGTGACAAACTCCAGCGGAATTGTGCTGAGCACACAGAGCAACAGGGAAAACGAGGCAATTATTAGGAAGGCGTTGCCACATTTGCAGATGCTCCATCTTACTGAGTTGCTAGTCAGTGAAAGTGCTTCTGCAACAAACCCCAGTGCAGAAATGACACAGACTGTCCTGCCAGTATCCTTCTCACCAGAGCTGGCAGGATTCCTCCACTCCTCGTTACTTGTGCATCATTCACAATACAAATAGTACATCATTTAATACAAATGTTGACAATTAATGTTGGAAAGGAAGCAGGCAGTGCTGGAATATTCTGCTTCTCACCCTCTTTTTCTTCTTCCCTTGCCAGAACATTTGTGGAGACTGTGCTAACATACAAGCTTCCCAAGTCCCCGGTGCAACCAAAGGCGAAAAGGGTGACCAAGGCATGCCGGGAGCCCCTGGCATAGATAATTGTGCACGGGTGAGTAGCCAGTCAGGCTTTGGTCAGATTCAGATTCCTGTAGCTGGGCTTGAAGAGCACTGTAAATCAGACTGTGAAATCAGTGACCTTGCAATAGCATGAGTCTATAACAGCCCATTCTGCCAAGATGATGTGACACATTTGTGCATTTTAGTAAGTGATGGGAAATGCTAAAAACTTAGGACACATGAACATTTGAGAGCCAGATTTTTTAAAAAATTAATAAATCATTATGTTTATTGATTATAAAACAATTCTGAAGGCATGAAACACACATATATCCAATACAAACATTTCATCTCATAATGTAATATACAAATGTGTAATATGGTTCACCGTCAGAATAATTCTCCCAAATCTTTCACAACAAATCATTACAAGATCTGTCCATCCAAAGTTTCCACTTCTGTTAATTCTTTCCCAATAATTATATTGATCACTGCCCAGACTTTATTTTTCCATTATCTAACCACTAGAGTTTCTTCCTTTTTTCTGTCTACTGGCAATTCTTAACATTTTGGGAGGTGATATATGTTAAATGTGATAAATTCAGGGTGGTTTGTTTGTTTTTTTACTGCTGGAGAGCTCAAATATCAGAAAGTGACTTCACTGTAATGAAATCCTTCCCTTATTCCCACAATAAACCAGTAAGTGTTGGCAAAGAGTGCAGGAGAGCCCCCTAATATGCTTGCAGAGCGAAATGCTTTCTGGGGCTGTCTTGCTCAATCTCAACAAATCACAGAAATGCCTTTGGTCAACGTGCCAACATATAGTTCTATGTAGAGTCCCATTGCTATATACAGAAGGGGGTTGTGACTGTGTGGTCAAGTGGCCCCTCACATCCCCCACCACCAGCACCTATGCTTTGGACTTCCTGTTTGCATGAGAGCTACACAGATAGAGCTCACTGCAACACTCATGGGATTCAGGTTGACACATGTTGGGCTCTACCTGTAGGGGTCCCTATGGAAGTGATAGGCCCAACACAAGGACATTGGGCATGACCAGGAGAAGGGCAATCATACATATTTTGCCTTACTTGCCAGCACCTCTCCAGGCCACTCATGGTCCAAGATTGATGCCTTAGCATCCACTGAAATATTGCAAGGGGTTCTGGGGTGCACTAATCAGGTCACCCACTGATTCATTGGCATCCCTTGAAAATATGGCTGCTCACATGTTTCTGGCAAGTGCTGAGCTGTAATGGTAAGTCATACTACAAACTCTGGATAAGAAATTAAATTTCTGCATCTCTTCTGCTTTCAGTGCTTTGCTCTTTACCCCAGAGCAGAAGAGGCTCGGGTGAGTAAAACTCTTGGCTGAGTATCTATGGAGAAGCAATCATGGAAAAGATAAAAGCCTAAAATATGCTATGAGTTAATTAATCAATAGTACCTTTCTTCCACCCAGTGGTATGCAAAAAGTATCTTCACCAGCACATGCTATTTGCACTAAGGGTTCATCATCAGCCAAGTCAGGGAGACCAAGTTCTGTGTCCTCTTGATCATCATGTTCTCACTAGCAGTACTGTACAGGTATATATATGCCTGCAGCAAAATGCCAGTCTATACTGATACAATTTGAGACCCTTTTGCCCTATACTATCCTTGATCCAAGACACTTCACTCTTCAGCTCAAGTTGCTGAGACTTCAGGTTCAGCAAAGCTTAGGGGAAGCTTAGGGGATTCTGAAGATATGTGTATTTCACATCATTCCTTGATCTCCAAAGGTAGCTTGAGTAGATTATTATGGTGAGCTAAAATCCGCCGATAATTCCAGAAAGTCAGTTGTTGTGCCTTCCACGGGTGAAATACCATGGCAGAACCATGGCTTGGCATAAATGTGCAAGGATGCAGGTTCGTCTGAGGAGGAGATTGCAGCTATCCTTGCCCTCCATGGTTGTTTTGCTGCTAAGTCATGGCCTGGACAGACCATGAGCTGTAGCTAAGAATAAACCTATGAAGAGAACTTAACCACAAGCCCAGGTTTGGGTAGTTCAGTGTGGTGCAGTCGCAAAAATAATTGCGTAGCAAGGTCCCAGACCCTCCCGGGATGTTGGAATAAAGACACATGAAACAGTATTTTGGGTTAATGGGTGAAAAAAGCCACAACTTTATTGGTTACAGAATGTGAGTGCTATTAGCTTAGGCATTGGAAACCACACAACTATATCTGACTCCTGCCCGTCCACAGGAAGTCTTGGAAGGGTTAACCACCAGTAGGGGGAGGCCTGTTGATGCACATCAATTAGGAACTCTCCCAGGGTCACCGCCAGGGGTCGTGCCATGGCCCTAGCCCCCCCCCCCCCCCGTCTGGGGTTTCAGACAGAGACCACGCCCCTCGGATTCCTTTAACGGAATACCCTTGAAAAAGGGGTGAGTCCTTGGCCGCGGGCAGTTTAAATAACTCACACAATGCCCCCAGACCATCCGGATTGGTCAGCCAGGGATGATACGGCCAAGGACCCCCCAATGGTGCAGGGGCTATCCCACTCCATGCGTGTGGATAGGGCTTGCTCCCAGCCTGCAACGTCATTTCCCTGGGAACCGGAAATGGCTCTGTGGAGGAGAAAACCAGGCCAGTGAAGGAAATTCATCCAGTTAACAAGCAGAATCTAAGGCAGTATTATTGTATCTGAATAGTATACAGTACTATAGTACAGTACTAAGGGATGGGTGCAATCAATAAAAAGTATCTAACCACAAAAATATCTAAGCAAGCACACCAAACCAGATGGATTGTCTCTCCTCTGGGCACCAAGGGGAGGGGCTGTCAAATAGCAAATGCAGCTTGGAACAGTGCGGTTGGGCAGTTTTAACTGGGTATTGGGTATTTTAACTGGATATTGGGGAAAATAAGAAATCACCATGGCCCTGTTCTGTGATCCTGTTCAGAATCAAGGACCTTTGCAACTTTATTTGTCTTTTTTAAAAAATGGTGGAGATGCAATGATATATTACCCACTTTAGAATGAGTCTAAATATAGAAGTATTTTGTCTGTAGTCAACAGTGCATGCAAATAGGAAGCCCGAAACAGCTGCTACACTGATTTAATCTTCTATGGGACTGTGGGTTCTGGAAAATGTAAGTTCCCTAGCCCCGTGCCAGTTCACTGATCTGTTCTGATGTGAATTCTGGCATTCAAGTTGGGTCTTGTTCCAAAGGGAAATGGATCCGAAAGTCTGAGTTGGCTCCTCCTTGAGGCTGCAACCCTATATGCACTTAGCCTGGAATAAGTCCCATTGAACTCAGTGGAACTTACTTCTGGGTGAACATGCCTAGGATTGAACTGTAAATTATGCAATCTTAGGTCTGGCAATGACCAATTTTACTGCATGGTCATCACTGCTCAGCTTACTGAGATTTCTCTCTAGAAGCTGTTTTCTTGAAATAAGTCCAAATAGATGTTCATTGGTGGTGGGGTTGTGTGAAAATCCATGACTATTGGACTGAAGCAACTAGCATAAACAGAGAGCTCATTCTCATGACCTATGTCTTAAATATTTTTTCTTTCTGTTTGTCTATTTAAAAAAATCTGGAAGAGGACAAAGAGCACATCAGGAAATTTTTACCAGTTGAATCACAACTACCAGAACTGCAAACAGCAAAAGGTCTTGTGGCACCTTAAAGAATATCAAATTTAATTATGGCACAAGGTTTCATGGACCATGGGATTGAGCCACAATCCTGAACTGGTAAACATATGTATCACATGACAGGGGAAGGAATGTGTAGGAGTGAATTCAGAGGGAAATGAAATGCAAGAACAACAAAGAGCGACAATTATCCGAAAGCAAAATAGTTACAGTGACTGATTAACAAGGTGGGACCACTGCCTTCTTAACTGGACAATAGAACTATTTTGTTTTCAGGTAATTGCATCCTTTGTTGCTCCCACTTTATTTCCCTCTGAACTCATTCCTGTGCTTTTTCACTCACTCATATTTGCATGTATATATGATTGCCAATTCAGACTTACACTTAGTGCAATGGATGGAATGTGGCCTTCAAAAGCTATTTATTCATAATAGATTTGTTAGCTCTTAAAGTGCCATGTAACATTTTGTTGTTCTTCCTTCAACAGACCAGCATGGCTATCCTTCTGGCAATTGCAAAGATCACGTTAGCTTGCAAACTGAAAGCCCTCCTCCAGTAGATGCCGTTCTTTGTTTGGAAACTGCTGGCATCCTTTAACTGCGTAGAAAGGTTGGGGTTGACTCAATGCATCTTGTCTTCCCTTCCAGGGCGATAGTAGCAATGACCAAGATTGTGCTGGAGGTCCCGGCCATCCTGGAATCCCTGGATTACCTGGAGAGAGGGGGGAACAGGTAATGTCACCCGATGCTTGATGTTTTAATTATGTTTTTAGATATGCTGTAAGCCACCCCGAGAGGCTGGGGAAACCCAGCCAGATGGGTGGGGTATAAATAAATTATTGTTATTACTATTAAGACACCAAGGAGCCACAATGCTGCCACAGTATCTTGAGTTTAGGAATTATAATTTTCTCTTTGCTTCTCCTTCTGTGCAGGGCCTACCAGGCCCAAGAGGACCTCCTGGACCAATTGTGAGTACATTAGCTTCTGCTTTTTTGTTTCCATTTTCAGTAAAGATTTTTAGCCTGCCTGTGCACCATTCACAATTTGCAACAATTTAAAATCACAATGCAAATGCTTTTGTTTCCTTCCTCAAGCCTTTGACCCTTGCAGCATCCTTTTCACCACAAGCTGAAACCTGTCCAAAGAGCCAGGGAGAGAAAATGCATTTAAATATAACCTTCCTCTTTTGTGCCTGGTCCATATTTGGCCTTTTACATCCAGGCTGTGAGCAGCTGCTCATTGCGTTTAATGCAAGTTCCGACCAAAAGGGCTCGAATTGCATTGGGGAGAAGGAAGGGATAGGCAGGTCTCTGTACTCTAAGGTAGCCTTGCTTTGGGGGAATACAGCGATGGATTCATTTGGAAAGGTGAGTCCATCACACTGGTGCTGCAATGGGAGAAATTAAGTCCTGCTTGTATCAGGAAAGCCCTGTCCATTCAAGCCAAATCTCTGCTTTCAGTTTCCTCCGTCTTCACCCACCTTCCCTAGCCTAGCCAATGTGATTGCCAAGGTATGATTTCACTGTTTCTTCCCATAGGGCCCCCCAGGTTTTCCTGGAACGCCTGGCGCACCTGGATTACCTGTAAGAACCCAGTATAGCACGTGCTGTGTGCAGTCCTTTGTCGCCGCCGCTTGTTTGGCTTCTCACCCCTCCTCCTCCTCCCTCCTACTCCAGGCTCTGTATCTAATAGCACAGCCAACCTCCCATGCACACTTGGTCACATGATCTAACCCCCACCCCCCATACAGTCAAGTTGCCTGATAAAGGCCCATCTTCTGTAGATGTGGATCAGCAGGACTGGAAGGCTCTCCAACCTTTTGGCAACATGGGAATCATCTACCGTAATCTGGGATTCATCCTAGCCCCCAACTGATTAATCAGGGTCATTCTGTGGTTTTCCCTCAGCCCCATACAAGCATATTCTAAAACCTTCCAGTGTCCTGGCTATGAAGGAACATCTTCACCTCTGCCAAATGCTGGGAAGCCTTGACAGATCTAGTCACATTTCTGCCCACAAAGATTATGCATAGAATAGATTCCCACAGTTAACTTTTCTCTCAGTGCATAGCTTGTCCAACAACTGTTGGCTGTTCATTGTGAGTTGAATCCCTTCAGATGATGTGGTTCCACTTGACTGTGAACCCATGGTGGATAAACGCTGGAAAAATGTCAAGGTACAAGAAAGGAGATTCCAACTGAACATACGCAAAAACTTCCTGACAGTAAGAGCTGTTCAACAGTGGAACGGTCTCCCTCAGGAAGTTGTGGACTCTCCTTCCTTGGAGGTTTTTAAGCAGAGGTTGGATGGCCATCTGTCATGGATGCTTTTGCTGAGATTCCTGCATCGCAGGTGGTTGGGCTAGATGACTCTTGGGTCCCTTCCAACTCTAAGATTCTATGATTCCACTCCAAAATGAAACCGCCTTCCTTCTGTGTCGTGTATGCAAATTGTGTTTCTGGTTCTTGAAATCCTCATTCCACCCTCACCTGACCACCACCATCACCACTGTTAATTCCTTAATCTCATCCCTCAGCACCTCATCCCACTAATGGCACTGTAACTCCCACAGTCTGTGTGATTAATTGCTATGCGGCGTGGCCCTGTGCTGGTGTGAACAGTGTGTCCAGTTGAAACCATCACTGCCCAGCACCGCCATGTAACCCGAACTAACCCCACATTGTTAGCACACCAGGGGAGCCTCCCCACTCTTGTGGGTCACATGACAATGAATAGAGAAGTCATTCTCATATTCTATGTTGTGTAGCTCTGTCAGTTAGATACAACACCCAGTTAAGGGCTGCTTGTCACACAGTGCCTTCTGAATAAAAGGTAACTGCTGGAGTGACTCCCATTGACCAGATAAATGAGCTGATGAGTTGTATGTACAGCCAGCTGCTGCTCCTGACAATTATGTAAACTGAAAATGATACTCCATTTGCTAAATATTCCACTGAAAGTTGCTAGCAAGGATGGATGAATGAGTTGTAATCTGTGGAGAATTCTGCCTGCGTCTTGGGATTTCTGTTCAGAAGTGAAGCCCAGGTTTACTCCGTTCACCTTCAGTCTCTCCAGATCTTAAATGGAATAGGATGGACTCTGGCCAAAACCCTTCTCTCCCCAGTGGCTTATAAGGGAAGTAGTGACCCCTCCATCCCACAGTCATAGTCAGGAGGTGCCCATGTTTCCTCATGCATTTTCCCATCACTTTCCTTATTGCAAAAAGTCTGGCCTTTGAGGGAAGCAGGTTTGTTGCACAAGAGCTCCAAATTAACTTAGATTGCACAACCTGAATTTGCTAGTGTGTGGTGGAATCCCTCCTCAAAGCAGAAACAGTCTAGAAGTTCCCTAGAACACATCCACTGACTGGAGTTATTTCCATAGGCTCAAAATGGATTTCCTAATAAATGATCTCCTTTGCCATTTGGGGTTTTCCTCTTTTTTGTGCTCAGGCTTTCTGTGTCGGGCTACTTCTTATGCTGGGGCTGCAAAAATGGGCCCACCTTTCAGCCTGTCTTACAGTTCACTTCCTGGTTGCTTTGAGAGACTGCTTCCTCCTGTGTCTTGAGCATCTTGTGTGGTGATGGTTGCCCACTGCTAGTGGTGGAGGGAACACAGCAGTTGAAAGCAGGAGAAGGAAGAGTTATATAGTTACCGTAGATAGCGGAGGGACAAGGTGGGGGCCTGGTTTTTTCCACCCACTTTTTCTTCTTTCGGGGTGCAGCTGTTAAAGATTATCTGAATGACTTTAGATATCCAAAATATTTAGAATGAAAGCGCCACAAAAAATAGAAGGCAAATTTCCTGCAAGCAACTACTTGTAAGAATTCTGGCAAGACTCTCATAAGGAATGGGGGAACAATCCTCTCCCCACACACTGCTCAATCTTGGGGCACAATTCAACAAAAGTTAATCAGTATCCATGGGGATTTAATGCATCACACAAATATCAACCTGATCCCATGCTTGCTTACACAAAAGTAACCCTCACTGAGTTCATTGAGATTCAAGACTAAAGCATAGGGTTGCAAACTAAGCTTGATTTTGATTTTACCCCAATGGAATTTAGTCAAAACAACTTGGGCTGGATTGTGTCCTCCTCCTAAACCTATTGGATGATACCATGGTTGGAGACTGGGATTGGATTTAAGCAGATTTTTGTAGCTCTTGCAGAGGTAGTTTTAAAAAGCACAAAAAAACAACGGGATACGGATACTGATTTCTCTAGAATCCTCAAAATGGCAATGCTGGAAATGTGACAGGTCAACCAAACTGTTGCTGGGAATCGCAGGTGGGGAGGATGCTATTTAGCTTGCCGGTTTTCACAGGCATCTGGTTGGGTACTGTGCAAACAGGATGCTGGACCTGATGGACCATTAGCCTGTTCCAGCAGGCTCTTTTTGCATGTTTATGTTATTAAAGCTTCTCCAGCTGTTTTACTGTGCAACACACGCTACTGTGCACATTCACCAAATTGTCCAAGATGCCTTTTGCAGAGCACAAAGAAATCCAATCAATTGACTCTTTTGTCATGATATCATTTCTGGAAGAATTTTTTGTGGGAAGGGTTGGGGATGTACATAGTACTTTCCCTTTGAAAGAATATCAAGGTAAGATACTTGGACTTGAAGGTGTCTGTGTGTGTGTGTGTGTGTTCATGTGTGTGTATGAAAATTCTGTCATACAGATAACACAGAGAACATGCTGCAAGGTTCTCCTTGACTGGCCCTTTTCTAGATCAGCATCTTCAGATGTGGGAAGAAATACTGTTATAAGCACTGCTGTTCCAAAACTTTGTTCAATGCATTATCAATAATATCTTATTGGTCCAGTTTCTTAAAAGAAGAGCCATCTGTGGAGAACTGAATGCCAAACAATCTTAACGAGAGGTAAAGCTTTCCAAGCAACAGTAGCCAGATGAAGGTGGTATCTGATTGCCTCGAGGCCATTCAATACTTGTGTCACCGGGCTCTCATTTCTGCAATCCATTCTCCATTTATCCCCACCCTGCTATATGGCTTAGAGCACCCTCCCATCCACCCACACCAAATGCAATTAAATGAAAATGGGACAAACAATGTGAAACACCCTTTTGTATTTCTTCCCAAAGGGTCTCCAAGGTGAACGTGGATCACCTGGGCCCCCTGGATCCAAGGGAGAATCGGTGAGTAATGGATCCTGCTTCTAAACTCCAGAAGAGCTACAAAACATGCAAGGGGCTTGTCGATCTAGACTAGTCCTCCCTCCCCAACCTGGTGCCCTTCACATTTTTTTGACTACAAGTCCCATCAGCCCCAGCCAGCATGGCCGTAGTAGTCCAAAATATCTGGTGAAGATCTAGAGCACCTTTCAACTAGATGTCTTAGATGGATTGTTGTTGTTTAGTCACTTAGTTGTGTTCGACTCTTCGTGACCCCATGCACCAGAGCACACCAGGCACTCCTGTCTTCCACTCTTAGATGGATAGGTGCTATTAACCCTAGTTGAGATCCTCTTTGTGTGTTCATGAGTCTGAGTGGCTGAAGCAAATAGTAGCAGGTGGTTTTAGCAGGAAACTGAGTTACTAAGACAACCAGAGACATTTTTAGTGCATATGATGGACAATCCAATATTTTGATGACTATTTTCTCTCAATGAATGGAACCAAAAATCTGTTATCAAAGGTGATGCCCTCCATATAGATTGTCTAGATCAGGAGAGATTTTCTTGACACTTACCCAAGACCAGCATCTTACCTTCTTCAGTAATAATTTGTAACAACAACCGTCTTTTGGGTAACTTACAATTATTAATGAAGATTAGAGGACACATTCATTTCTGACTTTTTAACATTCAGCCATGCTTTTTGGAATGGTTTTGCAACACAACAACAATGATCAGGGTCTTCAAGAATGCATGAAAGCAGTTTGTCTGGCACAGTGATGGTTGTCTGAGACCACAAGACTATTGTTTGTTGATGCTTTTCCAACATCCTTTTCCACAGGGTCCCCCAGGTCAGCCTGGATATCCTGGCTCAATGGGTCCTCCTGGGCTACCTGTAAGTATGGCATGCAAAGGGAAGGATGGAATGGCAAATTAGGCAGGCAGAGAAAAGGTGGAGGGAGGATGGGAAAGGTTTGGCTCCCTTGCTGGGTGGGGAGGGCCTCAGGTGTGCCGCCACACAAAATCTATTTTGGTGGTGCAGGAACAAACATATATAACAGGTCAGCCAGGCCCACACATCACAAAGCAGGAGTCCGCAGGAGAGCTGAAATGCCTCAGGCAAAAACAGGCTCAAGCACATTGTATTTAGTCAGTTTTTGCTATCCAAAATTCACTTTTATAAAAAAAAAAATGCTTTTGAATAATTTTACAGCATACCCTGCTGAGGACCCTCTTCGATTTTTAAAGATTTAAGGTGTAAATTATCAAACATGTCAAGTTAATATTTAATGTTCTCCATAGTAAAAATACCCATGTTTGTTTTGTTTTAATTCAGAATTTGAAAATTCAAAATGTAAGGTTTAAAGTTCTGAATGTAATGGGGGGGGGGGAGGAAAAAAATCACTGGAAAAGTTGACTGCCCTGCTCAATTAATCCAGTATCATGTGATGACAAGTCTTTTCCTTTCTCCTTACCTACCTAACCTACTACCAGGGTGCTAAAGGAGAACGAGGATACGTGGGGTCATCTGGAGAGAAAGGGGAATCGGTAAGCGCCTGTCTTCTCCTGCCTGAACATGCCTGCATGATCCTCAGAGGCCCTTCCTTGAGGTTAGGTGGATAATGACTGGAAGGTGAGCCTTTTCAGCTGGGGCACTGCGCTCTGGGACATGCTCACCAATGAGGCTCGCTTTGGTACCTACTCTTACATCCTTCTTGAACTTGGCAGATATCTTCCCCAACCTGGCCTCATTCCCTGGATTGTTACAGTATAAATGTCTCCTCTGTCTTCCCTTTGTTTCTTTAGGGTCCTCCAGGCTTGGATGGTCCTGCAGGGCCCCCTGGACCAGCGGTAAGCTCACAGCTGAGTTGTATGTATGCTCTGAAATAGCCAATCAAACTTTTATCAGTGGGCACCTGGTGTCACATACAGTGAGCCTGGACTTTTGCCAGCAATTGGTTAAATTGGACCACATTAGAAAGAATTGTTGCTAATTAAATTTCAGTGGCACCTTGTGAAAGACCAAATTTCGCCCCCTCCCCAATCTTTCACCTTCTGATCTATTTACTACATCAGTAGTTCCTAGTTGGTGGTCCGTGGGGGTCACTGACACCATTCACATAACAAAAGCTTCCATAGAGATAACAATATTTTCAAAAGTATGAATTGGGTTTAAAAAACAAGGAGTCCTCAGTACTTAGCTAATTGGGAACCACTGCATCGTATCATAATTCCAATGCCCTGCGGTGACCAGAACCGATCATGCTGCCCTAAATCTGCCTCTGCTGAAGAGGTACAACCCAGACACAGGTTTAGCCATCCCAGCAAGAACTAGGTCAGCAATAGGTTTGTTGCAGGGAGCTCCTTGAAAAGAGTGTGTCCCCCTCACCTTTGTTTTCTCCGTACATCAGGGTCCAAGAGGAGAACGAGGACTGCCGGGCAGCGGAGGAGAAAAAGGAGATCAGGTGAGGTGTTCCTGTATTCGGATTCTTCTAGTTTAGTAGCGGCCAAGATATTTGGCAAGTGTGCCACAGGTCAAGCCCAGTGTGCCACCTTGCTGTACTCTAGCACACTTATGCTTTCTTCTTCTTCTTTCTTTGGTGATCACTCAAAGCCAAGTAAGATTGTCTTCCATGAACACGGTTTTAACAGTGAGTCCATAAGTGACTGTGGAGGCCAATTCTGGATCCACATGTCCTTCCACAGTGGGGACATACATTTCCAGGTGGGAGTTGATCACAATGAGGGTTTGTCAAATGTGCCTTCCTCTTAGCTCATTTCTCCTTACCACCCTGAGTTTGTGCTTCTTCGAAGCCCATTACGCCTTTGGTAAAAGCTGTTCTCCAGTTGCAGCACTCGCAGGCCAGTGTTTCCTAGTTATCAGTGCTTATACTACATTTTTTTTTAGATTTGCCTTGAGAGAGCCTTTAAACCTCTTTTGTTGTCTACCAGTATTTCACTTTCCATTCTTGAGTTGGGAATAGAGTAGTTGCTTTGGAAGATGACAATCTTCCAAACAACATGACCAGTCCAACAAAGTTGATGTTGAAGAATCATTGCTTTGATACTGGTAATCTTTGTTTCTTCCAGTACACATTAGTTTCGCCTGTCTTCCCAAGTGATGTGTACAATTTTTCAAATTGATGGAATCTTTCAAGGAGTTGGAGATGGCATTTATAAGTGGTCCATGTTTCAGAAGTGTACAGTAAAGTTGGTAGTACAATAGCTTTGTAAACAAGCATTTTGGTTTCCCTACAAATGTCCGGTCCTCAAACACTTTGCATTTAAATCTGGATAAAGCTGCACTCGCAGAGTTCAGGTGATGCTGGATTTCAGCAAGATAACTGCCCAGGTAGGAAAAGTGATCAACACTTACCAAAGTTACACCATTAAGTTAGATTTGTGGCGCTGCAGAGGTTGTTTTGTGCTTGTTGGTGCAGCACTTTGGTTTTTTGGACATTGAGCAATAGGCCAAGTTTTCCATAAGCTTCTGTGAAGATATTTAGGATTGTTTGGAGGTCATCTTCTGAGTGTGCACACACTACGTTGTCATCAGCATACTGAAGCTCTATGACAGAAGTTATGGTAACGTCACTCTTTGCTTTTAGCCTTCTCAGATTAAAGAACTTGACATCTGTTCGATATGATTTCTACCTTGATGGGGAGTTTCCCTTTGACAATGTGTAGAATCATGGTGATGAAGATAATAAATGGAATTGGGGTGATAACACATCCCTGTTTAACGCTTGATCCCACTGTGAATGGTTCACTTTGAGAGCCATTGTTATTTGTGATTGTTGCTGTCATGTTATTGTGGAGGAGCTGAAGGATGTTCACAAATTTATCTGGGCAGCTGATTTTCAGAAGGACAGTTCACAGAGCAGTACAATTTACAGTGTTGAAGTCCTTAGTCAGGTCAATAAACACCATATACAGTGGTACCCCGCAAGACGAACGCCTCGCAAGACGGAAAACCCGCTAGACGAAAGGGTTTTCCGTTTTGGAGGCGCTTCGCAAAACGAATTTCCCTATGGGCTTGCTTCGCAAGACGAAAGCCCATAGGGAAATCTCCGGGGACCTCTTTTAAATGCTAGCGGTGGGGAGCAAAGCCTTTCCCCCCCCCTCCGGCCTTCAGAAGAGGTCCAGGAAGGCTGGCGGGGGCCGAAAGGCTTTGCTCCCCAGCGCCAGCATTTTAAAAGCAGTCCGGGATAGCAGGGAAGCGCTTCCCGCTATCCCGGACGGCTTTTGAAGGCAGGAGAGGTCCGCGAAGCCTGGGCGCGCTGATGTCAGCGCGCGCAGGCTTCCGCATGCCGGCAAGCCTCCGCCAGCAGCGGCAGCGCTGCCGTTGCTGGCGGAGCGGTCCGCGAAGCCTGGGCGCGCTGATGTCAGCGCGCGCAGGCTTCGGCATGCCGGCAAGGCTCCGCCAGCAGCGGCATCGCTGCCGTTGCTGGCGGAGCGGTCCGCGAAGCCTGGGCGCGCTGATGTCAGCGCGCGCAGGCTTCGGCATGCCGGCAAGGCTCCGCCAGCAGCGGCAGCCCTGCCGTTGCTGGCAGAGCGGTCCGCGAAGCCTGGGCACGCTGATGTCAGTGCGCGCAGGCTTCGGCATGCCGGCAAGGCTCCGTCAGCAGCGGCATCGCTGCCGTTGCTGGCGGAGCGGTCCGCGAAGCCTGGGCGCGCTGATGTCAGCGCGCGCAGGCTTCCGCATGCCGGCAAGGCTCCGCCAGCAGCGGCAGCCCTGCCGTTGCTGGCAGAGCGGTCCGCGAAGCCTGGGCGCGCTGATGTCAGCGCGCGCAGGCTTCCGCATGCCGGCAAGGCTCCGCCAGCAGCGGCATCGCTGCCGTTGCTGGCGGAGCGGTCCGCGAAGCCTGGGTGCGCTGATGTCAGCGCGCGCAGGTTTCCGCATGCCGGCAGAGGTCCGCGAAGCCTTGGCCGGACAGCTTTTGAAGGCAGGCGGGGGGAGCAAATACTTTCGCCCCCGCCAGCCTTCAGAAGAGGTCCAGGACCTCTTCTGAAGGCTGCCGGGGGGCAAAAGTCTTTGTCCCCCCTGCCTGCCTTCCCAGGGGCTTTTAAATCGCCCCGGACAGCGGAGAAGTCCTCCGCTGTCCTGGGGCGATTTTAAAATGCCGCCCGCCAGCATTTTAAGATCGCCCCGGACAGCGGAGAAGCCCTCCGCTGTCCCGGGTTTTTTTAAAATGCTGGGGGTGGGAAGAAAAGCCCTTGTCCCCCCCCCCAGCCTTCAGAAGAGGTCGGGGGACAGACTGTCCCCGGACCTGGTCTGAAGTCGGTTTCCCTAGGAACGCATTAATTGATTTTCAATGCATTCCTATGGGAAACCGTGCATCGCAAGACGAAAAACTCGCAAGAAGAAGAAACTTGCGGAACGAATTAATTTCGTCTTGCGAGGCACCACTGTACAGGAGTTGATTTTGCTCTCTGCATTTTTCTTGAAGCTGTTGAGCAGTGAAAATCATATCCACTGTCCCCCTAGAAGATCTAAAACCAATTTGGGATTCAGAAAGGGTGTCCTCAGATATAGTTAGGAGACGGTTTGCTAAGATCCTTGCAAGAATTTTGCTGGCCATGGCAAATAAAGAGATGCCTCGATAATTTCTGCCATCGGTTCTATCATGTTTTTTTAAAAAGATTGTAAGTTCAATTCCGCCTACTTTGAAGACTCCAACTTTGCTGTTTTTCATTTGGTTAATAGCTGTACACAACCATAGCTGTCAACTTTTTCCCTTTTCTTGTGAGGAATCCTATTCGGAATAAGGGAATTTCCCTTTAAAAAGGGAAACGTTGACAGCTATGTACACAACTCTCCCAGATTTGGAGATACCGCAACCTCATTTCTAATTTGTTTTTGCGGGATTTGTGAAAGGACTTCGGCAGCTGCAGGGGAGTTGCGGTTAAGGAGATGCTGGTAACGTTCTTTCCAACACAACGCAATAGCTTCTTTATCTTTTAGAAGTGTGGTACCGTCTGTTGGGTGTAGGGAGCTTATACCATAATTTATTGGCCCATAGATGGTCTTTGTGGCTCTAAAGAAGACACTATGCATCATGAGTATAGGCTAAGTGCTGGATCTCTTGAGGGTTGTTTTTTTTTTTAATCCACCAGGTGTTCTTTAGTTCTCTGGTTTTTCTTTGAACCTCAGCCTTAGCGTTGACATACGTTTTTTCTTGGTGGCACAGTTTATTTCTCTTTGCCAGATCTAAAAGGCCTTCCTTTTCTTGTCAATAATGCCTTGGCATATAGTTTTTGCTTCTAGCTTAGCTGGAGAGAAGGCAGCAATGCAGGCCTGACTCTGTATCATAACCAGGCCCTCCTTGCTTCTCTTCAAGTTTGCCACAAATTCAATCTGTCTGCAGTTATGGTGGTGTTTATGTCATGTTGGCTTAGTTTCTATGAGGTGTGTGGATTGCGAGCCCACAGAGGAAGCTCCATGCTGCCTCTTGGTACAATTCAGTGTTCTGACCTTGCCTCCTTCCAGTCAGCCTCCTCCTAGGGACAGGTAATTTTGCTGAGTCTCTGATTTGGGTCTGATTAGATCCCTCACTCATGCCTCATGCAGAGAGGCAGCAGAATTACCCATGCCCAGAGGAGGCTGCCTGTTGCATCTCTTCATGAATACCTGTTTGGGGCTTGCCTCATTCTCATGGCCAGATCAGTGATTCATACAGGTACAAGGGAGGTGGCTCTGAGCACAGGCCAATCTACCTGTTACACACATTTTACACGGTATAAAACAGTCAGTTTGTAAGAGTGGTGTGTGTCTTCCATTTTTTAATATTTTAAAAGGGTATGCTTCCCTTTTCAGACATTTAGGTGACACTGCTGTAAAAGATGGAGAAACTTACCCAGGGAGAGCCATTCTTTCCTCCCTAAAGCCTTTTTGCTAAACAGCTTAAGACCTTCTGTTGGAGTCCAATAGCATCTGCAGAGCCACAGATTCCACCATCCCTCTAGAGGTTGTGCTACTCTTCCACTCTCTGCTGGGGTGGGGGTGGCGGCAAAAACAGACTTAATGCAATCTGGGAAGAAATGGACACACCCACACCTGGGAAAATACAAAATGATCATTAATGGATGACAGCATTGTGTGGATATCCTATTTTAAAAAGCAAGTGAACAAACAAGCAATTCCACACTTTGCATGCTTAGTTTGAAAGTACTTAGAGTAGCTCAGTGTTTCCCAACCTTTTTTGGGCAAAGGCACACTTGTGTCATGAAAAAAATCTCGAGGCACACCACCATGCCAGATGGGGAAAGGTCACTTTTTACTTATGTAAAAAAAAAATAAAAAAATAGTAACAGCATAGAAGGTAATGGTAGATGACTGTTAGGGTCTCCCCCCAAATGCAGAATTCTATTAATATCTTCCTTAGCGAGCCGCGTTAACCCCTGTAATGCTTTCTATAGAGTAAGCATAGGGGACACTGGGGGATGTGGAACCAAGGGGGCAGTGGGCCAAAAGAGTTCGGGATCTACTGCTTTAAACAGAAATAAGAGCCAGTGGGTTCTTCCTTTTTTAAAGTATCGTTTCAGCGGGGACAGCAGTCCGGATTTCCAAAAAGCAGCGCTTTTTTGCGTCTGAGCAAAGAAGAGAGAGAGGGGGGAAAAGAGAGAGAGATTGATTTGTGGCTGCGCAAAGGGGGGAGGAGCCCAGGAGTAAAAGTAGGAAGGACGAAGGGAGGGGAAAGGAAAGTTAATAGAAGGAAAGGCGGGTGGGAGAGAAAGAGAAAGAAAGAGGGAAGGAAGGGGGGAAGAGAAGTGGAAAGGAGGGAGACCGAGGCGGGGGAGAAGCGTCTGGAGAGTTGCTCCGAAGTTTGGGGGGCCGCGGGGGTGGGCGCGCGTCCCAGGAGGCGGAGGCCAGCCCGGGCTGGGAGCCGCGCCGCGGCCTGGGGGCGGTAGGCGGACCGCGGCTCCTAGGATGTGGAAAGGGGACGGCGGCGCAGGGGGAGGAGACCCGCATGGCTAGGGCAGCGCGCAGGGGGAGGGGAGCGGGCCGGAGGCGGGCGAGGGGGGCCGCGATCCCGCGCGCCGCGAACATGGCCTCCTTCCCCGCGGGCCCCGCCGAGCCCCCCGGCCGGGGAGGGCGGCGCGCCCCCGCCGCCGGAGGAGAGCAGAGGCAGGAGGAGGAGGACGAAGGCGCTGCCGAGGAGGCGCGCCAACTTCTGCCAACTTCGGCGCCCGCCCCGTCGCCGCAGGCTCCTCCCGGCCGAGAGCCAGAGGACGGCGGCGGAGCAGGAGGAGGAGGATCGGGTTTGGCGACGGCTGCTGCGTCCTCTCCAAGCGCGGGGCTGGCCTCCGCCGCGCCCGATCCTCCGCGCTCGCCCGCTTCTCGGCGGAGCAGGTCTCGTGCGGGTGCGAGGCGCTGCTGCAGGCGGGCGACCCCGGCCGGCTGGGCCGCTTCCTGGGCTCGCTGCCGCCCGACGCCGAGACGCCGTGCGACTCGCCCGCCTCCCTCCCACGGCACACCAGGCAACGTCTCGCGGCACAGTAGTGTGCCGCGGAACACCGGTTGGGAAACACTGGAGTAGCTGCAAAAGAATTTTCCTCCTTGCATTGTGAGGCAGGTAAGCACAAAGCATGTCAAACTGCTACCAGACAGTGCTGTGCTGGCTTAAACACTCCCTTCTGCTATGTAGAGTTTCCCCAATCCGGGATTTCCAACCGATGTGTCTGTTAAAGCTTGAAATCCTGTTTCTTCTTGGGGGGTAATTGATCACCTGGCTTGTTTGCTGTTTCTTTGCCAGCCAAACTCCTGCTGGGAGAGAGACAATATCCCGCTGTTCATCCTTTCTGCCCTGTTACCTGCCTTGGCTCAGAAAAAAATAATGACATGGTGGTGGATGCCTTGGAAGGGGTTTTCATCCATCCCAGATTAGCTGGCGTGTCAAGGTGAAGCGGGTTTAAAGCCAGAGGGAGGGGGGACCATCTATGCCATCCCCTCTCCCCACCACCACTTGTATGGGGAATGAAAAAGAGCTGCCTAACATTAATATTTATTTGCTTATGTATTATTTATTTATATTAAACATGCTTCCAGACTTTCCATAAAAATGGCCAAGGCAGCTAACACCATTAAAATGACATAAGTAAAATACAGCATAATGACAAGGAGCAAACGCAGCAGATTAAAAACAACAACAACAACCAACCCGAATAGAACAAAAGAGGCTTTTTTAAAAGCCTTCATTATTTCTCTGCATCTCCTTCCTCTGCCCCAACTTCTATAGGCTAGGCAAAAAACTACACCAAACAGCACAGTGAGTAACCATAGTTGGAATGTCAACTCCAAAATTAGTCGCAAATTGTATAATTACCACTTCTGCAGACTGATCTCTTTTTATAAGGCGCTTAGGGCAACCATACCTTGGCATTCCCTGGTTTAGGAAATCATTTGCATCAACCCTGTGAGGTAGACTAGGCTGAGACTGGGCCAAATTCATTTTTCGTGCCTGAGTGGTGAGGATTTGAACCAGTCCGTTCAGAGTTTTGGTCTTTGCAGAGTAAAATGACTTCCATACCTCGTAAATGGATGCAGTTGGGGAAGATGACACTCGGCTCCCTTTAAGTGTTTTGACACATAAGCCGTCCTTCCAAAGTATCTGCCAAGGAAGGTCTCTCCCTGAGGCATTTTAAATCAGGGTACTTCCCAGGTCTTACCCTACCTTCCTTAGCTTCAGATACCCCTTTTGGTATTTAGATCAGGGGTAACCAATCTTTTTTCCTTCTGAAGGCCACATTCTTGGGCAACCTTCTGGCAGCTGTGTGACAGTGGTGGGCAAGGCCAGGGCAGAAAGCCCTGATATTTGTACACAAAAAACCCCCAGAGGTTTAGCAAAAGGCGTTGCAGCTGAAGGACATGCATTGCAGCCAGGAGCAGATGCTATTATGGGCTTGGCTTAGGAAGAGTACCGAAGGTTGGACATAGAGGGCTGGGGGCTCCTCACCCCTGCTTCTGATGCCCCCTAGGCTACAGCACGGCCTTCAGCCCCAGAGGTTTCCCTGCAAAAAAATGTGACTCTACTCAAGTACCTATTTGGTCCACTCTGCTGTGGCTTTACTTGTGACTGATCAGCATTTCCTTTCTTCCCAGGGATTTCAAGGTCAACCTGGTTTCCCAGGACCACCTGTAAGTATTGCACATCTCAAAGGAGTTTTTAGATTCTGGAGCACTGGGTGTGCTGGAACAGCACCGTGAAAAAGCAGGAGACCCACAGCCCTCCCCCCCTTCCTCCCTGGGGATTTGGATGGGAGTTTGTGGTTATCTTTAACAGAGCAGAATCCTGAAATAAATCCAATTAAGGGGGAAGGATCTTTAGTCCTGTTTCAAGAAGGCAATCAAGATGTAAGAAAAACAAAAGCGAAACCAGCCTTTTGTCTGATTATTACAGAGGGATTTTGCTGGGATGATGGGTTTTCAGGAGCAGATGAGAGAAGCTTACAGGCGGTGGCTGGCAGAGGGTCACCATAGAGATCAGAAACATTTCAAATGGTGTGTGAAAACTATCCAAAAACTGCTTTCTCTGCCCCTTTTTGTAAAAGAGGAATTGAAGGGCTATATCAGGAATCTTAACATTTGGAAGCTTTAAGCATAGTGGAGGTGTCGGCTCCTTTTCAGAAGCAAACTATCAAGCAAAAGGCAGGGCGGTCTGCGTGTGCTGCCAATTTAGCATAAGTGCAGAAGAAACCCTGGAACGTGGCGCCGGAATTCAGCTTCCTGAGAATCTCAGTTTATATATTCTTAAAAGCATATTTCTAGTGCTTACGGTTGCAAAAATGCACATGAGCAATGCCTGTTGAAATCTCAGAAGCCAAAAGGGTGGTCGGATAAGATTTTGAGCAGGCGGGGAGGGGCGAGAGGCAGCTCCAGCACCTTGGCCTCTTCCTCATTATAAATTATGCAATGAAATGGAAATTATGCAAATTTGCTTAATCTGGATAATTTATACATGCTGCAGAATTTAGCTCTTTTTAGTATAGAATTTTAATTTTTTCCTGTTTAGCACAAAGCAGCCACTTTGGCCTGACTGCAGCTTTCCTCTCAAATGAAGCTTGTTTATAGACTCTAAAGCCAAAAGGCTTCTCAAAACTATCTGATGCTTTTTGCTTACTAGGGGCCGCCAGGCTTCCCAGGGAAAGCAGGACCACCTGGACCTCCAGGGCCTCCAGCAGAGAAGGTGAGTAGGGGAAATAATAGTAATAATAGTAATAATAATAATAATAATAATATAATAATAATAATAATAATAATAATAGTTTATTTATACATACATACATACATACATACATACATACATACCCTGCCCATCTGGCTGGGTTTCCCCAGCCACTCTGGGTGGCTCCCAGCAAAATATTACAAATAGAATCAAACATTTAAAAAAACTTCCCTAAACATGTAAAACATGGCTGCACACCACCCCAGTCTCTGAGTGCTGCGAGATTCCAGGGGTTCCAGGCACTCACCTAGGAGCTGTGTTTCCTTTTGGAATGCAGCACAGTGGAGTCTGTGGTGTCTTTATGATAAATGGTTTATTTACACATATACACAACCTAAGTCTATAATAGAGGGGTTCACAGCATCAACACCACAAGTAGGGTCTTTCTTCTCCCACAGCTGCAGCCTTGGATTCAAGCAAAAATCAGGCATGATTCTGACTCTCTGTCTTCCCAGCCTGCTGCTTCCTGTTTCTAGCCTTTAGCTCACATAACTCTTAACTCTGGCATTTGTCTTTCTAACTGCCAGCCGCTTCCTTTGTTACCTTAACGTTCCATACTTAGCCTGGTTATTCCAGGCTTCTCTGGATCCTGGATTCCTGTATCCTGGATTCCAGGAATTGAATCCCTGCCAGATCCAGGAATTAAAAGGGTTCCGTCATACATAATATTGAAAGGATGGAAGGAATGAGTCTCACTTTTCCTGTTAATGGCAGGGAATGGGGAAGGACTAGCCAGTATCAGTGCTTCACCCGTGTCCCCTGCCCATTGCTGATAGGCATCTGTGTCCCCCTTTCTGACCAACCTCCTTCCCTTCCCTTCCCTGCTGCTTCTTTCCCTTCTCACCTTAAAGACTCACCTTGTAGCAAGGATGGGGAAAGCAGCAGCAAGAGAAAGGTCTTTCTCTCTGCTTCCCTCCCCTCCAGTTAGAGCATTGCCAACACCAGCCTCCCACATGGAAGGCAGCTTTTGGGAAACATTGCCCTCCAGGCATCCCTGGAGAACTATGCCTCCAATGTTTGCTGTATCCAGGGACAGTGTAGTTGCAATGTTTTAGGAGTCCCAATAGTGGGAGGGAGAAATGGAGACGTTTTCTGCATTCCTTCACTCCCAGACAAATGTAGGAGAAGGAAAGGAGAGCAGAGGGAATCTGGGGGCTCATAGGGATGGGGCAAATTGCAGGAGGGCTAAGAAAGTGATTCAGCTCATCCATTCACTATTTATAACCTTTCCTCGCAAGCATTGGAAAATGCTTGAGTTTTATTTCCCCCCACTGGACAGTAGGAGAAATCACTGAAAGCAAGTAGAAATTGGGGTGAGCCGAGAGGTCGTCATCCATCACTACCTGAGAGTGTGATGTTCCTTCATATGACAAGACAGCCTTTGTGGTTAGAGGGTGACCTGCTGAACCAGGAAGGGGCAGGTTTAGTTGCTTTTCTCAGTCAGTCGCTGTGGGCAAGTCACAGAGTCGTTCCAATGAGAATTGTCTTCAAACCTTACCCTCTACCCATGTTTGTTGACAAAACACTATCCGGGAAGAAGGGGTCATTTGTGCTACATCTTTCAGGAAAGCTCTCTAGCAGCACCAATGATAACTCTAAGGAGAAAATAGCTGTTGAGTTGCCCAGGGAAAGAGATGGGGCTGGGAGGGGAGAGAAGTGTAGTCAAAAGGAGCAGATCACCCCTGCTTCCTGGCCTCTGCTGACACCTGCAGCTCATTGCTAGGATAGCACCTGGGGAAAAATTGAATCAATGATTCAAGTCTTGGAGTCATAGAATTGTAGGGTTAGAACTGGAAGGGACCACAAGGGTCATCTGTTCTAACCCTCGGCAATGCAGGAATCTTTTGCTCAACGTGGGGCTCGGATCCACCTGAGATTAAGAGTCTCGTGCTCTACTGACTGAGCTATCCCAGCAGTTACTGGAGAGTAAGCCTTTTGCTCACTTACCTGTTCCTTCCCGCTTTTTCCAGGCACAGGTGGGGTTTTGCTTTTGAGTTTTGCCCAATAGTTTTCCTTGCAATAACCCACTCTATAGCACTCAATAGGAGCAAACGTCAATTTGGGTTTTCTGTGGATTGCTGTTTGCGCCAAGTGAGTGCTAAAAAGCAGGTTTTTGTGGGGAAAGGTCCAGGCAAAAAAACAACAAAGGCGCTCAAACACATATCTCTAAAGTGTGGACACTGCTTGGAGAGAGTGGAGGAAAGGTGAATAAGCCCTCTAGAGTTTAAGGGAGGTGGATATTGGCTGAAATGTGTAGCTTGAAACTGGTATAGAAAGAATGGCTGCCTGAAACCTCTTGTTCAGGTAAGACACAGCTGCTGGGGGGGGGCAAGGTGAGCTCAAGCAGGTCTTGGCTTCTGGGCACTTCTGCAATCCTCTGGCCCCGATTTGTGGGAACACCTGTGAATCATTTGCTGCAATACACCCCATATACCAGCCTTTGCCAACCTAGCACCCTCCAGATGGTTTGTATGGCAACTACCATGCTGTGCTGAGGGGAGCTGGAGTCTAACAATATCGGGATAGTACCAGAAAGCCTTTAGCACTGACAGCTGTGCTTCATATGCCCACCAGGTATCAGCTGTCATGCCCAGGTGGTCTCCACATGCTCTTTCAATCTCCCCCGATCCAAATTATCTCCCCACCCCCTTGAATTCCCCAAGGAAAAGATAGTTAACAGGAGGAAAGCAAAGGAATCGCGAGTGCATCTGTCACGCCCAGTTCCCTTTTGCCTCTATATTGGTTTCTTCTCCATGCACGGCAGTCATAGCAATGTAATCATTTGGTGTTGTGTGGGTTTTTACAGGGTAGCGATGGGATGCGTGGCTCTCCTGGCATGGCGGGCCCACCAGGGCCTCCAGGACCCCCTGGAATACAAGTAAGTATGCTGGTCGCTCAGCAGTTTACAGATCCTGAACATGGATATGAGACAACTAGGCTAGATTAGCCATGATACTAAGTACTCTGCAAGGGAAAAAGACACAGCTCCACAATGAAGCCTCTGTTATGGTAGTTATTTAGGTGATGCAAGCCAACCCCATCCTGCACTTTAATTTTCTTAAACTCTCTAAAGATTCTCTGCTGCTCATGACTGGAGTGTGCTTTTCTGGGCAGTTGTGATGCTTCTTCGCTCACATGCACCTGTGATGGATGGAGTAATGGATGATTCTAACAAGGAGACTTAATTTTTCCCGTGACACTTCAGACCCTTTTATGGCACACCAATATGCCCTAACATGGTAGTAATCACTGGGTCACTTAAATAATAGCTCAGTTCAGACGTCACAATAAACCATGGCTTCTGCTAGCCATTAGAATCCAAGCCATAGTTTGTTCTGCCAATATTCAGCAAGCAAACCATGGTTTAGAGCTTCCTGTCAGCTTTCATTTTCCACCCTCAGCTTTGTAGTTTGATAAATTCACTCCTATATCCATGGTGCAACTGCCTCAGAAGCTGGAATGATAGCTGTAACTATGATTTGTTGATTCTGGCATTGCACCAAACAAAATTTGCCACAAACCATAGTTTACAAGCTAGTTTCAGCCCATTGTTTCTCACTTGGCTTGAAAACTATGCATTGTCAGCTCAAACATTACCCCAAAACACAGTTAAGCTTCCTTAGTCGCCATTCAGTGTAACATCTGAAGTGAAACTGAGCCAATGTCTGTGAAGCCCGTGTGCATGCTTATAATGCAATATATAAACTGTTGGCCATGTAATCTTGGTTATCTACATGACAGTGCAAGGAATGAATGCATCTATAACCTGAGTTTATTTCTAGGGTCCACCTGGTTTGGAAGGACTAGATGGGAAGGACGGAAAGCCAGGGCTACGGGTAAGGATGTGAATCCCGCTAGATGGTGGCAACGTCTTCACCTACAACTTATTTTGGCCTTTAAAACACACACACACACACACCATCAATTATATTGTGTCTCAGAATTATTGGTGAGCTCACCTCTGCCTCTGATCTGACCTTACCCCATTGGGCATTGATTGCTTGGGGCTTCAGCACCGTGAGACCAAAAAAGAGATGAAAAGCATAGCATTCTGCTTGACTCCAGGACTGCATCTGGGACAGCAGTCTAAACCCCTCTAGTGGGGCTGGAGGAGTGACGGCTGCTTCCTTTGCATGATGCGTAAGGAACTTTATGCTTCTGATAGTGTTAAGCCTCCCGGTAAAACCCCCAGATTTGCACAAGCATCTGCCCTTTGGTGGTACTAACTTGTTGTTTTCTCTAGGGCGACCCAGGACCTGCAGGACCTCCAGGAAGGATGGGACCTCCAGTAAGTTGCAGGTCATCTTATGACCATGTTGGACCTATGGAAAGTAGGGGACCTTAATCCCACTGCTTTCCCCTTCAGGGCAGCCTCTTTTCCCACTGAAAGAAGCTGGTATTGACAAGGGCAGTAGGACAATGCCCTTTAAGTAATCTGCAGCTGCTGTACTTTCAGCTTGAAATGCAGGCATTAGCAGGTGGCAGTACCATTTATCTACATACTGTGCAAAGCTTCACTGGCCAATTTCTGGAGGTCAGGGTGTTGTTGTTAAAGGTGCAAGAGCAAGCTGGGATGGGTGTGTGTTATGTTCTGGTCCATTGGCAACTATAAAAAGGGGGGATGGATCCACAGCTGCGGGCCTAGAGCTTAATTGCTCAGCAACTATGAGAGTTACTCTAACACACCCTTTGCCAACATGGTGCCCTCCAGATGTTTTGGGCTACAGTTCCCATCAGCCCTAGCCAGTGCTGGCAGGGGCCAATGGGAATTGTAGTCCAAAGTATCTAGAAGGCACCAGGTTGGCCAATGCTGCTCCAGCACCTTCAATGAAAACTCTAATTTCTTCTTTTCTCCTTCTAGGGCTTCAAAGGGAAAACAGGTCACCCCGGTCTTCCAGGACAAAAGGTCAGTGACTGCAAGCATCATTAAGTGATAGGTGCTTTTGAGGAGGGAGCAAAATTAAAATAAATCAATGCTATCTGTAAGATGGGCCCAGTAAGGAATATGGAGACAATTCCATATAGAAGTGTAAAAGAAGGAATGCTCATCAGACAGGGCCTGCCCAAGACAATTTGGCACCTGAAACAAAGCATAAAATGTCACCCTCTCCATGCAAGGGCAGAAGGGGTAAGTAAGGTTCTACATCAGGAACAAGTGGGGGGGAGATAAAGATCTACATTGCTATCTGCTGCCCCTGTGGATCCTGCCGCCTGATAAAGTCATCTTACCTTGCCTCATGGGTGAGCTGGCCCTGATCATAGAACATGGTTGTGGGTTAAGAATTCAGTTTCCTGGAACTTCAGCTTTCATTTAAAAACAAAACTGCAAGTTTCATGTTATGGTAGCAGCAGTAGGCACTAGAAGACTGGCTAAATAGTTTTGGAGCCAGGACTTTAGAGGGAGCCCTGCATGCCTTCTTTCTTCCCACCCTTGATAATTAGCAGAATAAATCATGAAAATTGCAGGGAGGGGGTGAAACTTAGTAATGTGAAGTAAAGCATGCAAATGTACTTGTTTGATCTGTGCAGGCCACAGGATTCTTCTTGCAGAATTTGGGTGACCTATTTTTTCCTAGTACAGAGTAGTCAAACATCAAAGGTGTTCTGAAGCAACAGGCTATGAAATATTTGGGGCAATAGCCCTCCAGTGTTCTGCAGCAGAGTCCCTGCTTTGCATGTAGAAGACCGCAGATACAACCTGCAACTTCTTCAATTGAAACATCAGTCACGCTAGTGCATTGAGAGGCATGCGCAGCAATCATAGCAAGCCCATCCTCCTATGGATCTATGTTGTTGGGGTCCCCAGGACCAGACAGTGTCAGCTTTTTGTGGAATATCCCATATAAACATGATGAACCATGCATATATTACTTCTTAGGGTGACTGTGGCGCTGCAGGGCCACCTGGGAATCCTGGCCGGACTGGAGCTGAGGTGAGTTATCAGCACGCCACCAGAAGTGTGTTGTTTTTACAGGTCAATGCTCTGGGCACACAGCACAAGACTTGTACTCTTTTATTTTGGATTCACAGACTGATGGAGTTAGCCACTAAATCCAGCCCACAGCTCTGATGCACAATGGGCTGTTCTGTCCCTGTAACACTAATGCTATGCCCCATTGCAGCCTCAGCTGCATGTGTATATAACCATCACTTTCCTGGGTCAGGAACTTAAGGCGAGGTCATGCAGGTGAAGCCTGGGGCTTTGCAGACAGCAATTCACAATGATAAACAGGCTGGGATTGGCAAGATTGCTAAGGGAGCAGGGCCAAACTAAAATATGGGCATAGTTCCTATCCTCATACTGTGCAAACCTCTTATTTCTCTGATGTAAGGGAGTGGCAGCTATTCCCCCAATGGGGAAAAAGAACTTGGGGACCTTGTTGCTATGGGGATGTTCATTTGCCAGCTCCTCCCTGAATACCTTGTGACATGCAGAGCAGCCTGCAGTGCAAGCAAGAGCAGATGCTTCACAGAAGGGTAGCTTGCAAGAGTGAAAAAATCAGAGTCACTGGCCAATCTGACCTGGGTATAAGAATGTATATACAACATGTGCTTAAAGCCTACTGTATGAGAAATCTGAAGATGATTCATTAGTCTCCACTGAATAGAGTCATGTGTCTGCTCTGAATTTCCATGTTATCCTTCAGCTTTCTCTCTCTCTTTTCCTTCAGGGAGAGCCAGGCCCTATGGGACCTCAAGGCAGACCAGGTCCTCCCGGCCACCTTGTAAGTCAAAATACTTAATTCTCAGCCTTTGCATGATTGTTATTGGGGCTCAGGCTGGGTCTAAGTCACCTGCTAAAATCAGTTCCTGCTTTCCAGAAGGTCCATGATGTGTGGATTCATGTGAAACATTATGCAAAAGACCATGCAGCTAGTTAATTTTTCAGTTTGGGTCCTTTCTCACTTTTTAGGATTCCTTAAAAAAACCAGTAGAACAATCTGCAGCTGTGCTTTCTGCACAAGCTAATGTGGAAAATAAAAACAGGACCCCTCCCCATAAGAATAGTAGTTGCACTTAGGAAGTCTTGTGAATAATCACAATAATATATTGTAGTTGTATATTCTTACCCCAATGCAGAAGTTAGACATTGCTAAGTCACATTGAAAATGTCAGGGTTCCAGACAGGGCTGCCCCCTGTCCCCTCTATTGTTTATAACAGTATTAGAAATACTAAACGAGAGACTGAGGGGGGCAACAGAAGTCACAGGAGTCAAGGTAGGAAAGAGGGAATACAAAATCAAGGCCTTTGCAGATGACATCGTACTAACCTTAGAAGACCCAAAAAATAGCGTAAAAGAAGCTTTACAAAAAATTGATGAATTTGGAGCCGTGGCAGGACTTAAGGTAAATAAAAATAAAACCAAAATGTTAGTTAAAAATTTAACAAAGGAAGAAATGATAGATCTAGAAAGAAGGACCGAAATTGCGGTAGCTAAGAAAGTGAAATATCTTGGGATCTGGGTTACAGCTAAGAACATAAATTTATACAAGGATAATTACGATGCCACCTGGAGGATTATAAAGAAAGACATGGAAATTTGGGGGAGGATGAAACTCTCCTTTTTGGGGAGGATAGCTGTTGTTAAAATGAACATTCTGCCCAGAATGTTATTTTTATTCCAAACCATCCCCATACTTAAAGGCCTAAAACAATGTAAAGAGTGGCAGAGAGCCTTGGCAAAGTATATTTGGCAGGGGAAAAGGCCACGGATAAAAATGAAAATTTTGATAGATAAAAAAGAAAGAGGGGGTTTTTCTCTCCCGGACCTAAGCTTATACTATGAAGCGGCTTGTATACTTTGGTTAAAAGATTGGATAAAATTGGAGAATAGAGAGCTACTGGACCTGGAAGGCTTTAATAATCGGTACGGATGGCATTCATACCTTTGGTATGGGAAAGTGAAAGTCCACAAGAGTTTCTTAGACCATATTTTTAGGGGACCATTATATCAAGCATGGGAAAGGAACAAAAACCTCCTTGAAAGAAAGACCCCATGGTGGATTTCACCAATAGAGTCTTTAACGGTCAAGAAAATAAATATGGAGGAGATAAACGCCACCTATGAAAAAATGTTAAGAAAAACAGACCAAGGGCCCAAACATAGACCTTATGAAGAAATAAAAAATTTATTCACTGGTTGGCTGCAATACCACCAGGTGAATGATTTGTTAAAAGAGGATAAGAGGAAGGTGGGTTTTGATGATAAAAAATCAAAATTTAATATAGAAGTAATAGAAGGCAAAAACAAAACCCTGTCCAGAATTTATGATATACTATTAGAGTGGTACACAAAGGACGAGGAGGTGAAGGAGGCAATGATTAAATGGGCAATTGACTTTGGTTATAATATTGATTTCGAAAGGTGGATAGAAGTTTGGAATTGTAACATAAAGTTCACAGCATGTATGGCACTGAGAGAAAATATCTGGAAGATGCTATATAGATGGTACCACACCCCTGTGAAACTGGCCAAAATGTATAGATTAAAGGACAAGAGATGCTGGAAATGTGGCGAGGTGGAGGGTGACCTATATCACTTATGGTGGACATGTAAAAAGGTGAAAGGCTTTTGGGAATCAATTTATAATGAACTTAAAAAAATATTTAAGTATACCTTTCCCAAGAGGCCTGAAGCCTTCTTGTTGGGAATGATGGATAAAGAAATTAAAAAAGAAGATAGGACGATATTCCTCTACGCCACCACAGCAGCGAGAATTATGTTGGCACAATATTGGAAAGTGGAAACTATCCCCAACATAAAGGACTGGCAGATTAGAATGGTAAACTATGCTGAGCTTGACAAATTAACAGGTAAAATAAGAGATCAGGATGAACAGAAATTTCTGAAAAATTGGAGCAAATTTTGGAAATATATTGGAATAAATGTTTAAAGTGAACTGACGGGGTTAGAACAATACGACCAGCGAGTGAATTTAAGACTATAGATTGAAAATCAAATACGTAATGGAAGGAGATATTTGATACTTATCAAAAGGATGGAAGGAAGTTCAGATTGTGTGTTTTTCTTTTTTCGGATGAGTGTTTTTTTCCCCCTCTTTTCTTTGTAATTTTCTCTTTGTATTTTCTTATATGTCTGTTTTTGTGTATAACTTCAATAAAAATGCATTTAAAAAAAAAGAAAAGAAAATGTCAGGGTTCCAGTTACATCTCACCCACGCTTCTCTTTGCCCTGCCACTTTCCACCAGGAAAACTTACAGTTTAGCACTGAATCAGAGCAAATGGCAGTCGGGTTTTTAGCAGATTGCTATTCATACCAATTTATCACTAAAGAGGAGGCTTTTATTTCATCCATTTTTCAGTGGGACTTAGCTGGATCAGGGCCTCTGAGATTTCTGCATGTCAAGTTTGGACAGTGAAAATTTGCTAGAATGTTGGATCTTGGAAAGCCAAATGCAAGTCCCATCTTGACTTTGAGTTCATTGCATAGCCTTGGCCAACTTTTGGCTCCAGCATGGATAGATCTTACAGGGTTGTTGGACAGCTGAATGTACTGGAGGCTGTGAAGCTCTTAGGTAGTTTAGAAGTGCTCTCTAAGTGGGATATAAAACCACACACAAAATTGAATCACCTTTAGGACCAAACTCGATTTGGGAGGTAGCCATGTTCGTTTCTTCACATGGCTGCAAAACTCACATATAGAGCAGGGGTGATCTGTACATAAAGCAAAAGGGAGCCAAATCCTGCCTTGCCTTATCATACACAGTTGCTTTGGGTGCTCTTCTCCCCAAACTGACTCCAATACCACAAGTGGGAAAAGGTGAAAAGTGGGTAGTGGAGCACAGGGATGAAAGACAAGAGGAGAGCTTGGCTCCCTTCACCCGGGTGCCCCATTTGATATAAATAAAGATCCATCTTCTCCCATGTGAGTGAGACAGACCTGTGAACAGCAAGCCTCATCTGGTCCAGAGTCAGTAAGTGAGTGAATGAAAAAATGTAGCTTTGCAAAAGTGCAATAAAAGAGCACTTAGAATCTCAGCTCTGTTGTTGTTTTAAAATTTTACTGCTGACATAATTATTCTACTCTGCTTTATAGTTGGCTTTGGGTGCATTTTTAATTTGGATTTTAGGTAGCATTTTCTGAGCTGCCTTGTGGGTCTTTTTATGAACCAAAAGGCAGGGGTAAAGCACTAATAAATTCCTAAATAAAAAAACCCCTAGTGTGCGTTTCCCCATCAGTTTTCTGTCTGTACTGCATTCCCCGGTTAATCCTGTTATTAAACTTGCTGTGTTTCTCTGCCTCTTCAGGGTCCCCCTGGAAGCCCTGGCCAGCCAGGCCCAGCAGGACTTTCTGGAGTTGTGAGTATCATTCCTGCTACTGTTGGCTCCCTGTTGGCAGCTGCTGCTAGAGAAATGGTCAGCTTCCTTTTCACATAAATAAGCAGCCAATGCCATAATGCCACTATAGAAAGCTATGGTGCAGCAACACTTAGCATACCATGTGCAGTTTGGTCATCATATCTCAAAAATAATATTGCAGAGCTGGAAAGAGGCAACCAAAATGATACTTAAGCGGAAAGGGTACAGTGTTTGGCAGTTTTAGTTTAGAAAAAAGGCAACATCACTGAGGAGTATAGAATTATGGGGAAAGTTGGTAGAGAGATGTTTTTCTCCCTCTCTCATAATACTAGAACCCAGGGTCACCCTACGAAGCTGAATGTTGGAAGATTGAGGACACACAAAAGGGCAGACTTGTTCACGCAGTGTATAGTTGAATTATAATGAACTGGCTACCACCAGATGTTGTGATGGCCACCAAATTGGATTACTTTAAAGGGGGGGTGTAGAATGGAGGAAGGTAATATGCCTATGTACCACTATGTACCTCTGACTACCAGTTGCTAGGGAACAAAATGGGAGATAAACTACAGTGAAACTGCAGGTTGGAGGTTTTGTGAGAGAAGTTCCATATATACAAAATCTACTGAGTCAGCCCACAGTGCTCTGAACACAGCCTTGGGGGAGAGTCCTTATTCCAGAGTTGACTGTTGCACCCCATTAGCTATACACTACAAAGGCCTACAACAGGGTAGACATATTGATGCTCTCCAACTCCCATCACCCCTGACCATTGGCCATGGTGTCTGGGACTGATTTGGAGCCCAACAACATCTTTCCTGCATCTTCTTAGCTGCTTCTAGCAGTATCTAATGCCTAAAACCTTCTCTCCCCAGGGGCTGAAGGGTGAGAGGGGATCGCCTGGGGAAAGAGGTCTCAGTGGGATTCCAGGCCAGCCAGGCCCACCGGGTCACCCAGGCCCACCGGTAAGTGTGGTGGGTTGGAATTGGAATGCCCCAAGATCAGTCTGCTGAAAAACTGTGTGGCCAATCTTTGGTTTGCATTTTAAGGGCCAGCATGAATGTTGGGTTTGAATTCGGGGATGCACATTCAGATCCCAGCATAGCTCATATGAGAAGAATATGAGATTGTTACAAACCATGATTTATGGGCCTAGATTCAAAATGAAAAGAAAATAACCTTTTGCTTCTGCCCCCCCCCCCCCGTTGATTCCTAGGGCGAGTCAGGCTCCGACGGACAAGTGGGCAAAGAGGTATGGTAATTGTGGTCTCTGCAGTCTTCTTGAAGACCTTCCCTCTTTGGCAGGTGGGGGGAGCAGTGCCAGAAGAAGCCTGCCCTGAGCATGTCTATGGGGCAAAGCATGGTGAGTCTTTATCTCCATGGTTATTGCTTCCCTTTTCCTTCTTACTAGGGTGCAGCAGGAAAACCAGGCCCTCCTGGACCCTCTGGACCAAAGGTAAGTGTGGTGGCTGAGATCTTAGTATTAGTCTCCAATCCCGTGAAAATGCCTCATGGACTTCTTGCCATCTTTTTTCTTCCAGGGTGAACCGGGGTCTGTAGGAGAGAGAGGACACCCTGGTGAGAAAGGCAGAGCTGGGATGCCAGGAGGGCCAGGAAAGAGTGGCGAGATGGGTCCTATTGGGCCACGCGGCCCCTCTGGGGAGAGAGGGCAGCCTGGTCCTCCCGGTCCCTCAGGAAGTCCAGGGAACCCAGGCTTGCCTGGGACCATGGTAAGAGATGGGGAGTGTGTGGCTACTGTTTGAGGGTGCAATGGGAGACTAGAATGCCAGGCAAGGTTTCCAAGCAAGGCTTGGTGCTGTCAGCAGGTGAAGTGTTTGGCTATAGGCCTTCTTGTATACTGTGACCAACTTTAATAAAAAGAGACATAACTGATTAATTACAATGCAATACAAAACCAGATGCTGTACATACAGCAGAAGTCCAAATCCAGCCCCATACAGTGGTGCCCCGCAAGACGAAATTAATTCGTTCCGCAATTTTTGTCGTCTAGCGAATTTTTCGTCTTGCGAAGCACGGTTTCCCATAGGAATGCATTGAAAATCAATTAATGGTGTTCCTAGGGAAACCGCTTGCCAGGCTGGCGGTGCGGAGAAGGGCTTTTCTCCCCACCGCAAGCCTTCAGCACAGGTACGGGAACAGAGGGGAAGGCGCACAGCGCTTTCCCTCTGTTCCCGGGGCTTGCGTGGGAGGAGGGTTTTTCCTCCCCACCGCCAACATTCAGAACAGCATTCTGAATGTTGGCGGTGGGAAGGAAAACCCTTCTCCCACCCCAAGTCTTCAGGACAGCCATCCGAAGGCTGGCGCGGGGAGAAGGTCTCTCCGCCCCCCCCCCACGCCAGGCTTCGGTGCATCCTTCAGAGGCTGCTGCCATAGTCACGCGTCACTTCTCCAGCTGGGAGAGGGTCGCGGGGCTATGGTTTCTTTAGCCCCGCGCGAGCTCTCCCGGCTGGAGAGGTGACGGGCGCCTATGGAGGTTCCTGCCATATGCGCGCGTCACAACTCCAGCTGGGAGAGGGTCGCGGGGGGCTGGTTTAGCCCCGCGCGCGCTCTCCTGGCTGGAGAGGTGACGGGCGCCTATGGAGGCTCCTGCCATAGGCGCGCGTCACTTCTCCAGCTGGGAGAGGGTCGCGGGGGGCTGGTTTAGCCCCGCGCGCGCTCTCCCGGCTGGAGAGGTGACGGGCGCCTATGGAGGTCCTGCCATAGGCGCGCGTCACTTCTCCAGCCGGGAGAGGGCGCGGGGCTAGCCCCCCGCGCTCTCCCGCTGGAGAGGTGACGCGCGCCTATGGCAGGCCTCCATAGGCCGCGTCACCTCCAGCCGGGAGAGGCGCGCGGGGCTAAACCAGCCCCCGCGACCCTCTCCCGGCTGGAGAGTGACGCGCGCCTATGGCAGGAGCCTCCATAGGCGCCGTCACCTCTCCAGCCGGGAGAGCGCGCGCGGGGCTAAACAGCCCCCCGCGACCCTCTCCCAGGTGACGCGCGCCTATGGCAGGAGCCTCCATAGGCGCCGTCACCTCTCCAGCCGGGAGAGCGCGCGCGGGGCTAAAGAAGCCATAGCCCCGCGACCCTCTCCCAGCTGGAGAAGTGACGCGTGACTATGGCAGCAGCCTCTGAAGGATGCACCGAAGCCTGGCGTGGGGGGGGGCGGAGAGACCTTCTCCCCGCGCCAGCCTTCGGATGGCTGTCCTGAAGACTTGGGGTGGGAGAAGGGTTTTCCTTCCCACCGCCAACATTCAGAATGCTGTTCTGAATGTTGGCGGTGGGGAGGAAAAACCCTCCTCCCACGCAAGCCCCGGGAACAGAGGGAAAGCGCTGCGCGCCTTCCCTCTGTTCCCGTACCTGTGCTGAAGGCTTGCGGTGGGAGAAAAGCCCTTCTCCGCACCGCCAGCCTGGCAAGCGGTTTCCCTAGGAACGCATTAATTGATTTTCAATGCATTCCTATGGGAAACCGTGCTTCGCAAGACGAAAAATCGCAAGAAAGAAAAAACTTGCGGAACGAATTAATTTCGTCTTGCGAGGCACCACTGTATCTTCATTTTCAGCCAAAATGGATTTCTTCCAGTTAAACGCATTACAAAACCAGCAATCATAATGTGCTCAGATAATACGAAAGGGCCCCACAGTGGTGCTTTTAGTGTCACTTCCTAAAAACCCTTGGAGTCAATTCTCCTTCATTAAAAGCCCAAAGTTCTCTCTGGTCTGAGTGACAACCTTTTGGAAGCTGCTTATGTGCTCATTTTGCCCCATCAACAGATTGTCACTTGGGACCAAGGGAGGACAATGTCACCCTGCCTTGTCTTTATAAACTGCAGGCCTCTCTTTTCTTATTTCACAGGACAAAGATCACCTGGGTCTTGATAGGCTTGTGGCACTTTGCTGGTGTCCTGCTGGTGATTGTCTTGACCGTCCTGCTAGTTCACTGTCTTCTATCCTGCACCGGAGCTTGGCCTTTCCAGATCACAGCAGTGGACAGAGGATATCAGCCGGCCTGATTGTGGTCAGTTCCTGGACTATTACATCAACCATATATGCAATCTCTACAGCAGCCGGCATTCTTACCAAAGTGAGTCTCAGGATTGGAAGAAGCTTGCTCCGACTAGGAGAAGCCTGTCATTATAATGATATTCTCAGTAGCTGTGGATAAAGGCTCATAACCCACTATCAAAGGTCTTCTGGATGTTGTAATGAATTTGGAGTGTAATTTTCTCCAACATCCACACACACACCACTGTTACCTTATCCATCACTTGGAGGCCTGCTTCAGTTTGTGATTATGGCCATACCAAATACAGCACAATATCCCAATTGTAAGGGCAGGCTGTCCTGGGCGCTATATACATCCTTGAGTTTTGCTTTCCTGTACTGGAGTGTAAAAACAGAGGCAGATTAAGCACAGGCACATGCAATTTTATAAATTGTATAGTGGTATGCATTAACGAACTACATACGATCTGTCACTGGGAGATCTTAGCATGCAGTTGTACCAATATGATGTCCCCTGTTTCTTCCTGCCCTTCTATTTATCTCTGTGTATAGGACAATAAAAATGGGGACGCGGGTGGCGCTGTGGGGTAAAAGCCTCAGCGCTAGGGGCTTGCCGATCGAAAGGTCGGCGGTTCGAATCCCCACGGCGGGGTGCGCTCCCGTTGCTCGGTCCCAGGCACCTGCCAACCTAGCAGTTTCGAAAGCACCCCCTGGGTGCAAGTAGATAAATAGGGACCGCTTACTGGCGGGAAGGTAAACGCATTTCCGTGTGCTGCGCTGGCTCGCCAGATGCAGCTTTGTCACGCTGCCACGTGACCCGGAAGTGTCTCCGGACAGCGCTGGCCCCCGGCCTTTAAGTGAGATGGGTGCACAAACCCTAGAGTCGGTCAGACTGGCCCGGTACGGGCAGGGGTACCTTTACCCTTTACCTATAGGACAATAATGATGCTTGGTGTCAATTATATCTTCTGTCTTTTTCTTAGCCAGAGGTTGGGAAGAATCAATCTGCCTCTTTTCTTGATTATGTAGAGAGGGTTCACATTACAACATGTTATGGGGAATAATGATGCCCGATCTATGCCACACCTCTTAATACAATATTGTAACATATAATATTAACTGAACTGTTGTTGCATAATCCCTGTGCCATATTATTTATCCATTAGGCGTAAAACTTCTAGATATATATCATAGTATATGTGTTGCCCTGTTATGCTTGGGCTGCGTTAAGAAGGTCCTACATCCTTTAGGTGTTTTTTTTGCAACAGATCTGTCTCATGTTGAAAGCAAACATGTGAATATTCTACAACACATGATGTTTCAGCCAGCTCTCTTCCAGAAAACACCCACTACCTACCTATTACAGTGGGCCAACATCTGAATAAAACCAGATTTATTTAGCTTCAGTCAGGTCCCGATACTGGAGCATCCTGGATAGTGCAAGGTTGGCCAACTTTACTAGTCTGGCCAGTAAACTGTTCTGTCAGATAAACAGCACTGGGTCTGAGAAGCCAGTAAACTTCAGATTCTGACAGGCAGCACACATGATCCAGCAACTTCTAATCAGATTTCACCCATAAGTCATGTCACCAAGATTTGGCTCTGGCTCTAGCCCCGATCCACCCCATTTCATCTTGGCTCTGCTCCTAAATGGCTCTGCTCCTCAGTGGTGTGCAGTAATATTTTTAAATAGAGGAACAGTTAGGGCCAGGGGCACCAAGGCAATCGGGCATTCTTTGACGTTGCATGTGTGAGCATTGCACCTCCTCCTAAGCTGGACAGAAGCTTCCTTGGCTTTGGGAAGGAGGTGCCCCCATACTTTAATACTCTAATTTACCAGGAACATTTTGGGAACAAGCCTAGTCCCCCTAGGCCCACTGACCACATGCCACGGGTACCTTCTCACTACTGTGAAATTTGGACCAAAATATGCTTTGAAATAGAGCTTTGTAGCTATCAGGGTGGAAGGAATGGGATATACAGGCTGAATTATCAGGATGTGAGAGCCTGCTCACTCCTAGAAAACCACAGCTACCTATTCTAGCACAGGGTTGCCTCGTACCTCCTTTCCTTCTTTACCACAGTTCAGGGAGTGGCACTACAGGTCACCTTCCTCCTCTTCAGCCTCAGTTTTGCTCTTGCAGAAGAGGAACAAGTAAGATGGAGACAAAACTAGAGTGAGTTGGCTCTGGCTCTCGTTGGCTCTGGCTTCACCTACTATTGGTCTACCTGCTTCTGCCCTGTGAGTCCTAAAGAGCAATAACTACCACTATGTACAAATAACTCATTCTCCAAGTGCCAAATCTTATGTAGCCAAAATGGCACCATCTGTGCACAAGACAGAGGTATCAGAAAGCCGGGGGAGCCAAAACAACCCAGAGAGGACAGAGAGAAAATGAGGATGAAGGGAGAAGTGGGAGTTGCCTGGCTCTGAACATGCAGAGTCTGTAAGGCCAAAATTGGGTTACGGGTCTCACTTCTTAGAAGGGCTAGGCACCATTTCTTACTGTTATATTTGCCATCTAATGCTTGTAAATAACATAACCATTAAGTGCACATGCTTGGTTATTTAATTGGTTATCACAGCAAAGATAAGATTTAATGAAAAGAGCTTTGTTGCAATATGAATGGATTACCTGTGAATGGAAGAAATCTTATCACATGGCAAGCTTGTGGGCTGGTAATGTTGTCTCAACAGGCCACGTAAATTGGTATCTGAGCCTCTCTTACACACAGGAATATGAGGGTTTGTATTATGCTGGCATTTGGCTTGCTTGACACCACAACAAGCTTGCAATTATTTGATATAATTAGTTCTGTGTCAAAAAAATTAAAAATCCTCCCACCTTTTTGTAAAGTGTTCTCCGACAATTAATGAGGAAAGAAATTCCCTTTGAAAATTATCAAAGCAATTAGGCAGTGACTTGCCCAATATCACCAAGGAGTTCATGCCTGATGAGGGATTTGAAACTAGGCCTCTCATTCCAGCAATCTAACTAGGGAAACCCACAAGATCATTGATACACTCTAGCCCCCTTCATAAGTTATTCCCCCAGTAGCCATGTGTGTTGCACATAGACGTCCACAGTGAATATGTTTCAGAAGAATGGGTCGTCCACTCCATGAATCTTGCTAGTAGATCCTCCCTGTGACCAGCAACTATCCAGCAGTTTAACTTTGGTTCAAAAGATGGTCTATAAGAGAGCTGCATATATCATTGTGAGATCTCTTGACATGGAGGCACCTGGTGGAATCATTCCAAGAGACATGCCACAGATACCTATTGTTTCTAGTGCAGTTGGGTTATGTCCCCCCCCTCCCATTGAAATATTTTCTCTTCCCCGCCCCCATTGACAGCATCCAATGAAAGAAATGGCGAGTTCAGTACAGTGGTACCTCGGGTTAAGAACTTAATTCATTCCGGAGGTCTGTTCTTAACCTGAAACTGTTCTTAACCTGAAGCACCACTTTAGCTAATGGGGCCTCTTGCTGCCGGGCCCCCGCCGCTGCACAATTTCTGTTCTCATCCTGAAGCAAAGTTCTTAACCCGAGGTAATATTTGTGGGTTAGCGGAGTCTGTAACCTGAAGCGGTATGTAACCATGAAGCGTATTGTAACCCATGTCATCACTGTATATAATATATCCTTTTCTGAGCACCACAGGCATCACCTCCAAGGAGGCTGAGAAAGGGAGTTACATTAAAGAATCTCTCCTTCACAATGCGTTCAGCAAAAGGATTGGTGATGAGGCAGATAACATCGTGTATACTGGGGTTGGATCCACACTAAAGATGCAATCCTAACCCCCACTTACCTGGGAAATTAGACCCATTGGATTCAATAGGACCTGAGCAAATATTGTTAGATTGCACTGTAACCGTGCATCAAGTCCCTATTGAAATCAATATAAGAGTTTATTCACTGAATAACTTAAGTCCCATTGATTTTATGCGTAACAAAACACCAACCTGCTTGGTCTGGATCAACCTACTGTATCTAAGCACCCACTCCAGAACCACTGGTGTGTGAATGCGTAAATGAGCTATCCTCTGGTTTGATTATTGTGTGAATCTTGGCAGATTGTATTGGTTCCATCCTGAGCCTTTATGCTATTTCCCAGTACATTGCTACTTTATTATGTTCTTTACTTATCATTTCCAAAGTGTTTTGTCTGACTGCTTTCTGCTGGCAGGCTCTTATTACTACACTGTACATGTCTTGGGCAGTTTTTATTTTCTTCCCTACCTGTACGATTTTTTCTTCTTTAAAAAAAGCATTTGTTTTTCCTCTGGCCTATCTCAGGGCAAGTAATGTAGCAAATAATCACCTCGTAGGGGTTGCTGCATTAGATAGCTCAGAAACCAGTGGTGCAATCGTCCTGTGATTATTGGAAAAGATTCTCCTGCAAACTTCTTGCACCAATGATATGTGCAGCCCAAGCTAACCATTGCTTGCTGAAGAGATCTTTCTGCTTTTCCATGTTTTGCTGGTAAGTTCTCATTTATTTTGAAATGCATCATACGAAAATTAAACAACAAGAACAATGAGAAATATAGATGGGAAATTAATTACTATTGGTTTATATTTATTAATATGGAAAAAGATGGGATTTGATTACCCCATCACATAATATTTTTTATTTTTTAGAGAGAGAATTGGGTCTTCTGTTGAGTGGTTTGAGTCTCAGGGCAAGTGCATTATCTCTGACAATGAATGTGGCCATTTCAAAGGGGTGCCATAAAGGTCTGGCATGCTGTGACAAAAGCAGAAATGTTTGATCTCTTTCAACAGAAAATGGAAGGACAGGAACCATTTTATTTTCTGAAATAATACTGTAGGAATAAACAAATATATAAATAGCAACATCCTATTTATGCTTACAGAGAAGTCCCACTGAGTTCATTGAACTCACTCCCAATGAGAAAGGTGCATCAGATTGCAGCTTTAGTGTATAACATTGAAGTTGCATAAAAAGACAGTATAATCAAAGACGTGAAATATGCCTACCACAAAGAGGTGTTAAGCACTACAAGGGTCTATAGTTAATATGTGCCATTCCAAGAAAAAGGTATTCAGATTTTGGAGCTGTAAGCTAGTCTATGCTTCCAGGTGGTCATAAGAAAGCTGAAGATAGTGGCAGGATAGTACGCACCCCGGAAATGATCTCTTTCAGCTTCTGCCTTCTGGAAGAAGGTATAGGGTTATAAAGACTAGGACTGCTGCCTGAAGAAGTTTTTATCCAAATGCGATTTTGGGTTTTAAATGCAGTGTAAGTAGTCTCTCTAGGAGTATATTGTATTTAATTATGGGTATCAGAGCTTTTAGGGGCTTAACCAGGCTGGGATAGATAGCTGGCTTGTTGACTTCTGAATGTCTGATGTAGATTTTTTCAATTTCATTGTTCTGTATGGGGACAATGACAATAAAGATTACCATATCGTATCATAGTGTAACAGTAACCATTTGGATATGCACATGCAATTACCTAAACCTTGGGACTGGTGATCAGCTTCCCCCAATAACATTAAATTAGTGTTGTGCTGAAAATTTATTGCATCTTTTCAACCATTCTTCATTAATTAGTAAGAAGAGAAATTGCATTCAAAAATGATCAAAGAGGATGGGGTGGGGAATCAGTTACATTCTCATGGTTTCTTCATGCTTATTCACTTCCAAGGTGGTTCAAAGGTTGTGTGTGTGTGTGTCTTTTCTTTCATGTCTATAATCTCATCAGTGTTCTGCACTCTGCAGGCTTCCCATGCTTCAGTTAAGCCCTGGGGGAAGACACTCCTGTGCAGTGGTGTTGTGGTCCAGTGTTGCAGGGGGTTGAAGACCGTGTTGCTGTTTCTGCAATAGGGTCCCTATTCTAGATCCCTAGATTGCCCAATCAACACCAAAGAGGAGCTTTCAGCCATGGTATGCTCCAAAGCTAAGCATTCAGAAGCACTGAAAACACAATGTGCCTCAGTTTTTGTTTTTTGTTTTTATTAGATTTTATAAACAAGGATCATAGAAATAATAAATGGTATAATTAAAAAGACCAAGTCTTCTTGTACATTGCAAAAACAGCATAATAAATTTGCAATAATATCTACAACCTAGGATTCATTATTAGTGGTCAATGTACAAGTCCTTGGTTTAAATAAACCAAGTGGATTGGATGGATTCAATAAAAACAGCAAATGGAAACAGGATAGAACTACTCAGCTCTGTTCTGTTTAAAGCTTCCTATCTTTATTATTATCATTATTTGGTTAGGAAGAAAAGAGGGGGAAAGAGGGGGAAATGGAAAGTAGGGTGTGGCTGGGTGGTTATGCTTCTATTTTTTTACAATGTGCTTCAGTTTCAAGAGAATGGTGTGCAAGTTCAGTTGTGTACAATGGAACATCGTGGAAAACACAAGTCAGCTCAAAAGAAGGTAGTTGGGCAGTCCAAATCATGTGTCCATGCATGTTCTCAGAAATTATCTACTTCAAAGGCAACACATGGAGGTCTGCATTAATTGTTGCAATGCAGTCCTAATTATTATTATTATTGTAAATGGTAAGATCATTGTATAATCTTAGAAAGCTGCATGTGAGTGTGAAGAGGCATGGCTTTGAGTATCATAAAAGGACCCTGCATACTGCAGAGCTTATAAACCATGCTTATAAGAAAGAGAACCCTTGGCCAACTAGCGGTGATAAGGGAAGAACAAGACCCCACCCCCACGAAAGAAATTATGAAATGCCCCAAAAATGAGGCAGAAAAATGGAAATCCTTTTTCACAGAACACGTTGGAGAAATTTGAGAGTTTGGCAGGATGTTGCAACATGTACTTCCGTATCTGGCTTTCATAAAGCAAATTGAAGAAAAAAGTAATTGGCTTGAATTACACACACACATTGATTTTCAAGATAAGAATACAAATATAAAGAAAAGAGTAAACATATAACCAAGCTTATCGACTGAAACATTGGTGTAGGTGAGCACGTAATGCAGTATCATTATAAATGTCCTCTCAATTATTATTATTTTTAATTTTAAAAATTGTATGGTTATGACTCAACTGCACCAATAACAAAAAGGAAGTTTGGACAATCACCATGTGTGCATGATTATGAAGTCCATATAGATTTGGCTGTTTCTGACAGAGAGATGCACATGTTTTGGTCTATGATAAAGGGATACTGAAATGGTTTTGCTTTACCCTGTTGCAGCTTTAAGTTGAATGTTATCTTTGCAGAGATTTCAATAAACAAGACGTTCTTATACGAAGATTGTATAGACAGATTTTCTAATTCCTTCCAATTAGACGGACTAGTGGCAATTAATAAAAATGTTAACAGATAAAATATCCTTGTTTAATCCTTGATTTCCCTCCCCCCCCAAAAAAAAAGTTCTGGAGTACAATGAATTGATTTTTGCAGTATTCTTCCCCCATTTCTGTATGTCTCGCTATCCAAAATGCTTATAAGTGTGAGCACTCCCACCATAAATGGAAATAAGTTCCTTTTCTGTCGCATCCATGTCAATGTCTGAGTCCAGCAACATCTGGAAAACCATAGGTTTCACATCCCTGATATTGCATTTTCTGCATCATATTCCACAAGAAAATGTCTCAAAGTGATTTACGAATCCATAAAATACCACACAGTTTGGCAATCATTTAAAAACCATACCTACAGAAGAAATATAACAGAACAATATTTCAAAATGCTCTCCAATCAACAATAATTATAATAATAATAATGAACTCCACGAAACAGGTCAAAAGCCTTACGGCACTACATTCCAAGTGAATGACCAAAAGTCTGGGCAAAAACCCAGGCACCTAAAGCTGCCAATGATGGTTCCAAGCATGTTTTCCTTAAGACAACATCCCACACGCCCTAAAAGAGAGTAAAAGAAGCACATGCAAATATGCACTGGAAGAAAATGATAATTTATCTCACTTCTCTTTAGCATCCTGATTTTGAGTATAGCAGAGTAGTGAATATCACTGAAAAGGGATTAATCTGCAAAATTACCCCTGACACACCTTTTGAACAGGCCTTTCCTTCCCCAAAATGATGCTTTAATGACAATCAGATGCTTCCGAGAATATTAAATTATTCATGCTGTTTAGAGTCTGCAGCCTTCTTCCG